TTGTGGTGGCGTCCGCCCGTCCCGCAAGAAACTCCCGGCAAGAGTCAGCTCCCTTTCGTACCCCTTCTTCGCCCCTGCTCGTCTCCTCTGCCTGTTGCCGTGCGAGCGTTGAGGAAGCGGTGGGCTCATCACGTTAGAGCTGGCGCGGTGTGCCGACTGTTGAGCACGCGGCGCTGCGACACTCCGCCGTTCAGCAGGAAGCCGCCGTGGCTGCTGCAGTTGCTTCTTCTTGGTGGGCAGCTGCCACACGTTCTTTGGCCCCTCGCCACGGTCGAGTGGTGCCGCGTCGGTAGACAGCGTCGCGTCCGGCACCCGAAGAGCCCGCCACACGCCACCACGGCCACGCCCTCTGCCTCTTCCACGGCGCCGGTGCAATCACCTCGACGAAGGAGCTCTTGCGCGAGATGAGGTGGTTCATCGGCACTTCGTTGCTTCGTAGAGGGGAAATAATTGTGTGGCGTTGAGCTCCGCCGTTATATCTGCAACCGACCCTGCCATGAGGCACGTTGGGAACACCCCACTTCCCCCCCCCCCTCACAGCCTGTTTTTCCCTCAAAATGAGTTTATCGCATTATCCATGTTTACAAAGGCATGCTATATTGCTGTGCTTTTGGTGAAAGTTCGTTTCTTTCATTATGGAATTGTATGAAAGCAGAATAATATAAAAGCGTTAAAGAAACACGTGGGATTCATCACCGCATTTGTGCCCGAGTTATCAATAAGATAATTGCTGGTGGGCTGTATGTTGATCGTTCTCCTTTTCTTGTCAGTACCACTAAAAGCTTTCAAGCCTGCTCTCTTCACAATGTCATGAAAGTGTCTCAACGTCAACGCAGACTTTGTTGTCATTAGCAGAAACCTAGGGCTCCCTGCTGCTTTCAGCCTTTCATATGATCAACTTCGGCTGATATGGTCACTTCCTTTCTGCTCCTTTGGAAGTTGTTGATCACGTGATGAGCGTTGACTTGGGTACCAACTGAATTACGTAAAATGCCTTTTCTGAGTGCTTTCAGGGCAATTATTGAAAGATAAAACGTATTCGATCTCGTTTGCTACAGCAAGTCTTGTGTGTCGTAGAAATGAAAACTTCTGTGATTAAAGGTACTCGTTGAAATGAAGAAGAACTGTGCGGTTTCGTTGGAGATGAGACTGAAATGGCTTGTTGATGCCGTATGAATTTCAGCGTCTTTCTTCTCCTTTGTCTCAAAGTGCTGCTTTTTGGAGTGTGTTGATGGTAACTTCCTCTCAGTTTCTGTTCCAATACTCATTAATAAAGTTAATTGTGTTCACAGGTGTTGTTTTGCAGTTTTACACATAGCAGCAGTGCGCAGTGTCTTCTATTTCTTTTTTTTCTGCTCTTTGCTCGCATTTCAGTCGTAGATTAATTATTTGACTTGATGAGGTGCGCAAGAGCCTTTCCGCGTTCGTAAATTACGTTTACTAGATCCTCGTGTCACTGCTAGTTTATTCACTGTGACTTTCCTCTCTAACTTTCCTCTCTTGGCTCTCTATTTATTCCTTCACATGAGCACAAATAATTCACCACTTAACGGATTTTGCGCATACACATAGAATTATTACTGCATAACACGAAAACATGACCTCGTACAGTGTGACGGATAGTCCGGACACCGTGGACTACAAGACCAAGTGCTGCTGCCAGACGACCGACAATGTCTTCTATGCTGTTCCGAAGGAGTACTTTCGCCTCAACCAAAACTTGGCTCGGCGCAAACTCCTTGTAGCGGAGCCCTTCACCGTACCCATCGACAGCAAGGTCATGGATCACCTTCTGGTGCTTCTCGAGAAGGCGACAATTCTTTCTGCTCAGGCTGTGGGTGATGAGACGAAGGGTAACATCAACGACCGCCCGGAATGGATGCGCGACCTCAACAAGCGTCAGCAGAAGTTTGTTGGTGCGTGCCTCGGAATCACATCTTGGGACGGCAAGGATATCCCTTTCTACGTGGAGACGATGCCGAAGATCGGCGATGTCGTCTGGGTTAAGATCACGCAGGTGAACGATACATCTGCTGTGGTGCAGCTGCTGGAGTACGGTAAGCGCGAAGGTGTCATTCCGTATACGGAGGTGACTAGGCGCCGTGTGCGTTCCATGGGTAAGCTGATTAAGGTGGGTCGCACGGAAGCCGCTCAAGTTATTCGTATCGACAAGGACAAGGGCTACATCGATCTTTCCAAGAAGCTCGTGACGCCGAACGAGGCGAAAGCTTGCGAAGCGCATTTCCGTCAGGGCAGCGAGGTCCGCTCCATCATCTGTCACGTGGCAGACGAGTGCGACATCAACGGCATGACGGCCATGGAGACGATCGCGTATCCGCTCTACCAGCGTGAACAGGGCAAACACGCCTGGTCGTGGCTGTCTGAGCTGAACCAGACCCAGGATGTTGACCGCATTCTTGGCCCTCTCAACATTGAGAAGCGCGTCGTTGATACTCTTATGTTGGCACTTAAAAACGCGATGCGCATGAAGGTTCTCACTCTGTTCTCTGAAATTGAAATTACGTGCTTTGCGTGCGACGGCGTCGAGGCAATCCGTGACACCCTCATTCTCGGTCGCGAATTCGGCGAAGGAAAAGAGCCGCAGATCAGTCTAACTGTCAACATTATTGGCGCTCCAAAGTATGGCATTCGCGCGCGTACCGACATGAAGGAGGAAGGAATTCAACGCATGAAAGAGGCAATCGAAGCTATGAAGGCGGAGATCACGAAACGTGGAGGTCAGCTGAAGGTAGTGATACCTCCCCAACCGCACGGGGACACCGATAAGAATGACAAAGGCTCCGACGGTGACGATGATGATGATGAGGACGCTGATTAAATTTGTGTCGGGTAAGGTTTTTTTTGTTGTTGCTACGACGATGAGAATACGAGGTCAAATGGCATTCTTTTATTATTATTAAAGTCTATCAAGCACTTAATTAAGATAAAAGGAAGCGTGGTGAGACGAATTTGTTTGTTGTTGTGTGTTCCTGTTGTTAAAATAACTGTTTTGAGGTAAATTCAAGTGTAATCTAAAACTCTGTAGCAAATTATGTTGGACTGCATACTTTTTCGGACTAGTTAAAACACTTTCAGTTTCAATATTCAACGTAGTCAACGATGGCGTTCACGAAGGAACGGCGAGAAAACGCTAATCGGTGTTGCGGTCTTGGACTCTCGAAAGTGTCTAAAGAGCAAGTCATTAGGTATTTAGCTCCTTCGTGGGCTGCAACTTTTTTTCTGTGTTTCTCTAGTGTCGCAAGCAGCTATTCGTGTTGTTCACGAATACATGCGTCAGGTAAAGCAACTGAATGTGTGTGTCGGAGAGAGGGATAGAATCAACTACACGCGAAAGTAAAAAACGAATGCACCTTCACTCGTTTTGTCCTGTGATGCTACTGCTTTTGTTTCTCTCCCAAAATGAAACTTCCATCGTTAATTAAATAAACATATTTCTCCGCTTTCTGATTCGCCGCTCTTCCCGTGTTTCAGGTCTTGGCATATATATTGAAGTTTTTCTGTATTGTGAAGCCCAGAACCTCTTTTTCATAGCAATGTCGACATCCGGTGACCAAAAGGCGCGGAAGGTGAATATCGAAGAGATCGATGAGACTACCGGGTTCAAGAAAGCCGAACAACATGTGTGGAAGGCGTATGCGTCCGCTTTCCTGACACCTGCAGAGGAGCCGGAGACGGATGTGGATGCGTGGACGGACGATTTTTGTCAGCGCGCCGAAGAAAGTGGCGCTATTTTCGATCGCAACTTTGTGAAGTCGGTGTGCACCTTGGGCATCTACGCAGGTCCGCGCGACGAGTTCCAGCAGCGCTCCGGTAGCGGCAAAGCCATTTATGCCATTGGCGACACGTACGAGGGAGAATTTTTCGAAGGCAAAAAGCACGGAAGCGGTCAATACACCTTTGTGAGCAAGGGACGCAGCGAAGCAGACCGTGTGGTGCTCAAAGAGGTGGAGCTGCTTGGAAAGGCAGGCGTTGATGCCAAAGATGCTATCGACGAGATAGCTGAGAAATTGCAGCTTGGCCGGAACATCGTGGAAGGCATTTTGATGTACGGCACTCATCCTTGCTACCGTGGCGACTACGTTCGCGGGAAGCGGACCGGGAGGGGAATTATGAAAAACAAAGATGCGACCATCTACAAAGGCGAGTTTCTTGAAAACAAACGCCACGGCCAAGGCGTGTTCTACTACCTCAACGGTGACATTTATTCCGGCAACTGGAAAAATGGCAGCAAAGACGGATACGGAACATATCACTTTGTGAATGGAAGTGAGTACCGTGGCGAGTGGGTGCAGGGCAACTTCACACAGGGCCAGTGGATTCTCCCAGGAGGAGCGTACTATGAGGGAAAGTTTGACAAGAAAAACCGTCCACTAGACGATGCGGCTTCTATGCATTATCCCAGTCTTGAGATGGCTCAAACGGGCGCCTTTAAGCGTGGTGTGTGGGCTCCGACGAGTGCGCTGCAGATCTGCTCCGAAGTGCCAGTAGATGGCATGGCGTGGGCGGACTAAAGGATGAAACAGGAGGCGAAATGTTTTTGACGAGTCTCACGCTTGGTCATTGTGTTAAGTTAATGTACAAAAGAAGAACACTACCTTTTTTTTCCAGTTATGCGGATCTCACTCGGGGTATAGCATCTTATTACGATGTATGTTTCTTTTTCTTTTTACTTCTCAAAGGTATGAACATTGAGCATCATCACACGGAGTGTGTAGGTATTTTCGGGATAGAGCAGTGATTCGACGTCGACATAAATTTATTTTATTCAGCGAATCTTTCAGCTGTTCGCTTTTCAGCTGCGAAAGCGGAACTATCGAATGTGTTGAGCAGCTCTTTCCTGTGAAGGGTTGGGATCATCTCGTTGCTTCTGTGTCGGTTGCTACGCAGTTTGCCCTTCTTTCTTTTAGCAAACAGCCTGCAAGTCGTTTTTATATTAATCGCGTTCTCTCTTTTTCTCTCTTTTTCTTTCCTAGTATTATTGGAACACATCGATAGTCCATCTTAGTTTCTAGGTTAACTACTTGCTTTTTCACGACAGGGGTATTGGAAAGATGGTCTACACCCGCTGGAAGTGCGACCGCATCCCGGTGCTGCAGATGAAGCTGTTCACGCAGGAGTACAACATGATGGCCGCAGTGGGTCTGCTGAGCATGATATTCTTGTGGAAGCACGCCAGCTTCTGCTCCGAGGAGACGGAGCGCAAGAACGGCTGGTGGGCCGGCTACCCTTACTGGCGCGATCCTATTGCGCGCCGTAACGAAATCAAGTACAAGCAGATGATCAATAACAACGATGTCGACATCACAGACCCGAAGTGGACGGGCTGCTCAAAGGAGCAGTTGGAACGTCTGCGCGCGATTGTTTAAGCGAAGGCACGTGAAAAGAAAATCAAAAAGTGTAGAAACGAGAAAAAGCTGCAACAGGTTCTCCTTGTCTCCTCCTTTTTTTGTCGCTCATCGCTTTCGGCTCACGCAGTACTTCCACATGATCTTCTTTTCTATATTTAGGGAATTATAATTGGTAAAGAAATGTTTAGCGGTTTTGTGAACTCTAGTGAAAAAAAAAAAGCATTAATCTTCCAAAGAATTCCGATTCTGTTGCGTAGGCTGTAAATACTATCTGTCGGAAGACAGCCGCGTGGCGGTGGTGGCTTGTTTGAAGTGTTCCGCTAATATGAGCTCTTTGGTGTACGCAGTTGACTCACGTCGTGCCAAAGTATAGACGTATCGTGAGGTTTCCGTTCATAAGGTGTGTGTTACCCTTGTCGTAAAGAAGCAGATCTCTTTTACCTCGTGCTTATCCAACGGAAGCGGCGCACAAATATCAACGTTGAGCTATTGACTGTTTCTTCACGACATGCCATCTGCATTTTTTTCCCATGAAATTCTTTATCAGATCTCAGTTTCATTCGTCACCGCTCAACTCTTTCCTCCATCTTTTTGTTATTTCGCTCGATCTCATCTTTTTTCACTCACAAGCAGTGTATACACTCAATCAAAAAAGTTGCCTTGCTTTTCAACACAAAACTGTGAAGTCCGGCTTTGCCAGTGTTTCAAAATGTCGCACAGTTTCCGTCTGCTTTTACCGCTCTTGCTCACCTGCCTCGTCGCCGCCTCTTCGCTCGGCTTGGGTGCAGAGCTGACCTCACCTTCGATCATTTCTCCAAACAAGAAGGACAACACCAAAGTTACCCTCACCGTCCGCAGTGGGCGCGTGTCCATCCCGCTGCAATGGGAGGACGACAAGGAGGTGTTCTTCGAGTACACGGGGCGCTTTTACGAAACCGACGACAGCGGCCCGCTGCTGCCGGGTCCGACGCTGAGGGTGAACCCTGGTGGCAAGATTGTCCTAACACTCGTGAATGGGCTCGGCAAGGAGGAGGCAGAGAACGCGACGATGCTCATGAACGCGTTCCACGGGCCGAACATCACAAACATGCACTTCCACGGCATGCACAGCGACCCCAAGAAGGACGACCCCTTCACGGTGTACCACCCCGGTGAGTCGCACGTGTACAAGATCTCAGTGCCGCGCGACCACGAACCGGGCCTGCACTGGTACCACGCCCATTCGCACGGCGCCACGTACTACCAGATTATGGGCGGCCTGTTCGGCGGCATCGACGTGGGCGAGGGCGACTTCCTGACCTCCCCGGTCCACCCCTTCCGCGGGTGGGACTCGCAGCTGCTCATGGTTCACCTGTACCGCCTCGGCGCCTCGCACCGGTGCGACGGGCTGCCGCTAGCCACGATGGACGCGGAGATGAGCTCGCTGCTGCCGTCGAACCCGCAGTTCGTGGACCCCAAGGGCAATACGTACGACATGCCGTCCGACCTGTTCCTTGTGAACGGCCAGCACCGCCCCACCGTGACGGTGCACCGCGATCGCCCGATGCTCCTGCGCATGGCCTTCGCTGCTGGGTCGTGCTTCCTGAACATCTCGCTGCCGAAGCAGTGCGACTTCCACGTGACAGCGATCGACGGCGTGCAGCTGCGCCGCACTCGCGAGGTGGTGGATCACTGGCAGTACTTCGCTACTGCGACCCGTCGCGAGCTCGCGGTTGTGTGTCGCGAGGAAGGCACGTTTCCCGTGCACCACACCGACAAGGACTCCGACATCGTCTTCTACATCAAGTCGGAGGAGCCGAAGAAGGATGACCCCGTCGACGTGACCTTCCCTGTCACGATGCCGAAGTACGCGCCGGATTATCTCCATTTGAAGGGCCGCAAGAAGTTTTCGCGCGATATCACGCTTTCGCAGGAGGGCCTTCCGGATCCAAAGCCGTTCTACGTTTTGGGGCAAGGCACGGATTGCCACTCGCTGCCAAATTCGTCGTCCTGTTACGTCGAAAGCTTCCAGGGTCGGATCGGAAGTCGTCTGGAGGGCTTCCGCGGCTTCATGGTACCTTTGCATACTGTCGTGACAGCGCGTTTGTTTGGCGATCCGACGGACAAGCGTCCTCACCCCTTCCACTTTCACGTCAACCACTTCCAGTTCCTTTCCTTTGAGCCGCGTGTGGGCGGGCAGCACGAGAACCAGACGATGGAGATGTACGGCGTGCTCAGCGGCGACTACCGCGACACAATCCCGATCCTGGACGGCGTGACGATGATCCGGTGGCAGGCGTCGACGTACACCGGCGAGGTTGCGTACCACTGCCACGCCCTGCACCACGAGGACCGCGGCATGATGTCGTCGTATCTCGTCTACTCCCCGTTGGATGAAAATGGGAAAGCAATTGCAGGGAGGCTAAACGAGGCGTCTCATTGGCTGCATCGCTCGCACGTTTACATTCTGCTGTTTGTCCTCGCACTTGCATCTGCGGCGGCGCTGGCGTGGCGAATGCTGCACCACCGCAGGATGAGTGATTTGGCCGACGTGCAGCAGACCATCGACGTTCACGCGGGCAACGGCTCTCCCGGTGAGAGCATCCCGCTCATCCCTCGACCCGCGTAAGAGGAAGCGATTGTTAGGAAGATTTATACGAGCACTTGCCTTTCTTGGATTGTACCGGCTCCCGTCAGCGTTTGCTCTGTGACGGACGGGCTACATCAAAACTGTTACTCGCAGTATTTTGTTGTTGTTGCTGCTGTGGCACGAAAGGGAAAAATCGTGGACAACACACGCAGAAGAAGAAAAAATGATTCTCGCCGTCTCCCCACTTCCCCTTCGACGACCTTGTCCTGGGTTTTACGAAGGCGCTAGCAAGTGCTTTTCAAGAAGTATGCTCTCTTTCTCTCCTGCTTCGTCCGCTTCTCCCCCCCCCCCGTCTCGTAGAAGAACTCGGGGCTTTCTCTTCGCGTCGTTTTGTGGCTGTGGCTGCTACGAAACGCACATCATCGCTCACTGCTGAAACACATTATTTATGTATGTACTCTTTTCATGTAGATGGCGAGTGAAAGTGCAGAGCAAAAATATTATTATTAAGACACTTCCACTGGATTTGTAGCAAACGTGTTTTCGATGACGTCCATGCGGCGCACGAAGCCGTCTCGGCGAAACGCATGCGGCGCTTCTCTGTTTTGCTGTTGCCTTTTGCTTCTTGTGCTCCATTCCGAATTCACCCCGTCTGCGATTGCCTCCTCGCTTAGCAGCAAAACCAACCCCCCAAATGGCGGTCCCTCCTCCTCCTCCTCCTCTCAAGAGGTCAACTCGACGTTGTGTCCTGGCATCACTCTGGAGGGCTGCTCCGACGATGCGTGCCTTTCGTTTGGTGCGAGCAACTGCCCGGAAAGGTGTCTCTACAACGCCGTCGCGCAGCGGTGCGTCGGCCTGAAGTCTTGTCTGCTAAATTCGTGCTCAGGCCACGGCTTGTGTGAGCTGAACAGCACCGTGGCTCCCAGCTGCAGGTGCGCTGCTGACTACTATGGAACAGATTGTGACGCCATCTGCAATGAGGAAAGCTGCGCCGACGCATATGGCGTCATCGGTCTGGCGTGCTCCGCTGAGGGAACATGTCACTGCCCGGATCACTTCACTCCCTTGTCTCGTGCCTGCAGCAAGTGCGAAGATGGCTGGTACGGGGTCCTGTGCGATTTATCGTGCCCGTGCGGCGGCCACGGCAACTGCGACCGTGAGACGCGTGCGTGTCACTGCTTCCGCGACCCCGGTCGCGGCTACTGGGACGGCGACAGCTGCACCCACTGCCTGGCCTCGTACATGGGTGACGACTGCACAACGCCAAACGCACTCTTCACGGCGTTGCCGCACGCCGTCATGTACCTCTCGTTTCCCACCACCTCTTTCGACGACCGCGGCCCGCTGACGCTGCAGTGGAGCGGCTCAGGACAGCTGATCGTGTCTCGCGGAGCAGCCGTCCTCTGCGGGGAGGTCAGCGTCATGAACCGCACCGGGATTGAGAGGGCGGTGTTTCTGCCCACACAAGCGCCACACATCACCCCTCGTGTGATACGCAGCAGCACCCTCTTTCGGAACGGGACCGTTGCGTTGCTCGGTGCAGGTCCACGAGTAGGCGACGACGCTTCCTCGTCTCCCCATGACGGCGGCGATTTGATGGGCGTCTCCGTGTTGCATTGCACGGCAAGCCTGAGCACCAATGATTGCGTGTTGATGATGGTGGAAGACTACACCTTGACGCCGGTGCCGTTGTCTTCGAGCGCTGGCGTTGTGGATGTGGTGGACGCGCGGATTGCGGAGGAGTGGGGGTGGGCCCTGCTGCTGTCCAGCGGGCTCGTTGTGCTGCACAAACATCTCTCTGATATCCGCCTCCTGCAGCTGCCGGCCGACTTTACGGCCACGTCGGTGCACATCGACGAAACTGGCGGGGTGGTTTTTGTGGCGGGTGCCACAGGTGGGCGATGGTCCGTCTACGCCACACACAGTGGCGGCGATGGCGGGACTGGCTTCGTCGAGGTTTCCTTCAGCAATGCGACGAGCGGCGACCCTTTTGTGCAGACGGGAGTTGCGTGGCAGGTGAACGTGTCGGGGAGCCACATGTATGCCACCGGGTCATCGGCATCGTCGTCCAGCGAAGCGTGGGTCCTTGCGGGAACTCTCCGCTTGGCGAATGACCGAGCAGACATCGCGGTGTCAGTCTGTGCATTCTCCACTGTTGCTATCGGTGGCGAGCCACGTGCGATTTCCTTGTTCAGCAGCGACGTGGACAGCTTCACAACGCTGCTGATTGTGGTGCAAACGGACGCCGAGGCCGCGACCTTTGTCTGGGTGATGGACAACGCCGCGGCGCCGTCGCAGTTGGAGCTGCGCAACGCGCAGGACATCACCGCCGTGCTGGACGGTGAAGCCGACGTGTTCACGACCTACGTGTGGGCGAACGGCCTTCTGTTGTTCTCCCAGGCCAGTAGCACCGGTGTCGTCGTGCACCCCTTCACCGGCTACAGTGTGACATCAATCGCCCCTTCCCTGGTGGTCGCCGCGGGGCTCACGCCTCTCACACTGACCGGGATCTTCTTGATGAACGGGATCGAGTGCGTCTCTGAGGCGCATCGCGCACCAGCGGTAACGGCGAACTCGACGGTCATGCAGTGCTCATCGCTGCAGTGGCCGGAGGCGAAGACGTGCGCGCCGGTGTCGGTGGAGGCGTCGATGCCCGGCACGATCTTCACCGCCACGACGGACAACCGACTCCCCCTGCAGCGGTACCCCAGCGTTCTCCTGACGGCGATTTACGGCGTGGGGACGACCGGGGCCTACGCGTCGGTATTTTCTGAAGCGCCCATCTTCATTTTTGGCCAGGGCTTCGTGAACACGTCGGGGCTTGAGTGCGTTTACGTGGACAGCGAACGTTACTATCGGTCACGAGGCCATTACCTTTCTTCGCAGCAGATCCTCTGTGACTTCCCCGCCGAAGTCGACGGCCCGACAGTGGGCAATACCGGATCTTTTTCGGTCAGTTTGAACGGGCACGTTCTCTCCGATCCGTTGAGATTTACGTTTATCGGCGAGGCTGCTGGACTGGCGGTGTTAGCCCCGGCGGCGCCTTTCACCGTCGTCTCGGCCGCCTACGTGGGCCTACCATCGATCGACGTTGTCGTGGTGGATTCGGAGGGGCACCCGCTGCGGGAGCTGGACAGGAATCGCACTACGGACGTCTTGTTCGAGCGGGTGGTGCAGCTCAGCGCGCCGTGGTTCGTCTCCACCCGCAAGGAAGTCGCCCGCCACATCGACCCCGCCAGCAGTCTCGTCGTGCTGGCGTACAGCAACAAAACACTTAGCGGTGCAACATCCTTCACGGTCGTGCTGCAGTACCCTCTCGTCGGCGTCGGGCAGCTGACCTTCTCCTCTGCGGGACTCGCTTCTGCTAACTGGACATACTGGGTGGAGGAGGGCGCCCCGCACACGATGGAAGTCGCGGTGCAGCCGTCGCCGCTGCTGAACAACCACCACACCAACGCCAGCCGCCAGCCCGTCATCGTGTTCCGTGACATCGCCGGGAACATCGTGGGCGATCAAAATGAGCTGCGAGTCATGACTCGGGGCTCGGTGGCCGTGGCGTACTTTGACGGGGTGGCGTGGACCTCGCAGGTGTCGCAGCCAGTGAGCGAGAACGGGTACTTCAACTTCACCTCTGTGTACCCGGAGGGCTTGTTTGGGAACGCCTACCAGATGACGTTCATGGCAGAAAACTTCAGCAACGTGTCGTCAGACGTGATGACGACGGGCGCTTGCTACGGCGACGAGTACGGTCGCTACGACACGACTAGCTGCCTGCCGTGCCCAGATCACGCCACGTGCAACGGGAGCTACGTGTTCAACGTGACGGACGGGTACTGGAAGGGCGGGGAGGTCGCCTACGACATCTACCGCTGCTCGCGGCCACGTGTGTGCCGCGCGGGGCGGTGCGCGACAGGTTACACCGGTGTGCTGTGCGGCGTGTGCGATGCCGGCTACGGGCTGACGGGCTCGCAGTGCGCCAAGTGCTTCTCGACAGCCGCCAACGTTGTGCTTGTGGTCCTCCTCATTGTCTGTGTGCCTCTCGTGCCTCTCTTTCTCACGTTTCTGACCTTCCAGGTTTTTGGGCCGCACTTCAGCGTCGTGCACGGTGCACGCGCCATTTTGGATTTCGTACAGCTGATCGGGTTGGTTTTGCTGCCGATGCCGGAGCTGCCGGACTACGTAGGACGCTTTGTCGTCTTCACGCGGCTCCTCTCCACCGGCGATGCGTTGATGCTGTCGCCCTTCAACTGCCTCTTCACCAGCCTCGTCGCCACCGAGAAGTTCGCGGTGGAGGTCGTCGCCGTGGCGGTTATTCTGGCCGTCCTCTTCATCGTGCTGCTGTACGGCGACGTTCGCTTCGCCCGCCACTTCGAGGCGCTGCGCAAGAGACGGTGGTTTTTGTCACTGCTGGCGCCCTTTACGTCTGAGGAGGCGTACCACAACCGGTTGGCGGAGCTGGGCCTCGACGAGGAGCGCGCCCTCGGTTCGACGGTGACTACCGACACGCTTGACCCCAACCAACGCACCATACGCGAGGCCTACACGCTGATCGACAGCAACCGATACGCCATATCCGCGGTGAGTCAGCTGCCGAACTCGGCCGTGCGGGAGTCGGCGCTGGAGTCGTTGCTGGCGGAGCAGGAGGAGTTGCAGCGCTTCCTGCGGCAGTACGAGGCGCACGTGTCGTGTGGCGGGCCTCCGCCTGGACGAGACGGCACCGACGCAGCACCAGCAACAGCAGCGCCACCGACGGCGGCCCCGTCCTCCGCTTCCGCGTCCCGCACAGCTCCGTTGGTCGCGCGTGGGGGTGGAAAAGCCCAGGCGGTGAACAGCGCCGTGCTGAGTGCTACCGCTTTCTCCACCGGATTGGGGGCAACGTCAACGACGGCGGCCGCCACCGAGGGGCTCTCGGCGTCTGAAGCAGCAGCACGGCGCACTCCTGCAGAGGCGCTCGGCGGAAACGGGGAATCAAACGATGCCAACACCGCAGACGCCGCGGGCGGCAAGGGGGAAGACCAGGGTCCAGCCAGTCGCCGCCGCGGCTCCGCTTCTTCTTCCTCGGGGCACTCTCCCCCTCCTCCCTCGATGCCTTCGTCGCACCGGCACGTCCGCAACGCAAAGGAAGAGGTAAACGAGCACGGCCAGAGCAACGAGGACGGGCACCGCGTCGACGAAAGCGATCCGGACACCCCCGTCAAGGCGGCGCTGCAGCGCTTCGGGGACGTCACGCCCACACCGTTTAGTCTCTTTGGCGCACACGAGCCCTTCAAGCCCACGGCGGCCCCGCTGGACTTCCTCCAACCACAGCTGCTACCCGCCACGGAGCAGGTCGCCCCACAGCGGCAGTCCACGCGCGCCTCCACGGCCTTTTTGTGGCCGCGCTTCCAGGCGCAAGCCGTCATGCTGGGCTTCACCGTGTACCACTACTTCTACGTCGCGGTGGTGGAGTACAGCTTCGCCTTGGTGCGCTGCGATGACACAACGATGTCCGCTGTGGACACGGACGGAGCGGAGGCGGTGACTACCTCGCGACTTGTGTCGTACGTCTCACTGGTCGCCGACCGCCGGGTGAACTGCCAGAGCGACACCTTCGCCTCGTACCGAGTGGCCGGCCTCGTGCTCGGTTCGCTGTTCAGTGCCGCGCTTCCTCTGGCACTGCTGTGGCTTTCGCTGTGGGGGCCGCGCAGTTCCACGACGCGTGCAAGCGGTGTGGCGTACGTGCGGGAGTGCTGCGTAGCGATACTGGGGCTCAGTGAGGACTTCCTCTGGTGGGAGGCCGTCTCGCTGCTGTACAAATGGGCCCTCGTGTTGATGCGCAACTTGATTCCGTCCAGCAACGTGGCAGGGCTGGTCATCGGCTGGTCCGTGCTCGCCTTCTGCACCGTTCTCGTGTACCTGCAGCCCTTCTACGACTTTTTTCCGCAGAGTCTACAGGTGATCTCGTGGCTCTCCCTGACCGTTACGGCGTCGCTGCAGATGCTGCCGCTGCTGCACTCCGCCACGATGGTGAACGGCGTGTCGAATATTCCGACTGAGATGCGAGCAGCGCAGCACGGGAGCGGTGTGCTGGTCGTCGCGCTTCCGTGTGTCACGCTCGCCGTGCTGCTCTTCGTCGTGTGGGCGGTGACCTTCTCTCGTCAGCGCTGGCGTCGTCTGGGCAACATTCTCTTTGCGCTGGGTGGCGGGGTGGAGGTGCACAACATCCTCCACTTCTTTGACAAGCGGAGGACGGCGGCAGCAGCGACGGCCGCAAAGGCGGTGCCGACGGGTTGGCAGGCGGCGAACGGCGCGGTGCCCTTCTCCTTTGTCGACTACAACTTGCGACTTGTTCGGCAGGCGGGGCGGTGCGACACCGCCGACGGCGCCGAAGAGACCGCGGTCACCGCCGTGACGCTGGAGGATCAAATCGCGCAGGCGGTGCGGGGAAAGGCCGCTGGCAAAGGCAGCCGCCACGGCGACGCCTCACTGTGGGCGAACTGGGGCGTCGTCGGTGGTCTGGCAGGGATGGCGAACCACGTCTCCCTCTTCTCACGCTTTATCCAGGAGAACGGAGGGGCGGTGCCGAGGGAGGGCGAGTTGGCGGCTGCGACGGCGGCTACGGGGTCCGCGAAGGAGAGCAGCACGCGGGTGGATGCGGCACGGGAGTCGGTCGCGCAACCCTCGACGGTGATGGACAAGGAGGTCGGGGATGAGCTGCTGACCATGTGTGAGCACCTGCGCCAGCTGGAACACTTTGTGCTGCAGATGGAGAAGGAACTGGATCGACGGACAGCGCGTTAAGAGGAAAGGCGAGGAGGAACCCGCATCGTCTTCACGATTCAGCCAAGTCGGCGCATTCCTTTTCCTTTTCTTTTTCTTTCTGTTAGCGTGTTGCTTCATTGCTGTATGGATGCATGTCTGCTGGCCTGCCTCGTGTTGATGCGCCGCATCGCACCGAACTCAAACTTTTGTTTTCCTCGTGGCTCATGAAAGGAAGGATGTGTGCGCTTTCCGAAGGGTGAGAATGATGAGAAAGGGGGATTTCTACGATGCTTCACTGTGCCGGCGTCGAATGGCGCCTCGGGGCTTCCCAACTGTCCGTCGCTTCGTCCCTCCTTCCCGACCTGCGTTCTCGCCGTTGTGCGTGTGTGGGCGTTGAGGTGCCGCTCCATACGTGGCGCCACAGAAGTACACGCTTTCTACCGCGGTTACAGGTGCCTCGGCCAGCGTTCCTTTGCTTTGATCTGATTCTCTATACACAGTATTTACCTTCACCATAAGAAAGCACTTCCCCTATACCGTATTTGTCTTCATTCTTTTCTCCTCCCCGCATGTCTGCTTCTGCTACTGTGAGCGCCGGTGCTGCCAAGGCGCCGCCGCACGCACCGGGCGAGCGCTTTCGCTGCCGCGTCGATGTGGAGGACATCTGCGTAAGCGTGGAAGGCAACGCGGCGTCGTCGACCACGGCGCTGTTTTGGGAGGAGGCGCGGGTGGCCTGCCGCTTCAACGGCGGCACGCAGCGCACGCGGTGGATCGCCCTGCAGCCGGCCATGGACGAAGTGAAGAGGGAGTTGCAGGCGGCCGCCCCAGGCGGTGACCTGACCGGCGCGGCGGCCCCGCAGACGGGTGGACTGCTCGCGCTGCCCTACACCGCGCTGAACACGATGTCCTACGAGGTGGAGTTCACCGCGGCGGCGCCGGACGATCCCGCGGTGGCGTCCGTCACGACGGTCAAGTCGAAGCGGTTCCACACGATGGAGTTTGCGGTGGAGGCGCAGAACTTGCATCGCGTGTACTCCGCGGTGGGTGGGGCGACGGGGGACCGTGCTCCCACCAGCGGCAACATGGAGGTCATCTCCGCCTCGCTAAACAAGAAGGCGGCGAAGGTTTCTGCGTGGACGCGCAGTGTCTTCTCCAAGCTGGGCAGTGGCATCGGCGGCAGCGGCGGCAGCGGGGAGAGGAAGGACGAGAGCGGGGCGCGTCAGCGCCACCACCACAGCAGCTTAAAGGAGCAAAACGAAGCGGCAGTGGCCAATATGTCCGATCACCCCGTTGCCTCGGTGCCGGCGCCAGGCGTTGGCGACACGACGGTGCACGAGGGCATCTACGCAACGGTGGTGAAGAGCATCGACGTCAGCGAGGCGTACAACCGGCCTGGTGGGCGGCAGTACTACTGTCTCGTAGTGAAGCCGGAGTCGCGCAAGCTGCCAGAGGCCGGCGTGGGTACGCCCATCGCCGTCTCCTTCTCCGTTGTGGTCCACTACGGCCACTCCGCCAGCGTCCCGCGCAGCTTCCACAACTTCGCGATTGTGGTGGATCAATTCGTTCTGGACTACAGTGAAGCGGCGCGGGTGCTGCCGCCGGATCCGAAGAGCGATGATGCAGAGCCCCGGCCCATCACAGGCTACGCCTTCGGGTACACGGCGAACACCGCAGCGAACCCAAATGCGATGGAGGTCGTGTCGAGGCCGGTGCCGGTAGCGCCCACCGATGCGGCAGGCGGCGGCGGTGAGGCGGCCTTGCGTGTGGTGGACTTCGATCGACTGCACAACGAGGTCGACGAGCGCAAACGCACGCCGGCGGACTACAGAGCGTTGCCGACGTCCTGCTGCGTCGTCTCGGGGTCCACGGGCAGTCAGCCGGCAAACCGGCCGCGCCTAGGCAATCGGGTGGTCTGCGTCTCGCGCTTTAAGACATCGCCAGATGGCCTGTGCAAGCCGTCCTTCAAGTGCCAGTTTGTCGTCTCTCTTGTCCGCTTCTACGGTGCAAGCGACCAGTCGGTCCGCGAATCTGCCGCGCCGATCAACTTGGCGGCCCTCATGAACCAAGAGATTCTACCGCAGCGCATCCGCACCGTGAGGTTTGAGTTGGGCGAGATGATGTACCTGCGGCTGCGGCGCTTCTCCTTTGCGGAGCCGGAGGTGTTGCGGGCGCCGCTGCTGCTGCCCTACGACTACAACAACGAGGATGTGCAGCTGCCGGCACCACCGGCACAGCAGCAGCAAGATGCACAGGATAGCGACGTCCATCAGAGTACTAGCGCAGCAAAGCGATCAGATGCACCACCACCGCTGCAGCAGCAGCAGCAGCAGCCTGCAAACGCAGAGCGCACTGCTGCCGCACCCGCGCCCCCAACTACAGCCTCCCGTGAAGTCCCAGCCGCCGCCGCCTCGTCCTCCTCCGCCTCGTCCGACGCGGCCCCGGCGTCCCCGCTGGAGCAGCGGAGTGGCAGCGACGACGACGACGACGCCTCCACGCCCCGCGCCGGCGTCCAGCACGAACCGACCGCTCCCATGTTTACCCTCGAGCCGCAAGAGGACGCATCGGCTTTGCAGTTCGGCCCATCCACCACCGCGACAGCGACGAGGTACACAGGTGCGCAGCCAACGTCGGCGCCGGCGTATGACCCGGTGGTGGCGGCAGCGACTGTGTGGGGCGTCCACGGCGCGGCAGACGACGGAAAGGCAGCTCCGGCGGTGGAGTTGACGCCGACCGCCTCGAACCCGTTCTTCTCCGCGCAGCACCGCGAGACCGCGGACGCCGCGGGGATGTCGCGAGGTGCGACCGCGACGTCACAACACGACGGCAACCCCTACAACTTCGGCGCGGCGGAGGGCGACGATGCGGCGACGTCGCCGAAGCCGTACGCGGCGTTTGAGCTGACTCCGTTGGAGTAAACCGTCGGTGTTCGGCACCGAGGCGGCACCTCCTCGGTCCGCGTTCGTCTCTATTTTTTGTTATTGCTGCTTTCTGTCACCTTTGTGCGTCGCGTGCTCGACTTGTTTGTGCGCCTCTCTCCCTCCCCCTCGCCTGCACCTCTGCGGAGCATGACGAGGAGGCGGTAGCGGAGGTAGATGTTTCTGTTCTGGCTTCGTTTCGTGTCTTCCCGTCCTGACGAGTCGCCCTTTGCTTTAAGAAATCTCGACGGCCATCAAAATGACTGGACAAAAAGAAACCGTCGCTGCTGCAGTACGTTTGCACCGCAACGCAACGCCAAGAGCGGCGAGTAGTGTCGGCGGCGTCGTGCCCGCACCGCACTGGTCGACGGTCTGCGTTTTTCGCCGCTGCCGGAACAGCGGGGAAGAACAAACGGTGGCAAATGGAGTGCGCTCCCGCGAGTTGCCGGTAGCGCATCTTGTTACGTGAAGGGGAAAGAAGAACTTCTTGTTCTTTCCTGCACCGCACTCAAGCGCGACTTTCAATGAATAGCCTTTCCCTTCCACAGGTGTGGCGATAGTCTTCATGCGCTATGACGCTACGCTGAAACACCCCTCCCCCGACTCTTTCGTGCCTCACTCTCCTGCACACTGCTCTCTAACATAACGTGAGCTCCGTTCGACGTTCACACCTTTACACTCTCAAAGAAAAAGAAAGTAGAAAATATATTTTACGTGTTCTCCGTCTACAAGATTCTTTTCCCTTTGACAACTGTTTTGCTTTTACTTGCTTGTTTCACATTGTTCCTCTCCCAGCTGACTCCTGTCACGTCTCCCCGCACACGTCTACGTGTACGCAACGAGCCCGAAGCTGCTCTGCTCACCACGACCGGCTTTCGAAGTACGCCGCTGCATCACTGGTGCACATCGTGTTGTTGTTTTCTTCATTGTTATTTCTCTACCGTTTTTGTTGGCTTCTGCTACGTGCTTTACCCTTTGATCTTTACCCTTCTCCCTTCCTTCTTTCCTTCACGGCGGCTGCGTAGGCGGTGAACGCGTCCGTCGCTCTTGCCGAGTTTTGCATTGCTCGCCTTCGCTTCCCCAGTGTCTCTTCTGGCGTGGTCGAGAGAGTATTTGCCGCTCCCTTTATATCTTCTGCTGTCGCGACGCCGACGAGCGTTTTAGTAGCTTGTTCTTCTTATTAGTGTTGCTCGTAAAAGGCGGACCTGTTCGCCTCCACCTCCGTCAAACAGCCACATCGAATCAACGCCGCCGTCGCGATGCCGAAGGTGGCTGAAAACGTGCCGGTGAAGGTCACCGTGTCGAAGATGACGCTGGAGGTGCCGAAGTCCTTCTTTGATCAGGCGGCCCTCCGCGCCGCGATCTTTGTGGGCCGCAAAGGCCGCAGTGCCGCGACGCGACGCACAAAGTGGTTCACGCTGGCCGACCCGTCCCTCGTGCCGTCCCGCACGCGGCAGTCTGTGGCGCTGCCCACATCACACCTCAGGGGCTCGCAGCGGGGCTCGATGGTGGTCGAGGACGAAGCCGCAGGGGGGGAGCAACACCATGTGGAGGAGACGCCGGTGGAGATGGCGGTGCTGGAGTACAGCGGCATCAACACCGTTGTGTACGACGTGGACATGAGGCCGCTGAACATCTTCGAGGGCGACTGGGTCTTTGACCAGAAGACGACGCACCCGATGACCGTCTTCGCCAAAATCCTCGTGAAGAACCGCCCAGGCGCCCGCGGCGGGGGCGGAAAATCAGAGTTGGAGTCGAACCTAAACGAGATGCTGCAGATGGATCAGGACGACATGGAGAGCGACGAGGACGAGTCGGACGGCTTCAGCAACGAGCACGACGACGGCGGCGCGCACGACGACGACTCGGCGCTCTCCATATCGCTCACGGGCGTCAACCTGACCGAAGCGCAGATGACCGCCTTGAAGGGGACGGAGAACCCGAACGAGGTGGTGATGAACCAACTGCGTCGCGCCGTGGACTGCAAGAAGCGTTACCTGCAGTTCCCGAAAGCCATCGACGTCGCCACCATCGTCAACACCAAGGCCAAGACGGCGGACTTCTGCGAGCGCCTGATGTGCAAGAATGCGGCGCTGCTCGGGTCGACGCTGTCCTTCACCGTCGCGGCGGAGCTGCCGCTTGAGAAGCTGTCGAAGTTTGAGGACAAGGCGAAGTCGAAGGAGGACAAGGAGGAGATCAAGCGCCGTGAGAAGGAAGAGAAGGGCCTCGAGAAGGAGCGCAAGAAGGAGGAGAAGGAGGAGAAGAAGCGGCGCGAGAAGGAGGAGAAGAAGTCGGGCAAGAAGGAGGATAAGGTGTACGGCACCGACATCACCGACGCGCAGAACCCGAGCGGCGCTAAGAACGAGCCGAAGAGCCTCTTACCGAACGCTGCGTCGCAGCAGCAGCCGACGACGCCGGAGGGCTCCAAGAAGAAGAAGTCCGGCTTCCCGCCCCTGGATCTCGTGAAGGGCCTCTTCACGAAGGAGGAAAAGCCCGAGCAGGCCACGCCCTTCACCGTGAAGCTCACTTCCACCCCGTACCCCTTCCTCGTCATGCTCTACGACTTCCAGCTCAGCAAGCTCGTGATGGAGCCCGTGAACTACCGCGCCGTGCATATTCGCCTCGGCACCGATGCCCCGTCCACCGAGGACTTCCCGCGTTTACTGCTCGACACAACGAAGCCGAACACACAAACGGAGTCCACCATCACGTGGTACGATGGCAGCACCCGCAACGTCACCAGCTTCCACTTTGACCACTCGCGCATCTTCTTTGGCGATAAGGCCATCCGCCACATCACGGGCTTTGCGACGCTACGGGCACTGCAGGAGCACGAACGGCAATACCACGAGGCGAAGAAGGCCGCACCGGCGGAGTCGAACTCCCCGCACCGCGAGTCCGCCGACAACGACTTGTTTCGCGAGCAGCTCATGAATGTCGGAACGCAGTTCCAACCCATCACCTTCGCACCGACGAAGTACAGCACGAACGGCAATCAGGCCCTCGCCACGAAGTTCACCCGCGTGACGGCGCAGCTGATTGTGGCGGAGAACGTCGTCGGCGAGGTGCACCCGAGCGATGCCGCGGAGAAGGAGGCGTTTGTCCACAAGCTGAAGAAGGAGCAGAAGCAAAAGAAGAAGGAGGAGAAAGACCGCGTGAAGGCGGAGAAGGAGGCGGAGAAGGCGGCGAAGAAGGCCGAGAAGAAGAAGGACGACGCGGCGGCCGCAGCAGACGCAGAGTCGAGCCGCAACACGTCGCCCGAGGCGGACAACGCGGCCAGCACGGCCACGACGATGACCTCCGCGAGCTCCAAGATCGGCGAGGAGAACCATGCGGACGACGGCGCCGAAGGAAAGGAGAAGGCCGACGACGCGGAGGGAGGGGAGGAGGACAAGCCGACCTTTGAAGCCGGCGGCGAGGACCGCCTGGAGGCGTCTGAGGCAGCCTCTGCCACGCCCGAGGCGGGCAAGAAGGACAAGAAGGAGAAGCATGAAAAGGACGGCGCGAAGATCGTGCTGAACCAATCAAACTCCTTCCAGCTCAGCACGTACGTGATGAACGAGGACTTCATACCGCAGGACGGTCTGCAATATCACATTCTCTTCCAGACCGGCGAGGAGCTGACCTTCCGTGCGCGTCGCTTCTTCTTGCCGTCGGTGTGCAGCTTTGGCGATGAGGGCTGCACGCGTGAGACGACGCTGAACGACTACCTGAACTCGGCGGAGGAGTAAATACGCTAAAAGAAACAGCGTTTTGTTTTTCAGACTACGTGTCGCCACTGTCGTCTTCACGTGAGTGTCTTCTCCATTTCTTTTTTGCTTGTTTCTGCCTGAGCACTCAACTTGTGCTGTATGCGAAACACTTCGCAGCCGCCTATTACAATACTTCTCTGGAGTTTCCTCTTCCGCCTGGTCGTCTGACGCGTCGCAGCGCGTGAGGTAGTCGTCCGCAGCGTCGTGTGCGTGCGTGGGTGGGTGAGCGGTGTCTCCCTCCCCCTTCGGATTTATTGTTCTCCCGTGTCGCGTTCACGCTGCGGCGTCCTTCGCGGGTGGCCCCTTCCCACTCCTCTTCCTTGTACGTTAAGTAGAGCTCGTCTTCCCCCTTTCAGCGCCTGCTCTTTCGTGCTTTTATCGCCCCTCCCCAATGCCCGCTAGCGGCCTCCCCGACGCACGTGCGAGCGCAGAAGAGCGGCGAGTGAGGTGCTCTTCCACCCGATGCAACACCATGGGAGAGGGGAAGCGAAAGCGGCGCAGGACGTCGCGCAGGGGTGACGAAGAGCGGGAGGCTTTCGCGAAGGATCTCCGCACCGGACGAAGGAGGCGCAGCACGGAAGAAAAGGGCAAAGCAAAGCAAAGCAACAAGAGAGGCATCCACGCGACGTGGTGGCGCGCTCGTAGGTAGAGTTCGCACTCACCACCTGTCGATGCGCGGCTGACGGTTGTTTTGTGTTGTAGCAGCTTCGCATCACATCTCTTCTTTTCGTTTTCCTGTTTGCCGCTCTTTCTCTTTCTCGTAGCTTGTCCGTCTCTCTCTGGGGCGCGGCACCCTTCTTTGTTCTTTGTAGATGTGTCATCCACACCTGACACCCTTCCTCTCTCTTTCTCTTCTATTGTTACGATGATGACTGTTTTCTCGTCAAGTGCGATATTTCCCCTCCTCTCTTTGTTTCCTTCTACTTTTTTCTGGTATCATCGTCCGCCACTGTGCCCTTCGGCCCCTGTTGGCATTCTTCCCCGGCTCGTGTGCCTCTTCTTTTTGTATTGCTTTACGCACAACCGCCGTGATCGCTGTGCTTCTCGTCTCTGTTCTTCTCCTTCTTTCCACTCCGCCACGAATGCCGCGAATGTGCTTCTTTCTTCATTTTCCTTTTACCCCCTTTGAGTGAACGTCCTCTGTGGCCCATGTGTGTGCGCGTGTGGGTACACGATCGGCATCAGAGGTGTTTGTAGTCGCTGCACCGGCCTATTTCATGGTCCTATCTTTTCTATTATTTTATTTTACTCCTTCCTCCCCTCTCCCTCCCCCTCCGCTGTACGTTCAAAGAATTCGTTGTCTCGTCATTTCAGCTTGTCGGAGTATTACACCATGCCGCTGCTCCTCTGTCCCGGCCGAGGAGGCTCTGGCGCACACCGTATCTCACCGCCACGGTTTGTGTTGCCGTCGTCGCCGGCGTGGGTGAGAAAGCAATGCGGACAGCGAGAATTGTTAAGTTTTCTAGCGTGCCGGTTCGTATCTGTTTGCGCGTGTGTGGCTGTGCGGCAGAAAATGTGCGGTGCCGGTGGTGTGTGTGTTTGTGTGTGCAGAAGATCCTTCGACGCCTTTCCGAGTGCGCGCACATCAGCGGGGCCGCGGTGGAGGACGATGGTGTCGAGTGGGCGGGGAGGTCCTTCAATGTAAATACAGTTAAAATATATATATAACCTCCAGTGCACTAGTATTTGAACTTCGTAGAGTGTGTGAAGACAGCAGCGGGTGTGCACTGGCATTGGTGTAGACGCGTGGGTGCCACCGCGGCAAGAAGGGCATTTTCGCTGAGTTCCTGATGAAACGCCAGGTGTTTGTATTTCTCTCTTTCTCTGACCACCGCCGCTGTGGGGGCGGAGAGCGGTGCATGGCCTTTTGGGGCGTCTCGGTGGCGGTGGCTCTTTCATTATCTTCTTCTTCTTCGGATGTTTCGCATCGACGTCAGTGCGAGTGCGTGAAATAAACTCAGCGTGGTTTTACTCCCCTCCTCTCTCTTCCGTGTGCGCTCATCGACTTCTTGCCGACAACGCAGTGCTTTTTTGGTGCGCAGAAGCACCGGCGTTTCTCTCCTGACGATGAGGTAGAACCTTTGCTTTTTTTTGAACTGAAAAGTGGAGTGAAGAACGCGAGACCTGTTGTGCCTTCTGGGAGCTGCTTCGATGGGCATGTGGCACGGAAGCGTTGCGTACGTCGACGACAACGGCCGCTGCCGCAGCTTCGCAGATGGAATGGAAATGCGGTCTGCCGGCGATGCGGCTCGGACTTCAGAAGGGCCACCTCGCCACTTATTTTTTCCGTTCTGCTCTCTTCGTCGAGAAACGGCGGTTATGTCTTCTCGGATGGGGCACCGCCCGACGGTGAAGAGGCGCTGCTGCGCGTTGCAGTGGTCCCTCGCCGGCCAGTCCGCCCACCACTTCTTCCTCCACACGACGTACACCGCCTTTACCTCTCGCTTTCACCTTCTTCTGTGCTTCACCTCGTTCTGCAGCCGCACCACATCCGCTGCGTGCATGTTCAAAGGTCTCTCATTTCACACCGGTGTCGAGGGCAGAGCCGCACGACGCCTCGCCACAGTCGCGGAGAGCGCGCGCCGCAGCAAACAGCGCCACCTACGCGAAACCGCACGTGAGTCCACGCTGCGGCTCAACCGCCTGCGTGCGGGACAACAGAGCCTACATCGTCCCAGTCCGCGACGTTCTCGCGCGGGCGTGGCCTCCGCCGCGATGCAAGCGAGCTGGACGGCGACACAGGCCGAGGCGCTGGCGGAGGAGGACGCCGCATGGAGCGCACGCGACCCGATGCAGCCGTTTCAGCCCGACGGCACACGCACCGACGCCTTCTCCCGTCCGTTCTCCTCCGCCTCGCTTCTCCACTACGGCGCCGTCGACGCGGAGACGGGCAACAGTATCGTGCAGCAAAGTTTCGATGCATTGGTCTACCGCGCCGTTCTGCACTACGGTCCTCCGCTGCCGGTGGAGGTGGTGCTGCAGAACAACGTCGTGTCCGCCGCGTCGATGTCGCCGGCGCAGCAACGAGCGCAATTTCGCGAGACGCAGGACGGCGGTGGAGCCGGAGGGGCGGACGACCCAAATGCCGTGTACATGGACGAGGTGGGACTGCGAATGCACGAGTTCATGACCATCTTGCGGAAGGAGCAGCCGCACTTCAGCGTGCGTGACGACTGCGACGGGGTGCCGCTGTCGTTGATGGTGCGTAACTGCTCCTACCTGCGCGCCTACGGAGGGAAGGTGAACTACATGCGCTTCGTGCGTCGGCTCCCTCGTGGGCAGGGTGGGGACATGGGAAGGGAAACGACGGAGGACACCGGAGAAGAGGATGCGGCGAGCGGCACGATGGTGGTGTCGTTAGGGAGATACAAGATGCGAGAGATGCCGTCGCAGGATGGCATCCGGCAGGGCCCGCAGCCTTGGCGCTACTCGTACCGCACACTGTGAAGAGGGCATGGGTAGCATCCAACATCCGAGCAGCAGACAATTGCACTACGTAAACGGCGTTGCACCAAACAATCTCTCCTCTACCTTTCTTTATTCCTCACCGCATTCGCCTGCGTTGATGCCGTTCTGAACGGCGCAGAGTGGCCAATGAAACGTGGAACGCACGAAAGCCCCGTAGTGCATCTTCACACGTAATACAGCGTACCGAAGAGTTGTACGGGCTGTCGCTCGTAGCGGCAACAGTAAATAAGTTCTTGTGTGTGTGCGTTGAGTTGAAAGAGCGGTCGATGCGAAGGAAGTGCGCGCGCAGTGCCGCTGTCCTCGCACGCTACCACGTCCTCTGTTCACATCCAGCGTGCTGCGCGAGACATTCGCGCCATTACCAATTTTTTTCTTTGGCGGCGGTGACGCTGCTGTTGCTGCAGCGGCCATGGCGGTCGTTTTATGCTTCATGGAGGCGCCGCTGGGAGGAAGGACAACGTACAGAGATGCACGGTGCAGCCTGTGTCGTCCAGCCACGATGTCTTTTCTCCTTCTTCGTGCTGTACTTATTCTTCCACTCTTCTACTTTTGGATTTCTTTCACTCGCTTTCCAGTAACACACACGCACCGCGGCGTGGTCTCTGCTCGTAGAACCACGAAAACAACAGAAGAACAGCATTCTCCTCCTCCCCCCTCCGCAAAAAACAAACGCACATGGCGACGTCGGTCCTTGCCATCGTCAACGCGAAGCGCGTGTGGCGCGGTGCGTCGGCGCTGCAGCCGGAGGTGGCCGCGTCGTACCCGGCTGAGGTGGACGCGCTGCTCGTGGAGGACGCCCGCATCGTTTGCATCGGCAGCACGGCGGAGGTGCTGCAGCGGTACGACGCTGCGGTGGCGGCGCAGGCGGCCGCGCATCCCACGCAGAACGACAGCGCCGATGCTGACGTGCGAGCGGTGGAGGGCGGCCGGGCCCGAACGGTGTCGCACCGCGTCATCGACTGCGCGCACCGCCACGCCGTGTACCCGGGGTTTATCGACTCGCACGTGCACTTCCTCGACGGCGGCCGGGTGCTGCGTGCGCCGCAGCTACACTTCGCATCGAGTCGTGCACAGTTCATCGACATCGTGCGCGACTATGTCGAACGCTCCTACAAGCACGACGAGGGCGGGTGGATTTACGGGACAGGCTGGAGTGAGGCGGTGCTCGGCTGCTCGCCTTTGCGGGGGTGGCTGGACGAGGTCAGCACGACGATCCCGTTGATGATGTTCAGCAAGGATATTCACTCTGCGGTGCTGAACACGGCGGCGCTGCGCCACTGCCACATCATCCCCGGCGCAGACGACGGCGACCCGGTGATCACGCAGGTCGACGGCGGCCGGATTGAGCTGGACGAGCACACGGGCGAGCCGAACGGCGTGCTGCGCGACAACGCCATCCACGTGACGCGGCGCTACGCCCCTTCCGCTGACACACGAAGCAACCAACAGCGCGCGCTGGAGGCGGCGAACGCCTACATGCTCGCGCGCGGCTTCACCTCCGTCTTCTCGATGATGTCCACCACCTTTACGGACAACATCAACGACATCGCCTTTCTGGCGGAGGCGGAGCGGAGGGGTGCGATGCGGCTGCGAGTGCGCTACGGCGTCCCGCTGAACGACGTGGAGCGCTTCGTGGCGACCTTCTACCGTGCGATGGCGGAGGAGGCGACCCGCACCGACCGCCGCGACGGCTTCACGCTGCCGTTCCGCTTCACTATGACGCCGCCGGCGCTGGGCGGAGGCTACCTCGTGCTGGGCGCGGTGAAGCTCTTCTCGGACGGCTCGCTCAGCTCGCGGACGGCGGCGATGAACCGGCCGTACGGCAGCGAGGTGACGACGGAGGGCGACATCGACAGCGAGCAGGAGGACGGCGCGATTGCGGCCTTTCTGGAGGGCCGTGCGAGGGCGGGGTGCGAGTGTCAGTGCGGTCTGCTGACGATGCCGCGGCTGGAGCTGCAGGCGGCGATCCACCTCGCGCACGCACACGACCTGCAGTGCGTCGTGCACGCGATCGGCGACCGCGCCGTGGCGACGGTGAACCGGGCGCTGTGCACTTCCGCGGAGTGGCTGCGCAGCCGCGCGGAGACGGCGGGGTTGGCGGCGGCGGTGGCGGACTTCCGGCGGCACCCGCGGTCACGCGTGGAGCACCTGCAGCACGTTTCAAATGTGGCGAAGGAGGTCGCACGGATGGCGCGGCATGACATCATCGCCTCGATGCAGCCGTGCCACCTCCTCTTCGATGGCGACTACGTCGACACGCTGCTGGGGCAGCGGCGGAAGGGGACGTCGTACATCTGGGGGACGCTGCTGCGGTCGCACATCCGCGTCGACCTCGGCTCGGACTGGCCGGTGGCGCCGGCGGATGTGAATGACGGACTGCGCGGTGCCGTGACGCGTGTGCCGGACGTGATGACGGCGTTGGCGATGGAGGAGCATCAGCAGCAGCAGCAAGAGGACCAGCACAACGGAAATATCGCTGAGGACGCCGTGGCCGCTCCTGCGCCGCCGCTGAAGCGGTACCACGACACGTGGAACGAGGCGGAGTGCATCTCGATGGACACCGCCATTCGGACGTACACCTACGAAGGCGCGTACGGGATGTTCATGGAGGACTACGTGGGGACGCTGGAGGTGGGCAAGCTGGCGGACATCACGGTGTGGTCGGACGACTGGCTGGACGAGAGCGGGAGGGTGGCCATGCGCGGTGTGACAGGCGCGAATGCGCGGTGGTGGCCGCGACACTCAGAGCCGCACGCGGCGTACACGATCGTGGCCGGCCTCGTGGAGTACGAGCACGCGCCGTGACGTGGCGCTCAAAGGGCAGTCAGATTTCTACGGACTCGTTGATCCCCCATCTTTCTTATCAGCATGTGTCTGCCCTTCTTAACGTTCTTCATACCGATCATCGAGTACTTCTACGACGGCTCTGCTGCTCGCCCCCTCCCCCTCCCCCCGCCCCGTACGGCCGTTGGTTTCGTGTGGTAAACCCCTCCGTGGTGCGCTCGCCTCGCGCGTCGACGCCGCTGTGAACGCTGGACGAGCGGAAGGTGGCGGTTGTGAAGGTGCGGGTGACGCCCTGCGCCGCCTTTTCCTGTCTATTAACATCTCTTATAATTGTTTCCCTCCGCACGAAGGTGCGCTTACCGTAATTGTTATTATGCTTTGCGAATGCATCCCCGAAGCGTGGTGTGAGGTCACGTCTTCTCCCTCCTGTTGTACACATCCCCGCTTAAATTTGTTCTTGATTATATACTACCTTAGTGTTTCCCCTAACACGTATGAACGCGGCTGCCGTTAAACGAAAAGAAAGAACTGGCTTAACACGCATTCCCCCTGCTGGTAGCGCTGGCCCGCCTCAGCGGATGGCAAGCAACGGGCTGCGGCGACCCAGCTGAACCAATGAAGGCAGGCGTTACGGAAGAAGGAGAAATCGAAAGAAGTACATATATCTATATATCGGTGCTCATCCTTACCGTGTGTGTGTGTGCTGCACCAGCGCCGGAGAGAGAGGGACGACGGATGATGAATTCGATGGCGATGTTGCTCTCCGGGAGCACATGAATGATGTCCTCCAACGGTATAAAGAAAAGAAAACCCATTTGAACGTTGAGTCCCCGTGACGCTGCTATTCTCTGGTTTATGACCTCGTCAAGCATCGTGCTGACGGAACAGAAAATCTAAAGCGGAGAACCGCTGCACGCCGGCTTCGTCGCCAACACCGACTCTGTTGTTCCTCTGTTGCCTCTCGCCTTCCTCCTTCCGTTCTCAACCGCCGCGTTGGTCGCTGGCGTTGTGCTGCACGCTCGTTGACCTTTGTATCCCCTTCTATGATGCATTGTGTCCAGATGCTGCTTCGCATGCGCACCTCCTTCGTGTACTAATCTAACACTAGGAACAATACATCACGGCTCCCTCTTCCCTCCTCCCTTTCTTTTCCTTTACTTGGTTGTTGACAGCACGTCGATCGCGTGATCCCACATTGTGTCTTCGCTGATCGCCGTCGTCATTATCAGCTTTTATTGTTCTTCTTGCTCCTCTTGATTCCCCCGGCGGCTTCTGCTGCACTGCGGAGGCCGTCTTGCATTGGCACTGGCGACGCTGCGCCGACACATGGCGGCTATCGATGCCGGACGGCAGCGCAACCCCGGCGTGCCGCAGGAGGACGACGGGGCGCCGCAGAAAGTCGCGCACTACTGGACGCAGTTTAAGCATAAAGCCCTCAGTCTCGTGTCGGATGAGCCGCCCGCGGATGAGGCGCTGCTCACGCAGATGCCCGAGGAGCCGGGCTATATGGACGGCCTATCGGAGATGACGGACCTGAGCTACACCCAGCGCATCTCCGGCTTCTTGATGATGATGGGCATGGGCATTCTTTTTGTCCTGCTCGGCTTGTTTCTGTGGATGTCGCCGAAGCGATTCGCGTTCTTCACGACGTGCGGCAACGTTTTCTGCGTGTGCTCGACCATGTTTCTCGCAGGCGCCAAGCAGCAGCTGCAGACGATGTTCCAGGCGAATCGATTCGAGGCGGCCTGCCTCTACCTCGTCTCGGTGGCCCTCACGCTCGTGAGCGCTGTGTGGCTGAAGTCGAGTCTCCTCTGCATCGTGTTTGCCCTGGTGCAGCTGGGCTGTGTGCTGTGGTACGCGCTGAGCTTCCTGCCTTATGCGCGGCAAACGATCAAGGTGGCGGTGGGCTACGCATCGATGGTGTTTGGTCCGATTGTGAATGGGATGGTGAAGGGTGTTAGCGCCTGTTTCGCGGCGGTGCTCGGGTGAAGGCGAAGGTGTAGTTCTTCTTGTTATTACTACTACTGCTCGTCTCGCCTTGTTCGGTGGCGCAGTGCTGAGTTCGTCTTGGGACCGCTGCGCGGCGGTGACTCCGTACCTTTTCTCCTGCTCCACTGTGCCTCGTTGCTGCATTGATGCTTGTTATGGATCGTGTGAGGATATATATAAGTATGTACAAGTACTCCGTCTACCACAGCGTCCACCCCCTTCGCGCCTCTCCGCCGATCCACGGACGTGCACGACGGTTCTGCACTTCACGAGGCGATGTTCGACGTCGCATTGACGGCGGCGCCTCTTCTCAAGTGTCCGCGTCTTTCGCTTTCCTGCTGCAGAGATCCTCCGCCGGCGGTTACGACGGACAAACTCCGATTCCTTTGCCTTGTCCTCGCGTGTAACGTCTCCCCCCCCCCCCCACCATAAGCGTCACCTACCGCATACTCCTACATCAAGTTTGCCTGCCTCGCTTACGAGCTGCCGCACCATACCGCTGTGCCACTGTGCGTGTGCCGTGCGAGACGGAGACGCCTCGCTTGACCGATAAGTACTGATACCTCCTTCACAGAACTGCGTGTGCGTGTTTCTCCTTTACTTCTCCGATACATATACGTACTTGTCTTCTTCATTGATGCTCCACCACACGTGGCTGCGACGGGGTTCCGCCGTGGCGGCGCTTCCCGCGTTTCAAAGCTTCGAGAGCGGCGTTGCCGGGACGAAGGACTGGCGCTTCTTCCTGCGCGATCCGACCAGAAAAGACGCAGTTATCTCCGCCTGGCACGACCTGCCGCTGCGGCTCACCCCCACCACCCCCACGAAATCGGCCGCCGCCGCAGATCCGCGGCTCTACACGTCGATGATTGAAATCCCTCGCGGCACGCGCGCCAAGATGGAGCTGTGCAAGGAGGAGAAGCACAACCCGATTAAGCAGGACGTCCTCACCAAGCAAGAAGGGCAGCCGCTGCGGTTCTTCCGCTACGGCGACATGCCGTTTAACTACGGCTTCCTGCCCCGCACCTGGGAGGACCCGTCGCACAAGGATCACCGCACCGGCTGCATCGGCGATGGCGATCCGGTGGATGTGGTGCACTTTGGGCCGGCGCACGTCTTGGGCCAGTACGACGTCGTGCGCGTGCTCGGCGTGTTGGGGTTGATTGACGAGGGCGAGACGGACTGGAAGATCATCGTGGAGTCCGCCTCCCCAGCGGCCGGCGACGGCTACGGGAGCCTTGCGAAGGTGCCGCAGGATGTGCAAGCGAAGATTTTGGACTGGTTCGAGAACTACAAAGTGCCAGATGGCAAGCCGAAGAACACGTTTGTGTTCGACAAGGAAATTCGAGGCGTGGACACGGCGCTGGAGATCATTGAGCAGTGTGCGCTGCAGTACAACGCGTTGATGGCGGGCCAGTGCGGCGATTTCGGCTACTGGCTGCGATAACCGAACGACGGAAGGGGCAAAAGCATTCCTCACGTTCTCAGCGCTTCTACTCGGAGGTTTTTTTCGGGGAGGGGGGGGGGAGGAGGGAGACGGGCGCCACAGTCGCCTCCTCCGCCGTGTTTCAATCGAACTGTCTGCGTGTGTGAAACGCCGGTTTTATTGTATCGTATTTTTTACTCCTTCTTTTCCAAGCATTGAGCGATCGCTAAACGCCGCTGACTCTTCCGTCTCCGTTCGGACAAAAATAATACGTGCCTTGGATCGTCGGAGGCGCGCTGCGTGCGATGTCAGCGCAGCTTCTCCTTCCTACCCTTTGCAATATGCGCGATGATCTGTTCTTTGCGTGTGTGCGTGCGTACGTGTACAGCTCCTGCGGATTGACTCGCTCTCTCCGCATGTACTCGAAGGTCGTGCCGTTCCTCTTCTGCCGATCTTCTTTGTTTTCGACTACGCAGCCGCCTCCGCCGTCGTGAAAGCGCTGGGCTTTGCTCACCTCTACGCGTCTCGCTGCGACTCCACTTCGGCGACGCCCCACTCCACCTCTACGCCTCTCTTCCACCCGTTTCTTTCCTTTGCGTTGCTTCGCTCGCATCGATCACCGTCGCAGGTCGCCTCTGTCAAAAGCGGCCTTCATTGATCCGCTGCCTCCCCGTAACTTTTTGCTTGTACGCCCCCCCCCCCTCCCCACTTCTCCAGCGGAGCAGACGGCAGGGTGCAGGCACAGGGAGAAGAGAGAAGAATCGGAACTCCTGTGTGCATTGAAGAACAGTAGTATTAATAATCTTGGCGCGTACCCACGGGAACTCGCCATGGGCAGACCCGAAAAGAAGGGCGAGATGCCCGGTAAGCTGGACACCACCGAGGCCGACAAGAGCACCCCCAAGTCCATCATCATCTACCGCGGCGACGTCGGCGCCGCCGTGCGTGCCCTCATGCACGAGTGGCGTAACGTCTTCCTTCCGTGGAGCAGCAAGAAGCTGCACGGCAAAAACAAATCCTTAAAAGACTTCCTTTCCGTCGCTGCCACCTTCAGCGTCTCGCATTTGCAGCTCTTCACCGCCCCCTCGCACGGCACCTCGCTGCGCATCATGCGCTTCTTCAACGGGCCCACCCTGTCCTTCCGTGTGCTGAGCTTCACGCTGCACAAGGAGATCATAGCGAAGCAGCGACGGCCGGCCGCGCTGGACCGCGCCGCGTGGGATGTCGCGCCGATCGTGGTGCTAAACAACTTCAGCCACCCTGATGTGGCGCAGCGGGCGGAGGTGCCCCTCTTGGCCGCCACCTTCAAGGCCCTCTTCCCGTCGCTGAACGTGCAGACAATCCAGAACAGCGAGATCCAGCGCGTCTGCCTTTTCCACTACGACCACGTGGAGCACGTGGTCGAGGTCCGCCACTACTACGTGAACGCCCGCACCGTCGGCGTCACCAAGACGGTGAAGAAGCTCCTGGAAAATCGGCGGCCGACAAAGCTTGGCACGCTGGAGAGCATCGATCAGGTGCTCGACCGCGAGGACGCATGGTCGGACACGGATGGCGAGGGCGAGGAGGTGCCGCTCGTACAGCCCTTCCGCCACCACCGCGAGCAGTGCCGCGTGAAGCTCCAGGAGATCGGGCCTCGCATGACGCTCGAGTTGGAGAAGGTGGAGAACGGGTTTGCTGGGGGTGAAGTTATCTTCCACCGCACCGAGAAGAAGACGCTGCGGCAGGTGCAGGAGAACGCGTCCAAGGTGCGGGCCCGCAAGACGGAAAAGGCGAAGCGGCGAGCGGTGCAGGACGAGAACGTGCAGCGGAAGCGGCAGCGGCGGGAGGAGAAGATCGAGCAGAAGCAGCAGCGCCGTGCAGCGGCAGCGGAGGCGCAGCAGAGCAACCCGTTTGAGGTGGCAGGCGGCGACGCTGACGGGTACGCCGGGGACGCGGAGTGAGATCAAGAAAGCCAATGCATTCACGCAGTGGGGCGTCTGCATTGAGTGTCTGTGTGTTTGTCTGATACTTGTTCTCGCACCGCGTGGGCGCGTGCAGACGGGAGAGACTGAAGAAGGAAAGGAACTGGTGGTGATGTACGCCATTTTGAGGGGCGCCGGGTTCCGCGGCACACTCCCGTCACGCCTCACTCACGCCCCGTCGTTGCGTTGAGCTCCGCTGCTGAATCTCTTTTAGTAAATATATAAGTATTTCGTTCCTTTACAGTTTGTTTTTGTCCTCGAGTGTTTTCTTTCAGGCGACGCTTAATACGCCCCTTCAACGGATGCACGGAGAGATGACCTGCACCGGCGACGGGGGACGGGTAATGGTGAAGTAATCGTAGGTAACTAAGCACCACATGTTTTTGTGTTGGTGTGAGTGCGTGTGTGTGCACGCACCCCTCATGGTAACACCAAGAAGCAAACAGCTGATAGCAAGAATGAAAGGAGACGTTGCTGCCGGGGTTGCGCGAGGCAGCACACGGCGTGTGTGTGCGGCGAGTGCAGCCTGTGGGTGCTGCGAATTCAGCTTCCTCGTCTAGCTGTTGATGTGATGGGGATGTGATTCTCCATCCTCACCCCGCATAAGCGAGTTCTTCGATAATGAGCAGTAACGCTTTCTAATGAAGCCCGTTCGGCTTCTCACAGGGCTCGTTGTGATGAGAGGAGCTCGTGTGTGACGCGCTCGCGCCACCGAACACACACCCTGCCATGAATGTGTCACGCTTCCTTTTCATTTTGCCACCACTCTCCTCGTCCGTCTCTGCTGTGATGACTGCTTTCGCTGACACGTGTAGATGTCTGCGTAGCGCGGCCATTGCTGCGTGCCTCTTCGTACGTGAGAACAGAAAACCGTAAAGTGCAGGGGAGAACGCGGTGAAAGCGGGTGGGAAAGGTCTCGCGTTGTCGCTGCCGTCCTTTTTGTGGCTCACGTGCGCTGCATCGCGTGGGCCGCGCGCCGCGCGTGCTGAATCTCTCTTCTCCTCCTTGGTTTTATACACACAACAGGCAGTAATTCCATTCGATGCTCTACGACTTCTTCCGCTTCCTCCGCGGTGTGTGGGACGCCGTCGTGCTCCCGTACGTTCTCCTCTCCATCGCCAACCTCGCCACGGACGGCTGGGAGGCGGCGACCCACCTGCGGGAGACGCTTAAGGTGCTCGTCTGCTTCCTCAGCGGGCGCAGTCACCGCGGCTTCCCACTCTCCCGCTCCGCGTTGGAGGCGCAGCGGACTGCGGTTACCGCTGCGGCGGGATCGACCGCCGCCGGCCGCAAAACTCCCTCCACGCTGCCGTTGGGCCCGCGGGGAGTCGCGTCGCCGCCGCCGCTGCTCCACTGCAGCTACCGCGCCGGCAGCGAGGAGGAGAACGACGCCGACAGCGAGGCGGAGTTCCCGCCGGGGCGGCAGCGCCCCTCCGTGCGCGGACTCTCCGACGAGGAAAGGCGTCGCGAAGGCTGCACCAGCGGCAGCACCGGCGCCGCGGCCGACGACGACGATGGCGACGACGGCTCCGTCAGTCCTGCGCCTCTCATTCAACGCCGGCTTTTGCTGGGGAGGAAGGGCGAGGTGGAGGAGTGGCTGCCGGCCCTGCGCAGTCGCCTGCTGATTCCACCGCACCACCCCCTCTGCGTCTCGCGTAGCCTGCATCAGCTGGTGAGCATCGTCATCGGGCCGATCCAGCAGCCGACCGTCTCCACGATGCCGACGCGGCACCCCGAGCCGCAGTGGCCGCCGCACTTTCTGCGAACGGGCCACAACGCTGGCGGCGGCGTCGCGGGCGGCGGCGTTGGCGACCCCTCGACCGATGAGTACAGCAGCTCGAACTCCAGCGCAACGTCGAGCACGCTGCGGCGCCGCAGCGGCCACACGACGCGTTACCGTCAGGCCTCGTCGGTCGTCTACCAGCGCGTCAGCAGCCGGCACCTCGACTTCTCCAACTCGCGCGTCGCACCGCACCTCATCGCCTCCATCACGGCCCACCACGTGCTGAGTTACCCCGCGACGCGGCAGAAGGTGCTCGTCATGGACTTGGACGAGACGCTCTGTTATGTGTCGACGACCACGGCGAACATGGCGGGCCCGCCGACGTTCTCCGAGGTGATCCCGACCGTGTCCGGCGCGGAGCTCTTCCATGTCTGGGTGCGCCCCTACGCCCGTCTCTTCCTGGCCACCGCGGCGAAGCTCTTCAACCTCGTCCTCTTCACCTCCGCGTCGAAGCCGTACGCAGACACGATTCTGCAACGCATCGATCCCGATCACCTGCTGAAGCTGCGCTACTACCGACAGGACTGCCGACTCGTGTCGCGGCGTATGCTGCGCGTGATGTGCGCCGCAGTGGGCAAGCGGGGGGCGTCGTCGGACTCCGCTGGTCGACAGAGCAGCAACGACCGCGTCGGGGCAGGTGCACGGGAAGGGGCGGTGGGGGACTTCAACCCCAGTCCCAGCGAGCAGCACGACGATGCCAGTGGCAGCGGGTCCACGACGAGCACGGACAACGACAGCGCCGGCGGCGGAGGCACCGGTGGAGTGAGCAGCAGCAGCGGAGCGGAAAGCGCAGACGCGACCGCCACTCAGAAGGCGACGACGACGACGACGTGCAGCTTCGCCTCCTCTGGCGGGCTGTTGACTGTGGGGAACACCGCACGAAGCAGCAGCAGCAGCAGCACGAACAGCAGCATCAGCAGCGGCGGCAACACGAACACCGCTGTCGCGGCGACAGCGGAAGACTTGCCTGTTCTCGAGAAGTCCCTCATCAACGAGCACGCCAAGGTGTTGCTGAAGGACCTGCGTATACTGAAGGTCCCGCCAGAGCTGCTCGTGCTGATCGACAACTCGGAGGAGTGCACGCTCGTCAACCCCGAAAACGCCCTCATCGTCTCGCCGTTCATCCCGTCACTGACGAAGGGATCCGCGAGCGAGAAGACCGCCGTAGCGGCGGCGGCGCACCCGACGCGCGGAGCGGCGCGCGACACGGATACGCCGCGTAGCGATCCACAAGGGGAGGTGAAGGAGGCGGCATCGCCGAACACGGCGGCCGCCGCCGTGCCGGACGACGCGCGCACGAAGTCGGCGAGCAGCGGCGGCCCTGCGAGGGAGCCGACGACACCGGCGGAGGAGGTGTTACTGATGGGGGACGACGGCGCCGCGAACGACGGTCCGGAAGAAGATGAGGTGCTGTTGGCGCTGTTGCCGATGCTGGAGTGTCTCCTGGTGGTCCCCGACGTGCGCTCCATTCTGCGGCTTGGGAAGCTGTATTGAGACGGGGCGGGGAGTGCTTCCGCGCGCTCCACCGCGGCGTGGCTGCCAGGCGAAAGCGACGAAGCAGCAGCAAGATGCGTTTGGTGCGGGTGTCGGTTGCGACGTGCGTGGTTCATTCATTCATTCATTAATTTACCTCTCTATTTGTAGCAGGGCAGACGAAGGCGGTGTTGGTTTTGTTTGTTTCCTCTCTTGCTCCTCGTGCTTCGTGTGCTGTCGGGCGTTCTTCCCACGTTCTCGTCCGCCGCCTCCTTTTCATTCTGCTGCACCGGTTCGCTTGCCGGCCTGACGACAGGAACGGTGTTCAAGACAAACCGCAGCGGAGCGGGGCCTCCCACGCGTTCATCAACAACGACACAGCCGTGCTCCCGGTTCCCCCCCCCTCCCCCTCCTCAATGCCTTCTTTTTTTGCTCTTCTCCGTCTCCTCTCGCGTTGTCCGCCCTCGCATGGTCTTCGTTCTCCATCTGTGCGCCCGCTGTTTGCTGCTGCGGTCGTAACTCTCACCTCGCAGAAACCACCAAGAAAGGGCGCTGGAAGAGATCATCGACTACAATTTTGCTGCACACATCCATTCTGCGTCATCTGCCGTTTTCACTCCGCGCCGCTTTCCCACAATACGGCAATCTCTCTGTGTTGAGCAGCAGCGCCGCTGAACCAAATTGGCCAACACGGTACGGAGATGTCGGCGCGACTCTCCGTCGCCCCCGCGGCGGCGGCGCAGCTCATGCGCCGGGTCTTGCACCCCGCCCTCGCTACCGTCTCCGCCACCGCACAGGCAGCTGCGTCATCTACGGCTTCACCTTGTGTCGTTGGCACGACGGCACGTGCCTTTCACGGACCCAACGGCGCGCTGCGTACCTCGGCGCACTGCTGTGCCGCCGCAACAAGGAGGAGCAATAATAGTAAGAAGAAAACGACGGCCACCACGGCGAAAGCACGCACACCGCGGCGCCGAGCATCGGCGGCTGGGGCGGCGGCGGCACCTCCTCCGCCGCAGCTTTCGTCACCCGTGCCGCTGGAGGACGCCACAGCGGCACCGCACTCGACCGGAGGAAGAACGACGGACGAGGAAGCAAATGTGGTGGCAACACCGCCTCTCGACACAGCTATAAAAGAGCAGCGGCGGGTGCTGCAACTGCGCGACGCGGTGCGGGAGTGGTCCGCGCTGCGCCAGCGCTGTCGATGGCAGCGTCAACACACCCTCTCAGCGAGTGCATCAAGCAGGGCCAGCGGGACAGTCGGGGCGTCGGCAGCAGCCGCAGCAGCAACAACATCTGAGTCTTCGTCGTTAGCATCGGCCCCCGCGCTGCCTTCCCGAGCCACATCCCCCTCACTCCATGGGTCCAGACCGCTTGAAACGGGCAGCAGCAGCAGCAACAACAGTGCTAACGCAGAGGTCCACATGGAAGAGCGTGCGGTTCTCATGTCCACCGTAGCGAAGGAGGCCAAGACGTACCCGCAGCTTTCCGCCCTCTTTTATCCGCACGGTCACAGCAGCGCCACACGCAGCACCGTGGTCGACGACACACCACCTGGAGCGGCAGCCGCAGCAGCACCGTTGGAGCGTGCGGTGTGGGAGGTGTCAGACGTGAGCTCGCTGATGGGTGCGGAAGCGGACACGGTGGCGCTGCTGACGCTGCTGCGCGTGCACTTCCACGTGGCGCAGCAGTCGGAGGAAGGTGCTCGTCTGCACAACGTGCTGTGGGACGCCTTCGTACGGGGTCTGCAGCAGCGAATATCACGCGAGGCAACGGCAGCAACGGCGAGGACCGCCGTCGCGCAGGTGCTGCACGTGCTGGTGGCTGTCTATCGGGATCAGCTCGCACTGGGCGTGACAACCGTGGGGCCCTTGCATGACAGCACGAAGGCGAAGAAGGGCAACCCGAATGCAAAGAGGAAGACCAATCTTCGGAAAGTAATGCAGCAGCGGAAGCAGACAGAGGAGGCGGCGGCTGTACACGCACGGGTGGCGCGTGTGCTGGAGGCACTGGTCAGCCCTCTTTACGAGCTCGACCAGCTCATCTCAGCAGAAAGCGGCTCCGCTGCCGCGTCTGTGTCGACGAACGATGTCTCACGTGAGGCGGAGTACGGCGCAGCATCGACGCTGGTGATGCTGGCGGCTCTGAGCGCCGTCGCCGAGGAAGCTGCGGCGCTGCTCAGCCGCTCCTCTTCCCCACAAGACGCGCCACACATGCATTCCTTCTTGAACTCGACGCGGCCGAAGTGGCGCAAGTGGCGTGACGCGTCCCTCAGCCGTTTATTTACGCACTTCGAAGATCAAAGGACGAAGGGGGAGGAGAGCGCAGCGGCAGCAGCAGGCTCGTTCGTCGATGTGCTGCGCTGCCTGCGGTGGACGGAAGAGTTAGAGGTGGTGCTGCGCGTGTCGACTCTCGGGAAGGTGGAGGCGCTGTGTCAGCGCGCTCTGCTGCAGACGTGCCGCACTGCCGCTGCCGCTGCCGCCAACAACAGCAATAGCAGTAGTGGTCACCTCTTCGAGTACCTCTGCACGCCGTCCGTGGCGGCCGAGTTGAACCGCCTGTCGCCTGACCGCGTCACCTACGCACAGGCCTTCACCGATCTTTGCACCGTAGCCGCCGCCTACCTGCAGCAGCGACCCGATCGCATCTCCAGCTTAGTCAACACGCAGGAAAGCGAGCACCACACCGCGGCGGCGCGTATCGGGCTGAATCGCCAGCTGCCACCGCGGCCGCCGCTGCGCTGTCCGGTGGTGCAGCTCCTCTACGCCATGCTCTGCTCCGGCTTCGCGGCTGCCTCGCTGCTCACCAGCGAGCTCTGCCTCTCCCTGTCTCCGCGCGACACCGCCGACGTCGTGCGAGCTGCCGACTTGTTCTCCCTCTCGTGCGGGACGGCGCCGCTGCCGGTGCGGACGCGCGGGGTGCTGGTCGACCAAGTCGTAGGCCTCTTGACGCAGTGTCGGAAGGACGGTCACCGCGTCGTCGTCAGCTCGACGGACGCGGCGGACGGCGACGGGGGGTCGAACGCTTCTCTCGCTGCAAGGCGGCGGGACGGGGCGGCGGCGAGCAGTGGGGGCGCGCCCGGCGCCGGTGGGGCTTTCAGTTCTGGTGCCGTGCCCAGCAGCACCTCGGCGGCCCGCCGCAGCGGACGTGGTAGGGGCCGAGGAAGCCGCTCTTCCTCCACGACGAGCAACAGCTGGAATGCGCAGATAAGCGGGGCTTCGGACGAGAACGCCGTTGCAGCGGCGGCGATGACGTCGTCGCCTTCACACATGCCTAGCGCCGCGACCGTCGCCGCAGGGTCCGTGCTGACTCCCGCCGTCTACCGCACGCACGTGAATTACGCCCTCTACGTCTCCGTCGAAGCCATCGTGGAGTGCGTCGTGCGCGGCGACGTGAGCGCGGTGGAGGCGATCGCCCACGCGCTGCTGCCGCTGCTGCAGCAGGAAGGCCGCGAGGCCGCACTAACGGAGGGTCTGGAGTGCATCTGGGCAACGCTGAGGGATCGGCTTACCGAGCTGGGCAGCAACGACCTGGCGACGGCCGCCTCTTACCCGGCAGCGACTGCCAAAACCGCAGGCGTGACTTCGCCCTCTCACCAGCAGACGACACCCGCCATGGAGGAAGCCCTTGCGCTGCTCTCCACGCTTTTTCTCGCACACATGACGGAGTCGGCGATGCGGATGTTGACTGGCGCCAGTCTCGCCTCCGCCTCCGCGGCCGCCAACACTGGACTGCGCGATGGGGCTTTTGCGGGGGGTGGCGGTGCACGCGTTGCGCCGCTAGACCACCGCACCGCCGCACCGCTGCGCAGCCAAACGCTGATCGACATGGCACTGCGACTGACCACCGTGGCAGTTCTGTGCGGCGTGCCGGCTGGCACCGTCGCGCAGCTGACGACGCTGCACAACACCTTGTTGAAGTCGCAGGGGCGAGCGGCCGAGATGGCCGCCTCCTATGGGAAGACGGCAGCAGACGCATCGGGAGGATCGGCATCGAGTGTTGCCGCGCCGGTCGGTGAGGCCTTCGCGGTGGTGGAGCGACTGGAGCGACTGCTGACGGACCTCACCCGGCAGGCGCTGCCGTGGACTCGACACCCGTCCTCCACGCACGTCCGCAGCAGCGGGGCGGCGGTGCAGCAGGTGCTGGGCGTCTACATCGCCTCCACGGCTGCCGTGGTGCGGGGGGTGACCCAATCTGTCACCGCTGCCAACATCGAGACCGGCGACCACGGCGCATCTCCCCCACACGTGAACGTCTCTGCGCCGTACCGGCATTACCTTCTGACGGTGGTACACCTCCTCTACCGGCTGTCGACCGAGTTCCCCGTGGAAACGGAGCCGGCGACGCTTCGGCAGTTCCGCATCGACGTGCTCGACCCGGCCCTCACCGCCGCCCTCCTCGCCGCCCCAACCACCGCGGCAGCAGGGAAGAAGAAGAACCGCAGGAGCGCGACGAGCGATGACGAAAGGAGTAGGGGCACCCCGGAGCCGGTGCTGCAGATGCCGCTGACCACGCTGACGGAGGTCATCGTCGTCATGTGCGTGCCGGAGAGCGTGCAGCACGTGTCTTCGTCGTTGATGTGCGGTGTTGTGACGGCGGTGGAGCAGCACTTAAAGGCGCGGAAGCAGCGGCAGCAGGAGCAACTCCAAGAACACGCAGCGGGCACAGACAGCCCGCACGTCGTGGATACCGTTTCGGGGGTTCTGGCGATGCAGCTGCTCAGCTCCGCCGCGGCGGTGTGCCTGCGCGCGGACGACACCCTCACGGCGATGTTGCTGCAGCTGCTGGACCAGCTAAGTCCGCTGCTGTCGCTGTGGCAGGCAACGACGGTGCTGGAGCGGCTCCACGCGACGGGAGCACCGCTGTTTGCGCCGGCGGTGCGTGTGCTGATCGAACGGCTCGTGACGGCTCTCCACGACAACACCGACGGAAGCGCAACCCCGCCGTCGCAGCTGCCCAGCCACGACAAGGAGAAGCCCACGAAGAAAGAGCGCATCAGCGCCGGTCAGCAGATACGCATGCTGCACTCCCTCAGCGGGCTGCAGCGCACGGCGGACGTGGCGGTGGCGGAGCAGCGGTGGTCGCCGGGCGAGGACGTCGATGTCGCGGCGCTGCTGCGGCTGCTACACGCCGTGCCGTACGCACCGCTGCTGCGCTCGCTCGTGCAGCCCTCCCTCCTGCAGCACCATCCCTACTCCGTCGGGGAGTGCGGGTGCATGGTGGAGGTGGTGGCCCACCTACTCCAGCGGATGGACGTGGAGGAAGCGGAGGCGGAGGAGAACGACACGTCGACACCCCTTCGTCGCTGGACGGCAGACGAACGAGATGCGTTGCGGCTGATCCCGCGCACCCTGGCCATGCAGGTGCTGCAGGCCGTGCAACTGTCCTTTCCCCGGCAAGACGTACCGCTGCTGCTGCGCGGGTACGCGGCGCTGACCAGCGAGCCGCACCTGCAGCGGCAAATGCTCGGCGCGTTCATCTCGCGCACCATCCGCGCCGCGCCGGTGATGACGCCGGTGGAGATCGTCGAGTGTGTCGAGGCGTACTGCGTCGGCGGGGTCTTTCATGAGCAGCTCTACGGCGTGTTGCTCGGCCGGGCCGCGGACATGGGCCGGCGGCTCACGCTCGAGCTCTCCGTGCGGCTGCTGCGCTGTGGCACGCTGGCTGGCCACGCGAGTGTGCGCACAGTGTGCGTGACGGCCGTGCAGCCAATCTTCTCCTCGCAGGTGCGTGGCCTGCTGCAGAGCGACCCACGCATGCTCGTCTCGCTCGCCTCGACCGCGCTGGCGATCCTGCACTGCCTGCGCGACTGCTTCCCGCACGACGACATCGGCGCCGCGGTGCTGACCAACGTCGCGCGCTATCACCACGACGCCTCCCTCTCCGTTGTGAAGGCGGCCTTGGAGCTGATCGAGAAGCGCGGCTCGGTGGACTACGACGTCACCCACGTGCTAGCGCGGCACTGCACGGAGGCTGTGCTGCCGACCTGCACGGCGGCCGAGCTCGCCAACGTCACGTGCCTGCTGCTGGTGTGCGGCCTGCGGTCTTCGGCGCTGCTGGAGGTGGTGTACCGGCGGTTGGGCGACGTCGTAGCGGCGATGTCCGGCGGCAGCTTAGCGAAGCTGGCGCAGGGGTTGCTGAGGGCGTCCGTCGAGGTGGACACGGCGGCGGTGCAGCTCATGTGTGAGCGGGTGGTGGTCTTGACGACAGCATCAACGCACCCGACTGGCGCGGCGGAAGGTGTGGGTAACGAAGGGGGAGAAGAGGCGCCGCTAAAGACGAGCGACCGCTGCCGTTCGTTAAAGACGAAGGGTCGAACGTCAAGGTCGCCGCCCCGAGCCGCGGAAGACAACGGTGGCGGCAATTCCATGGAAGGGACTTCGCGGAGCACTACGCCTCCTCCAGCAGCAACGGCATCAGCCTCCGCGGCGTCACCGGCGCCCCTCACGCTGCATCACGTCTGCGCCTTTCTGCGCCTCTCACGCAGCGTGGGACGGCGCCTCACCGTCACGGCGATGGAGACGGTGGACGTCTTGCTGCGGTACACGCAGAACCGCATCGCGGCAGACGTCGCCGCCATGTCAGCAGCGGCGCAGGCAACCACACACAGCACCGATGCAGCTGATCTCGACGAGACGCGATCCCTCGAGGACGATAAAACCGCCGCCGCGGCCGCCCCTCCGCCCCTCCCGCCGCCACTGCCGGTGTTGGAGGGCGTGCACCCGCAAGAGGTGGAGGAGGTGTTGCGCGCCTGCATTGACCTGTCCAGCACACCCAAGGTGTTCTTCCCCCTCGTGCGGAGTCTGGCGGACTACATGGCCTTTCTGCTCCAGCAAGCAGCAGCGGAGGATGAATCCGCGGAAAGGCCCGCGGTGCTTGCCACAACGGTCGCTCGCAACCGAGCAGCGAAGCAGCGACGCACGCGCGGCTCGATGCTAACGCCGTCCGGCGTGGGCGCTACTGCTGCTGCCGCGCTCGCCTGGCAGAGCGACTTAATTCTGTTGGTGGACCTGTGTAGTCTGTTTGTCCGCCTCGGGGAGGCGGGACACCCGGTGGTGAAGACGCTGTTCTCAGTGCTCTACGAGCGTCGCGGGACGCTGCTGCAGCGCGCGCTGCTGCTGAAGACGACGAAGCAGTCGCTGGAGCTGGCGGGGCGTGCGGTGCATCCCGAGCTATACAAGTTGGTGGTGGACGAAGAAATTGCGTAGAGCCCGCGGCGACCACGACAACGGTTTGCCGGGTGGTCGGGACGGCAACGGCGTATATGGCGATGGATGTCACGCGTGTGTGTGTGTGTGTGTATGTGTCTGGGTGTGTGCTTTTGCCACGTCAATACTCACAGAAATCGACTCCCTTTTGTATTTCCAGTGTTGTTTTAACTTCCACTTCTCTCCTCCGTCAGTCGCTTCGTGGTGCGGCAAGTGCTTCCCTCTTGTGGGAACCTACACGTCTGCCGTTTGTCATGAAGGCGCACGAACGCGACGCTTGTGTGTGGTGTTGTTGGTTCACCTCCCTTCTCCCATTCATTGGTTGGGTCACGTCTCATCGTGCTGTCGGCTTCCGCGTGTTTTGTCCTCTCCTTCACACACACACACACACACACACACACACACACCACCCTCCTCACCTCCTCCTCATCGCTGCTCCGCGGCTCCACGACACCTTCAGCCCAATTCTGCCGCGTTCCGTATAGCGGAAACAGGCGAGCCCAACAAAAGTTGTAGGCGTGTGTTTTCGGCTCCTCCGTTGTGCTTCACGGGTAAGGTCTAGTTGGTATTTGCGGGCTCCCCGCGAGAGAAATCGGAGGAGCATTCATACCTCAACACACACACACACACACACACACTGCGCGACACGGTGTACGAGAGCGTCTGCAAAAACACATACAAGCACACAGCCATACACATCCAACGTTAAAAGCGGCCTTCACTGCAGAGAACGAAGGGCATTCCTTTCCCTTCTGTGACGCCTCGGCTTGTCGCTCTCCCGTGCGCGACTCCACAGAGCCCTCCGCGCGGCTTCTTCCCCCCCCCCCCGGACTGAGGATAAGCACCGTACCACTCTCTTAACCATTGCCTTCTTTCCACCCAGGAAGCTGCAATTCTCAAGAAGACACACACATACATATTCATATACATACATATACATATATAGTTAGAAGGATAGAAAACTCAAGTAGATATCGTGTACGAACTCAGCGATGCCTCCCTGCCAGCAATTCGAAGAGCGACTCGCCTCGCTCTTCGCCTTGGAGCTGCGACGTCAAGGCGTGCCGGACGTCGATGAGTGGCTGGACCGACTCCACACGTGCTGCAGCTACGTACCCACCGGCGCCAACGCACACGCCAGTAACGACGCGGCGAGTCTTACCTCGAGCTCGCGGCACAGGCCACCCGCGACGTGGGCGCTCGTGATGGACATGACAAATGTAGCTCTCGGCGACCGGCCTGCCGTGGCGCTCTGTGAGTCGCTGCTCAAAGTGGACGGTCCCAACGCGCGTGGGCGGTCGAATGAGATCGTGGAATGGCAGCTCGTGTGGCGCTGCTGCGGGCTGACGGACCGCGCTTTGCATCACCTGCAGCTGCTCGTGACGGGCTGTGCGAAGCTGGCGGCGTTGGACGTCTCTGCCAATGCGTTCACCGAAAGCGGCATCGCAAGTTTGCTGCACGCGGCGGCGGAGGTGCCGTGCGACGTGATCGTGGCGGACGACGTACGCGGCAGCGAGCTGAGCCATAGCGGCCGCAGTTACCCATCACGTGAGGTCAGCCCACCATCGACGTCAGCGTTCCGCATCCCCCCTGCTGCAGCGGGGGGAGGAGGAGAGGGGAAAGACAGCAAAGCTGATGACGCACCACAACCGCAGCAGCAGCAGCAGCAGCAGCAGCGAGGACCGATCGCCGCAGCTGGACACTCCCCGGTCGTCGCAACCGCGGCGACTCCGTCAAGTCAAAAGGAGCCTCCTACCGACATCGACGCGGGCAGCCAACGCAGCCTCTCCAACAAAGCGCCGCAACAGCAGCAGCAGCAACAGCAACAGCAGCAGCAACAGCAACAGCAGCTGCCGCGGTCGAACCGGCTGCTGCAGCGGTCTCCGTCGCTCACCGCCACCTCCGCCTCCTTCTCCCACTCGCAGCGGAGTTACGCCAGCGGCAATGCGCAAGCGCTACAGCGCAGACGAGAGGAGCTCTTCGGGCCGAGCTCGCCCGCCGCCGCCGCCGCCACGGCTTCTGTCAGCGCCTCCTCACCGGTGGAGGCCGAACGAGTGCCGGCGGAGCGCAACGCACCGGTGGAGAAAAATGCGAAGACCGCCACGATCGTTGCCTCAATGGAAGCCGCTGCGGTTGCTGCTGCTGCTGCCGCCGCTGCTGAAACACCGGCGGCGCCTGGGCCTCCTTCCCCTTCCTCCCCGGCACCGGCACCACCGACGTCAGCGCTCGATGGCAGCCATTCCCCCTTCCGAACAACCACCACGGCGCCACAGACGCCATCGGAGGCGAGTGGCGCGCGGCGTCGCGCAGCGCGTGGCGAGAATGGATACGGCGGCGAGGACGACGGCCAAAGCAAAGAAAGGACGACGAGGAGCGCCGACAGCGCGGCGGCGGCGCCATCGCGGGAGCCGTTTGAGGACCGCAACGACCGCCTCGACGTCACCGCCAACCTCAGTCCAACGCTGGACAGCGTGTTGGACCTCTCCGCCCTCACAACACGGGAGGGCACGCTGCGGCAGGCACACATGTTTGGCGGCGCCACGACTGTCTGGGATGTGTTGGACGCCTACGAGCAGGCAGCGGAGCAGCAGCAGTCGCAGCAGTCGTGGACGAACGCCAGCGTCGATGCGGCGCTCCGGGCGAGGTTGCCCGCCGCGTTGCTCGGAGGCACGACCTACAGCGCAATCACCGTACTGAACCTCAGTCGGAACCACCTAACGCGTCTCTGCCCCCTTCCCGCGACGCTGCTGCGGTTGGATGTCAGCTCAAACGACCTGACGGAGTTGGAGGGGCTGCACGCCTGCAAGGTGCTGACGGTATTGAACGCACGCCGCAATCACCTACGCGCGATCGGCGGCCTCGAGAGGAACCTCGGCATCGCGCACCTCTTCCTCGGACACAACCAGATCACCCTCGTTGACGGACTCGCGCACTTGGTGCTGCTGGAGACGTTCGACATCACATTTAATCAGCTGCGCACGCAGTCTTCGATCCGAATGCTGTCCCTCTGCTCCGCCCTGCGCCACCTCCTCATACGCGGCAACCCAGTCGTGGAGAGCGGAAGGGTGGGCTTTACGGCGGTGCTGCGCAATCTGTGTCCGACGCTGCTGGTAGTAGATGAGCAGCGCGTGAACAGCGCAAAGCTCGCCGACAGGGCGTTGATGCACCGGGGCTGGGGGCTTCCGTCCAACCTGATCAGCAACACCAACCCGACGACGACTGCGGCTGCTGCCGCCTCCTCCTTCTCCCCTCTTCACTATTCGGGGACGTCGTCGGCCTCGTCCGCGCTGGCCCACGTCGTAATGGGCCCGCGCAGCGGCGGTATTGGTGCCACCGGTGGTGATCGGTCTGTGGAAGGCTCCACCGCGTCTTCCCTCCCGTTCACGGCCTCACGTCGTCGCGAGAAGAGCGACGGGAGCGGTGGCCGCCGTCCAGCCCCCTTTGCAGCAGACGACGGCGCCGCGGACGAGCGCTCGATGGAGCTTCTGCGTCAGCTCACACGCGGCGTGACGGCCCCGACGGGCTACGGCGACTCTGCCAAGAGCCAACACGCCGCGCAGCACCTCGCCCAGCTAAAGAAGGCGGAGGAGGAAAAGGAAAAGCAGCAGCGGGAGTGGCGACTGACGGCCAACGGGCACCCACTGCGCGCGTTTGTGGTGAGGCAGCTCGCGGAGGAGTCGCGCAAGTACGTGGAGGACACGATCCTGCGACGTGTCGCCGCTCAACAGCAGCAGCTGCTGTCAGTTGGCGTGCACAGCAACGCGGCGGCGTTGATGATGGCACAGCACACGCCTGTCAGCAGAGAAAATGCCGAAGTCGCCGCACCGAAGAAAGGCGGCTCGATGGAGCGCCGCACCGATGCCGCTCCCCCACAGCCACAGGTGCAGCGTCCCATGATGGACGTCGTCGGCGGCGTGAACTCCCCCGCACGGTCCGTCACGCCGAAGGCAGCGGCAGCCGTTGATCCTGCGACCGCGGAGGTGCTCAGGCGCTACGAGCTGCGAAGGAAACCGCCTCGACGTCGCTCGTCGGCGGCGGCGCTGCCGAAGGTGGCCACGACGCACGCGGCACAGTTGCGGGCCGCCTCTGCACGACGCAGCTTAAGCGCTTCTGCCTCTCGTTCAGAGAGCCCGACACGCGCCGCTGCCGCAGCGGCAGCAGTAACTCCTTCTCCTCCTCTGGCCACCGCTGCATCCACTGTTGGTCCTGCGCGTGCACGTCCTCGTGGCCCGGGCGGGTCCAGGGCGCAGTCCACCCCCTCGCCGCCACCACCACCACCCCAACGCTTCTACGGCGGACACCCCGCTGACAATGACGGCGACGCAACGTTAGATGCCGTGTACGTGGAGGACCTGTGGAGCGGTGACCACCGTCTTGTCCACGAGGCCGGGTCAGAGGAGGGAGGTAACTCGTACGCCGCCCTGCACCTCGCTGAGAGGCACACGGCGGCCACGGCGAAGGCCGACAGCGCCATTGGAGAGGCGGAACTTGAATACTCGCCGATCGCGAAGGATCCACAGGCGCGACTGCTGGCCTCACTCAACACCACCGCCTCTCTCCACGAGCGCAGTGAGCACCGCGCACGTGCGGCGTCCGCCGGCCGCGCACAAGGCGTGTATAACACTCCTCCCCCCGCAACGGACCACCGGCGCCGTCATCCTCCTCCACAACCGACGCACATCAATGCGGCTCGCCGCAGCAATCTGGTTGGGGCCAGCGAGGCCCACCGCGACCCGACAGACGTGGAGGAGACAGCGATCTACCCAGCCAGCCGCAGCCACAGTCGCGCCTCTCGCGCAGGTAGCTCGCAGGCGTCACGGCGCCCCCCTTCACCCTCGTCGCGCGCCGCACCGGCAGCAAAAACAAGGCCGGCCGAAGCAGCCGCAGGAGGGAGAGGCAGAAATGGCGGCGGTGGTGGTGGCGGCCGCTCCGCACGGCACGTCGAGCAGACCCCCACGCACGCACCTCCGCCCACTCGCTCCCGCTCCCGCAGCCCGTCGCTGCAGCCGCTGCACATCGATGCTGAACAGCGCAATCGCGTGCAGTCGTGGACCTCCCAGCTAGCCGACGATGCAGCGGCGGTGCAGGAGGCGCTGCAGACCCTCGTGGAGCTGCTCGAGGCGCAGCGGCAGCCGAACCAGCCCTACCCGGAGACCAGCCGTGAGCTGCCGCCAACCTATGTGCAGGAGCGCCGGCGATGTGTCGACATTATCCAGCAAAGCGGCATGCTGGCCGACACGCAGGTGCCGATGGACGTAGTCGTCTACCACGGCTTCAGCAGGGCGGAGCTGGCGGGGGAGAAGGACCGCAGCACCGACGTCGTGCCGCGGGAGGGCAAGGGCGAGCAGACGTGGCTGCGGGAGGTCGGCGAGCGCGCGGAGGTGCTGCGCCTGCTGCATTTGCTAGGGGACGCCAAGACGTGCCTGCGCTACGTGTCGCTGCTGGTGGGCGATGGGCGGGAGAAGCTGCTGCAGCAGTACGTGGATCAACTCAAGGAAAGCCTGCGCACGTGAGGTGCGACAGGCGCCGGTGTGAACATACCGAGCGAGAGGGGGAGGGGGCGGGGGCGTGCTCCACCGCACTGCACCGCACCCAGAAAGGCGTGTGCGTTGTTCTTCGTCGCTTTATAACGCGCGAACACGTCAGCTGCGGTGGCCGCACGGTCCGCGGTATTGTCGTCTCTGTATTATTATTATTATTATTATTTGTCATTTCCTCATAGACGCTGTGTTGGGGGAGGGGGAGGGGGAGGGGCGAACTCACACGCAACGCCGAGTACGCTTGTGTACCCACCCACCCCACCCGCCCCAACTCCACCTCAGCTACCACCTTCGTCTCTCTCCACGGGCCGCCCATAATATATAGTGTAATCTGTGCCGTTCTTGTCGCCGTGCGCCATGTTCGCCACGAACTCGGATAGACGTTCTTTCAAGCCACCCCAGCGAAACGGGCGTTGCCGTCCTTGCTGCCGCGTGAGCGCCGGTCAGGCGTGCAGATTGGAAAGGAGCATGGTCGCCTCGGCGCTTCTCGGTTTCGCACGTGCAAAATATGTGCATATATATTATTTAACAGGCAGTGTGGCACGATGACGGCCTCGACGAGCACGCGGAGGGCTTCTCTGCAGCTCCGTGAAGGTGCATGTGTTTGCTTCGCTCTTTCAGCGTCTCTCCCCCGGCTCTCTCCCTCCCTGTTGCTGGCAGCTGTGTGTCCGTGTGTGTGTGTGTGCATGCCGCGGTGATGCGTCCGACGTGCGCAGCGAAACCGAGGTAAAATCGAAGGCAATCAGCAGACGGTTGTGGTCTTTGTATAGTTTACTATTATCATCATAAAGGCTTAATTATGGAAGTGGCAGGCGTTAGCGCTCGTCCGTGCGTTGTAGACGATGGCGGCAACAACGACGAGGACTGCGCTCATTCGCTGACTTCGCTTTCTTCCACCTCGACGACAAGCGACGGCAGCGCCTCAACGACCCCCTCCCGTTGTTCGCCTCCCGCATCACCAACTTCTTCTTCGTCCTCGTCGAGCATCTTCTCACAGCTGCGGCGAGTCGCAATGGATGACGGTGCTGACGAGACGGCGGAGGAGCTGCCGCTGCTGTGGGCCGCCGTGGCGGAGTCCGCCGCCGCGTCACCCTCAGGCGAGACGACGCCCACCAACGATCGCACTGCTGCTACGCGCACGGACGCCGCGTTGCACGCGCGATTTGTGTCGGAGGTGACGGCGCTGCTGTGGGGCGCCGACTACCCCCGCTGGATGGAGGAGTTGTGGACGCGGCACGCAGACGCCGAGGCGGACGAAGAGGAGCAAGAAGACGAGGAGGAGGAGGAGGAAGGCAGCGGTGGTGGTGGCGGTCGCGTTCGTGGAGGTGGAGTCACACCGCAGATGCCGCCGTCCGTGAACCACGGCGGACCTGCAGCGTTCGAGGCGGTGACATCCGCGCAGGCGAACACAGCCGGCGGTGCAGAAGCGGTAGATGGAGAGGAGTCACCACCATCACCGGCAGACCTGTCCGTCGAAATGCAGCAGGCGCTGGAGGCCCTTCACCTCTCCCTGCCACTTCGGGAGCCGCCAACGTCGGAAAGCAGAAGTGGCGACCCGCTGCTTTCGGGGCTGGCGTCATCGTCGGCACTACGCCGCCACCGCACGACGCGGGCCGTGCAGGGCACTGAAGAAGAGGAAGGCAGCGCGGTGGAGGTGCTGGCGCGGCACCTTATGCAGGACGCGCCGCTGCTGTGGCTGCGCCATCTGCTGGTACCGATGTACACCCAATGGACGCAGCTGCGCATGCACGCGCTGAACAACAACAGCAACGATGCCGTCTACGCCGCCGCCAGTGCAGGGCCAATGCCTCCTCCTCCTCCATCAGCCCCGTCATCGTCATTTCCCACTGCGTCGCCTCAGTGGGTGGAGGGGGCACTAACAATGCACCACCTCTTGCAGCGCCTCTGCACGTGCGGCATGCGGGAAGCGCTGCGTAAGGAGGCGTCGTTTGCGGAGGAGGCGCTTCATCAGGTGCGCCAGCTGCCGGTGGCGGAAGGGGGGAGCGATAGGCGTCATGACCACCGCAGCAACCTCAAAAAGGAAGGACCTGCTGCGGTTTCGTCCCCGTCCGCCTCCTCGTTGTCTTCCGCTGACGCGGCGGCGGAGCTGAAAGCAGAAGCGGCGCGCACAGCACTCCGCAAGGTGCAGCGCCGTCAGCGGCGGCACATCAGCGAGTTGCTGTGCTTCTCCGGCACGCTGGCCCGAGCAGCGCAGTCGTTCACGGTGCTCAGTGGCGGCGGCTTTACGCTGCTGACGGTGTTCGTGCTTCGGCTGTTGGGTCACGCACGCGCGGCGTGGGCGGAGTGGGCGCGCACGCGGACGGCTGCAGAGCTGGGCAGCGACGGGCCGCTGCGTTCGATGCTAACACGCAGCGCCGTTGTCGTGGAGGCTCCTGTGTCTGAGACACCTCGGCGTGATGTGCATCCGGGGAGAGAAGCCGCGGGGGAGGAGGAGGAGGACGAAGGCTCACAAGAAAGCCAGCAGCCTTCACGCAAGCGGCCTCGCGCAGAGCCGTGGACAACGCAGCAGCCCAGAGAGGACGTCGATGTGCCCGCCGTCGCCGACACCCTCGCAGCGCTGCGTCTTGTCATCACTGCGGCAGCGCGGCAGTACGCCGTGCAGCTGTGGCGGTGCTGGTCGGTGTTGTTCGGCTTCTACAGCGGTGGCCTCTACACGAACGACGCCGTGGCCGACGCGCTGGAGGCGGAGGCGCTCGAGGCGGCCGGCGTGCGTCGCATGAGCGCGGCGCAGCAGGCGCAGTGGCGAAAGGCGCGCCGCACCGCACGTCTTAAGCTGCACGCTCTGTCTGAAACCCATTGGCTGTGGTGCCAGAGCAGCACCGCCTACGTGGCGGCGGCCATGACAGACGTCCTGCGCGCGGAGGCGAACGACGAGGGCTCGACGACGGTGCTGTATCGACGCCTCATGTCCGAGGCGCTGCAGGTCTTCTTTCACGAGGTGCGCGACTCGCTGCGGCTGTACGGTCAGGCCGTGCTGGCGCTACGCAACGGCGGACTGCAGAGTTCAACCTCGATGGTGCCGGCAACGCTGCGATCGGTCACGGACAACGTGGTGGGCTTACAGGCCGCCTTTCAGCAGTTTCTCGCGGACTCGCTGCGTGGGGTGTCATCGACGCCGCCGATGGTCGATCCGCGCGAGTTCCGTGGGCGAGCCGGCGCCTTCCTGTGGCATCTCTATCCAGTGCTGCTGCGCACGCAGGAGCCGGAGGAGGTAGGGTGGATGAGCAGCAGCGACGGCACGTCGAGCGCGTTCACCACGGCCACCGGCGACGACGACGAGGCGGCCGTAGCCGCATTCAAAGAGCAGCATCACGCCCGCTGGCGCCGCAAAGGTGCGCAGCTGTCTGCGATGCTGCGTGACACGGCCACGCGCATGGAGTTGGTATTGCAGAGCGCAGAGGAAATGGATCTGTTATTCGCTTCTCCCGCAAATGCGCACCGCAGCAACAGTGACGGTGAAGGCGCCTGGCATGGGAGGGATGACGACACCCTCGGTGGCTACGCGGGTACGCTGCAGCTCTTTGAGGAGGTCGTGTTCGATGACGCGGCAGGGGCGCGCATCGCAGGCCCCATTACGGCGAGCGCACCTTCTGCGTTGGACACGTCGTGCTCGGTTCCCCCGCTGGACAGCGTGGCGAGTAATTTCACGTCGCTTTACGATGCCAGCGGCTTCTTTGTGCTGCAGCCGGAGCGGCAGCGCCTCTTCACCCGTCTCATTCAGCATCTCCGCCACGTCGTGATGCGGGGCACGGCGGGCGCAGAGCTCGACAGTGCGTGTGTGGCGTCGCTGCGACGCGACACGCGGCTTTGGATGCTGCTGTCGCACGGTGTGCTGCTGCAGCTGGAGCGGCGCGGACGCATGGCGCGCGAAGACGAGGCGCTGCTGGTGACGGGGCTGCTGCCGCTGCTGTCGGCCCTCAGCCACCGTGCCTCCTACTCGACGGTGGAGGACAACCGGAGTCGACCTCCCAAACAACACAACGACGACGACGGAGGAAAGGAAGAGAAAGGGACTGACAGCGTGACGGGCGATGCAGGGGCGTGGCCGGCGTGGGCCGATCCGGCGGCCGCACAGGATCTGCTTCTCCTCCTCGCCAGTGGTCTGCTGACGCTGCCGTGGAGCGTGGAGGAGCTCTATGTGACGGTACAGCGACACACCGCGCTGTGCGCCCGATACGGCCGGCAACCGTCGACCAGCGGCTCCGTGGCGCGCATGGCTCGGTGGTTCGACGGCGGCACCCGCACCGCAGACGGCGTTACTTCGGCGTTGCGTGATGTGCGCAGCGGCCCCGCAGCCACGCACGACATGTGGAGCCTATCGGGAGCGGTCCACTGCCCCTCCTCGCCTACCACTTCGGGTGCGGGGCACCGCGTCTCAGACGGCGCTGCCGCGATGGTCGACCTCCCGGCGGTGTGTGCGCAGATCGACGCCCAGCTGCGGCAACACGATGCTTTTCTTCGTCAGCTCCGCAGCGGCGGCGGCACCGACGGCGACGGTGGAGTGCAACGAAGAGAAGCGAGTACAGCGGATGACGTGTCTGCTGCGGGGTTGGGCGACGACGCAGTGGAGGGGTACATTTCAGCCGCGCTGGACCGCCACGCACGCGTGACCGCCGCCTTCACCGTCGCCGCCGACGCCTACGGCCTGCTCATCATCGTCGGCGCCTACCGCACGCTCAGCCGCGCCTTCTACCGCCTCCGCGCAGCGCTGGAGGAGCAGCAGCGGATGGCGCGGGAGGACGACACGGGCGAGTTTGTGGGCCGCGCTGCCACCTTCTGCACCTCCGACGACGTGGTTGTCTTCCGCGCCTTTATGACAGTGGTGCACCGCTGCGTGTTTGCGGACCACTGTCAGCCGATCGGTCTGCTGCGGCTGTGGCTCGGCTACGTGCAGCAGCTGTTCCTCTGCGTGGTTCCGTCGTCGTCTTCCTTGGCGAGTGGCGGCGGACAGACGCTAACGTTGATGCCCGGCAGCTGGCAGCGCCGACATCACGTCACGACGCTCTTCGGGGCGCGGGTGTACCGAACGGGGTGGCGGGCGCTGCAGCACGATGGGGAGCCGTCCTCGCTCACGCGGCTGCGGGAGGCGTTAGGGGAGTGCCTGGCGGACCTTCTGCTGATGCCGTTTTACGCGCCGGGCAGCGACCCCGAAAGCGATACCGAAGCCACAACAGCGGCCGCCGCCACCGCAGCCACGCTGTCCAGCATCCCAGACTCCGCAGACGACGAAGCAACGTCCGCGGCCGCCGCCTCGCCGCCGTTGTCGCGCGTGTCTGCCGTGCTGCAGCACACCCTTCCGCACGCCGTGTTAGAGGTGCTGTGCGAACTGCTCTCCGTCCCAGTTCATGTCAGCGACCCCAGCACAGGCGCCGCACCCACGCCCGGCGCTTCCTTTGCGGAGGTGGGGGAGGCACGCGGGCGGGCCATTGAAAAGAGTTTTCTCGGCTTGGCGGGCTTACTCGCCTTTCTCCGCCGCCTGGAGCTGCTGGTGGTGCCGGGAAGTCTGCGGCACCGCCGGCTGGAATTCCTGCTGCGGTGCCTCCACGCCGCCGCCGATGCCGCCGCCGTCGGAGTGTGAGCGCCGCGCGCATCACCGCGGTCATGTTGGAAAGAAACTAGAAAGAGAAATCGCTGGGAGGAGCGACGACGAAGAAACACCCGCGCGCCTCTCGCCGCCTTTAACGAGCTACAAGCGATTGCAGCGAGTACCACTTCTTCTTCTTACTGCTGCGTTGAACAGCAGCGTTGACGCGTCAACGGTGCTCACGGCGCTGACGTACGTGCGGGCTCCCTCACACGGCACGCGCATCGCACCTCCACCCTCCAAGCACAATTGAAAGACGCACCCGCACACGCACACGCAGCGTTCTCGCCCACCTTCTCCTTCCCCTTTCCATGCGGCTTTCCTGCTGCGTCCGCTGACGCTCTGCACTTCCACTCCTCCTTCACCCCTCCCCTCCAACTTTGGGCTCGTCGTGCGCCGCTTCCCATCGGCCCATCCATCCGCACGGCAAGTAGAAGAACGAAAACGCCAACGGCACTTTCTTTGTAGAGAACCACAAACCAGCAAACAAGACGGCGATGAAGCGAACTTCCTTAGAGCACGACGCTGACGAGTCGCCCGCTAGTTTTCGCGCCGAGAGCGACGTCAACGCGGCTCTTAAGCCGCTGCACCTGCGCTCTCCCCAACCAAGTCCGCCCATCTCCCCCGACAAACCCCGGCAGCAGCAGCGCGCGTCTACCGCGTCCTCCTCTCCCTCGTCGTTGCGCCGCTCAGAGAGCGTTGCCGGCAGCACGGCGCTACCGAGTACACAGAGCAGCGGCGAGGAGAGGACGCCGTCGCAGCGCGCGGGCGCTGCTCGGGCTGAACCGACGGGCACTGCGGAAGATGCTGCCGCCGCCACCGGTGCTGCGGCGGCGGATTCACGCAACAGCGGCGGTGGTGAAGGGGGCGAAAAGGAGCTGGGCGTCGACGATCTTACGCTGCATCAGCGGCGGCTCTACCGGCCCGAGGTGCGCTCCTGCGGACACCCGCAGCCGATCTACCTCCGCGTACCCGTCGGACAGCGGACTGCACACCCACCACCGACGCGGCCTTCCGCTTCTCGTTCCCCGCCTCCCACGCAGGATGTGAGAAGGAGCGGCCCGCAAACGAAGGCACCGTCGGACGCGCACGCCGACGGAGAAGTGGAGGAGGCCACAACGGCAGCGGCAGCACCGGACACGCGGATAGAGGAATCACCGGCTGCGGCTGCGATGCCGAACTGGACGACGCGTCCTGCACCGCCGCCACCATCGCCGTATGCCGTGGAGAGCGCGCGTGCGTCCAACGCGGCGGAGTCGCTCGTCGATGTTCCGCTGCGCGTCCCGGCGGTGCCGCCGCCGCCGCCATTGGCTTCCCCCAGCGCCGGGCGAGACGTGCGAGAGGATCAAAAGAACCGCAACGGCGATGATGGTGTCGCTGACGTCGACGATGAGGACGCAGGCGAGCACGACAGCACGCCTCTTCCGCCGCCGGCACAGCGAAAGGAGGAGTCGCCGTTGCCGTCTGCAGCAGCGGCAGTGCAGCGCCGCTTTCAGCACCTTCGGGCCTCGTCCTCGTCCTCGTCCTCGTCCTCCTCTTCCGCCGCTTCAGAGAATTCGCTCCTCAAGTCGCCTCCTTCGGGGACGGAGCGCACCATCGATGTCGATCTAACGTCGATGGAGCACGACCCGAGTTACCCGTCACGACGCTCTTCTCTACCGCCGCAGCAGCAGCCATCGCCACCGCCGCAGCCTCATCCACAGCAGCAGCAATCTCGAAATGCCGACTTGGCGGCCGGCGTGTCCGACCCCACACCGCTGCATCGCGTTACGGCGTCCTCCTCCCCACACCCCTCGGAGGAGATCGAAGAGGAAGGAGAGGGCGGCATCGCGGCTGCGGGCGTCTCCGCGGACGATCAGCAGAACGTGGTGGAGGTCGATGCGTCGAAAGCGGCGGAGCAACTCGACGCGCATCGCCCTCACCCTTCGCCGACGAGCGGCACCCTTGGGGATGAAAATGACGGCGCGGCGACGCCAGAGCCGTTTGCAGGTTCACCTTTAAGTGGTTCCGCACCGCCTCCGTCTGCAGCGAGTTCTTCGTCGAGCACCAGCCGCCACATGAGCAGTTCACACGGCGGTGTAGAGGCGGCCAGCAGCGAGGAGCAGCCCCTACAACACCCGCCGCCGATGCCGCTGCTGTCCGACGGTGAGGTGGACGTGACGGACGTCGAAGAGCTGTCGGATCGAGACATGATAGACGCAGAGGAGGACACGGACAGCGATGGCGATGCGGATGACGGCACGGCGGTGAGGGAAGATGGCGAGCAAGCTGCTGCCGCTGCTGCTGATGATGATGCTCCAGCAGCCGCCATAGATGCCGAACGCAATCGCGCTCTGCTGACGGCGGGTGACGCCTCGCGTACCCCTCTGCTGTCCTCTCCGAATGTGGTGGATGTGCCTGCGCGGACCTCCCCTGCCAGCGAAGGCGGCGGTCGTCCGTCCACGAAGGTCGCACCGCACCCTACGGCAGAGGGCGGCGTGTCTCGCCAGCAGGCACCGTCCCGTCCTCCGCGGGAGGCATCGAATCAGCCAGATTTCATGAAAGGCGCAACCGGCAGAACGCACGGCGACGCCGACGATGACGTGGACATCGCCGATGCGGTGCGGCGTGCGACAGTGCAGGAGCCGCCACCGCGAGAGCTGCGGCAGGCGAGCGACGACGGTGCACCACCGGCCTTCTCAACGGCCGCAGGGAGCGAAGAGGCGGCAAAGAGGAGCGGTGATCGGGTGGGTGCTGGAAGTCCGACAGAGACGACGGCTCGCGCGACGGCAGCGGCAGCAAACAGCGAAGACCACAGCGATGCGGATGCCGTCCAGCCTGCTGTGGTGCCGCCGACGGTAGTCGTGGAAGAAATACTGAACGACGAAACCGCCAAAGATGAGGCGGACGCGGAGGACTTCACGGCAGCGGCCGCAGCAGCCATCTCTCCCGTGGTCGTGGAGGACGTGACGGAGGGCGACAACACAACCAGCCAAACCACCGACGCCGCGGCTGCACAGCCGGCAGAAGCAAGACACGCGCCGGCGGGCATGGTCGTGGAGGAGGGAGAGGAAGAGGGCAGCAGCGCAGCGGACGAGCCCGTCGGCTCCTCTGCGGCTGTCTCGGAGGTGTTGACGGAGGCAGCGGCGGCTCGCACGGGCGCGTCGGAGCGGAACATGCGGGGTGCGGAAACCCCGGACAGTGCTGGCGGCACGCCGCTTGCGGCTGCGGCGGCGGAGCTTCCACAAGTCCAGAGCAGCGACCGCCGCCGCGGAGTCGACACCGCGGCGGCGAGTGACGCGAAGGAAATCGACTTTGGGTCGGAGGAACGGCCACCCGACAACGCTGAGCACACAGCCCCTTCACCAACTCTTTCACAGCCCGCTTTCACAGCCGCAAGCACCATGGCATCCGCGGAAGACGCGTGTCTGCTTCAACCGCCAGTCACCGAGCCCCTCACGCGACGGCCGGTCGCGCCGGAGGAAGAGGACGGCCGGCAAGAGGAGGAGCCTCACCCACACCACCACACGGACTCGCCAGCGGCGCAAGAAGCCGCGACGACCACCACCACCACCGCCACCGCGGGTCCTCCTCCTCCTCCACGGAACGCCCCGCCCACCCGCACGGCACAACGGACCTCTGCGCTGTCACACCCGAAATCCTCTCGTTCTTCGGCATCGTCGTCGTCGTCGTCATCCGCTTCCAGCTTTAAAGCGTACCACGTTGTCGCGCCGCGTCACAGTCTGCCACGAGCGGCTGTGGGACATGAGGACTACCAAACCGTAGATGGCCGCAGTCCACGCACCTTCTCTGTTGCTGATGATGCTGCTCGTGATGATGCTGCAGTAGATGAGTTCTATCGCAAGCAGCCTCGTGCGGTAGAGCAAATGGAGGGAGCTGACTCGGCCGTTGAGGTCGCCGGCAGCGATGCGCGCGATGTCGTACACGAGGAAGTGCAGCAGCAGCAGCAGCAGCAACGTGGCGCTTTCCGTTCTCGTCGTCCGCACGTCGCGCGCGACCTCCTCGACGATGTGGAGTCGCTGAGCGAAATAGAAGACGTAGAGGTGGAGGACGACGATGCGACGCTGGTGGGGAAAGATTACAGCGCCGTCGCTGCTGGTCCGGCTGATCAGCGCCGCGTGATGCCTGCACCTCTCCCACCACTACAGACGAAGAGGAACGGCGATGACGAGGTGGTGGGCGAGTACGTGCGCCAGCATCGTGCGGCGGATCTGGCGGTCGTGCAGGACCTCGAAAGAGACGGCCGTCGTCGCATCATGACGGACATGCTGGAGGAGCGGGAAGTCATTCTGCGCGAGGAGACGGCAGCCTTCACCGTGTTGTCGCTCATGACACACCGCCATCGCAGAGGCAGCAGCGAGGGGAGAAGCAGCGTGGGAGTGCAGAAGCCCCCACCGACGCTGGCGGCGGCAGCAGCGGCATCGATCGTATCGCCGCAACGCTCCCCACAACAGCTGCTGCCGCCGTCTCCTCCCGCGCCGACGAGTCGAGAGGAGGTGCAGGAGTTGCTGCGCACGCGCGGCATCCCGGGCGGGGCATCACCGGGCGTCGTGCGCGGTGCAGCGCTGCTCACGGATGAGTTGCTGTGTCGCGAGGTCATTGAAGACGATGAAGTCCGCGCGCGCACGATGCTGCGGCGACTGCGGCAGTGCGAGGCGGACGCCTTCTGGCCCTCGCCTATTTGCGTGCACGAAGCGCTGGCCTGGCAGCGCCTCTGCGAAGACGAGCGGGTGGCACGTCAGCGGGTGCGTGCCCTCGACGGGTCTGTGGACGAGGAGATCAACAACTTGCTGCACATCAGCCGCGAGCTCGCGATGTGTCGGATGGCGGAGGAGGAGGAGCGCCGCGAGGTGGTCGAGCGGGCGGAGCAGGCGGGGCGTCGGCGGTTGTACGACCTACACCGCAGCGGGCTCGCGGCACGCCTGCGGCAGAAGCAGCTGCTGCAGTCAGCCGTCGACATCGCCTTCGCCGACGCGTTGGATGACGTCGCGTTTGAGGAGACGCAGGACCGTGAGGGGCTTCGTATCGCGTCCATTCGGGCGTGGACAGCGCTGTTGGAGTCGCCGAGCGGCACGGCGATACGACAGCAGCAGCAGCGGCAGCGAAGAGGAGAACGAGGCCCTTCACACCGGCACGACGACGCAGAGTCGTTGGAGTCCGAACCAATCAGAAAGCTGAAAGAACGCGCGTCTGCGCCACCGTGTCAGTCGGCGCAAGCGAGCGCGACGGACGCAGCAGAGGAGGGCGTTGAGGTGCTTGATGACTCGAACAGCAGCAGCAGCGATGATGACTACATCATCCTCCTTCACCCCGACGGTAAGACGAGAGCGACGCAGGAGGACGATGTTGCGCCGGCACCCGATGGAGATGTGCACGCCCGCTCGTCATCTTCGCCGTCTGCTGCGTCGTCTTCCGCCACGTCGACGTCCTCCTCCGACGCGGCGGTGTCCGTCTCGATGGAATCTGCCGCTGCCTCTGTCGACGCCGGCAGCGCGAACCACCACGGAGACAATGCTGATCTCGGCCCCGCACCACATTTTTTTCAATGGGACCCGACGTCCAACTCCAATCCGTCGCCGCACACGTCCAACGACCACCCGTCCCAGTCGCAGCAGCAGCAGCAGCAGCAGCGACCGCAGCAGTTGCATTCCACGTCCTCGCCGTCCCCGCATCTGACCAACATGACTTCCTTCACCGCTAACACCACCACCAACACCACCACCGCGTCCTCGAGTGGGCTGATCGGGCAGAAAATGCCGAAGGCGGTGAGCGCAAAGAGTGCGGCGGGCGTCAGTGCGACGACGACGGAGAGTCGGCGATCACCGACGCTGGTGCTGCCGACGCGGCAACAGCTACAAGCGCAGGAAGGCATCAGCCCCGCCGAAGCCAGCGCCTTGCTGCACGCGCTGCGTTGTGCGGAGGACGCAGTGCGCGAGACACGCCGTCGCCCGAAAGCTGCTCCGTGCTCCTCTTCTTCTTCTTCGCAGAAAGCAGCGGAAGGTGAAGAAGAGACGGCGGAGGCGGACGGCAAGCAGGCGACGCACCACCATCACCACCACCGCCATCCGCACTCACACAAAGAGCAGGCGGTTGCGAACGAAGAAGACGGAGACGGCGAGGCGGCAGGGAAGCCCGCAGAGGAGAAGACGCCGAAGCAGCCAAGTGCGCTCCAGCCGGATTCAGCGGAAGCGGAGGCGGCGGTCAGCGCGCCATCGCCGGAGCGCCCCACACACGGGCGCACCTCGCCCGCCCTGCCGTCGTCGTCGCGGGGCAGTCCGTTCTTCATCACTCGTCACACCATCCCCTGCTCCCTACGCCGCTCCCCCGCGCAAGGCTACGACGCCCTCGTGCGCAAGTACACCTCTCCCTCGCCGCCGTCCGGCCGTCGAGCATCACCCGCGACAACAACGGCGGCGGCGTTGAAAGGACGGGGCGTGCTGTCGCCCCCGTCGGCCCCCGTCTCGGCCCGGTCGTCCGCCGCGTCGACGTCACCGCGGCGCTACCGCGACCGCGACGTGTACGTCTACGACGCGGCGCAGACGCGAAGACCCTCGCCAGCGACGCGTGGGCGATCTCCAGGTAGGGAGCGGTTTCCATGGGCCCCCTCAGCGCCGCGTGCTCCTTCTCGTTGCACTGTAATGGAGGAAGAGGAGGGCAGCAGGAGCAGCGGGGTGGACACGCGGTGTGCGGAGCAGCCTGCCATCTACGCAGCGAAGGGCGGGATGCACCTCGACCCGGATGCGCAGCAACAACACGCGACTGTGGCGGATATCGTCGAGGATGATGATAACCACGACGCCACGCAGCAGCAGCAGCAGGCGTCGACAGCGGCAGACAGCGGCGAGCCGTCGGTGATACGCACGCCAGCACGGGAGGTCTTCCCGCCCCGCCACGGCAACATGCACCGCGCAGAGAAGTCCGTGTCTCCATCGCCCATCACCTCCCACTCAGCAAACCCATCTCCCCCGCTCGTGTGGGACTTCGCTGCTCTGCGGCCGGCGCCGCCACCGACGGTGATGGAGATCGTCTCGGGCAGTTGCGTCCCACCACCGCCGCCGCAGATGTCTCTTCTCGCCGCCCACGACGTGTCTCTCTCGCCTCTGAGCTCACCGGGTCGGGTGGCCGGTGGCGGAGACGCGCGACTTGCGCCTTCGCACGCGGCACCGACGGCGGCGTGGACGTCGCAGGTGGAGCAGAAGCGGCTCGATCGGCTTCAAGCGATGCTGCTAATGAACCACCACCACACCGACTCAACGGTAGACGGTACGGTGTCGATGGTAGCGGGGGGTCGCAGCACGGACGCACCGGGGGGAGATTCCTCCTCGCCTCACAATCGTGATAATACGAGTAGGAATGCAGTGCAGTGCGGCTGCTCGCGACGACGCCTGCAGGAGCCGTCCGGCCCGCTGCTCATCACGCGTCTGCCCTTCGAGAAGGGGCCGGGGGTGTGGCCCTCTGCCCTGAGCGAGCGGGACCGCAGCGGCCCTTTTGGTGCAGCAAAGATGCATGCGTCTGCTGCTCCGGGGTTGTCGTGCGCTGCCACCGCACGCGGGGGACGAGGGGAGGGAGGGATCACCGCCTCGCCCCACACCCCTCCGCGTGTTGAGGCGCACGTGGTGGCCACGACGTCGCTGCCGCGCAGTCGACGCCGCCGCGCCGCCGCGATGACGCTCGAAGACGCGTTTCGGCAGGCGGCCCGCAGCGGAGACGTGGTGCACTTGCCCACCACGGTGGCAGAGCTCTTACGCGGACCCCACCACATCCATCTTCCCGCTCCAGCTGCGTTGCCGCCCGCCAACGGCAGCCTCCACGACTGCGGTGACGATGATGCGGGAGACCAACCAGAAGACGAGGAGCAGCGAATGCAGCAGGAGAGACAGCGAGGATCGCCGACCCTCGCACGGCGTGGCGGCCCCCAGCGGAGCTACAAGTACGTGGATGTGTTTTACAAGCAATCGTCGTACGTCGCGTCACCGCAGGAGAACGCACGCGCCAGCCGCACACCAGCACCGGCGACAACAGCAGCCATCTCGAAGGCGCAGCAATATATTGAAGAACGGTGTGCGGCGGTGCAGCTGCGCGAGGCACACCACGAACTTCGAGAAGCACTCCGTCCACGAGCACCACCTTCTTCGACATCATCCGCAGCAGCAGCAGCAGCAGGGAGGAGGAGGACTCCCTCTGCGGCAGCGCCGGCGTCGCGCTCAGATCGGGCCGGTCGCGCCAACGAAAGCGTGGGAGAGTCGGCGGCGGTGGCGGAAGCGGACGAAGCCGAATGCTTCTTCGACGATGACGACGTCGTGTTCTGCTCCGCGGTGGCGAGTCGGGTGGGGCGAGAGCGTGCAGCTGCACAGCGTCGCCGCGGCCAACCCCCACCCCCACCTCGGTCTGATGTTCTGCCGCGCACGGCACGCACGCGGACGTCCACGCAGCGCATGGCGCCTCGACGGTCACCGCCGCCTACCGCTGCAGGTGCCGAGAGTCCACACCCACACCCGTCCGCACAACAGCCGCAACGAGCCAACGGTGCATCGTCATCCACGCAGCCGTTCCATCTAGACATTCCGGCTGGCTACCGAGTCTTTCAAGCGCCGTCACCGTCGTACCTACAATCGCGGACGCCGTCGCAGCCGTCGCCGTTCGCGCAGCGCGCATTGAGCCCGTTTTACTCGCCTCCCGGACGTCGAAAGGATTCCCAGCGAGCTGCAGTGGCAACAAAGCGCTGGTACGCCGCGCCGACGCCCTCTCCATTGCAGCCGTACCAGCAAATGTGATGGCGAAGGTGCGATGCGTGCGTGTTCCTTCTTATTATTATTCCTGTTTATGGAGAGCTAGATGTACCGATCTGACGTCGTCACCAACGCGCGTTGACTCTTCTTGTCTAGATATACTTTGCTGCAGAGTTCCTCCTGTGTGTTTTTATCGAGCTTTCTTAGAACTCCAAGTTGTACTGTCTCTCTCTCTCTCTGCTTCACTCCACTGTGCACCACGCACGCGGTGGGGGCCCACGCGAAGCGCTGACTGCATCAACCGGAAGACGGAATAGCAGAAGAAGTTAGCACTGTTGCCATCGCAAAAGCAGCGGACGTGTACGCCGGGGCCGGTTTCGCATAAGTGTTGGCCTCCTCCGTGAATGGAGGGGTAGTCCACCAGAGTTGTTGTTTCTTCTGAGGAGCACCCGACGGCGTCGTCTGCTCTGTGCCGCGACAGCTCTGTGTGTGTGCGAGCGGGCTTCGCTCTTCCTTCTTCACTTCCAAGGCCCAAGTTAGTTCAAGTGAACGCGCCGGTGATGCACGGCCGTCTCCCACGCGTGCACCGCCCCTCCCCTCCTACGCTGGCTCCTTCTTCGCTGCTGTCCTTCCCTTATTATCTATCTATTTACATACCTTTTACATCGTCGTCAGCAACACGCTTTTTGTAGGAAGCGAAACACGGATCAGCGCACTTCATTGTTGTTGCTGCAGCACCTCAACGTCCATTTAGACTCCGTTTCTTCTCTCACATCGCTCACAGACACACACACACACACACGCATGACGCTGGACACGGAGCACGAGGTCGCCTGTCAGGGCTGCGGCACGACCACCACGACCGCCTTCCAGTGCCCGCTCTGCCAGGCGGAGGGCGCCACCGACCGCGGCTTCTTCTGCTCGCAGAAGTGCTTCGCGGATAACTGGCTGGAGCACCGCAACACGCTGCACAGCAGCGGGGTGGTGCGAGAGCGCAAGCCGGCGGCCGCCGCAGCGGCAGCGGCAGAGGCGACGGAGGTGGTCGTTGAAGGCCACAAGTCGAAGCGAGATAAGAAGCGCGCGCGGGACACCGCGGACGACGGCGATGGGAAAGAGGGGAACGGCGGCGAAGAGCTGTCTGCGGCGCAGAGTGCGGCGGTGTTTCCGCCGTGGCCGGCGCTGCCCTCCGCCGCCGCGTGTGCGGAGCATCACTGGGCCGTTGTGGCGCCTGCCCTCCCGCTCGACGTGCCGCGCGCCGTCGTACGTCCCTCTGCGGCCGCGGCGGCCACGACCGATCAAAACCCATCCGCTGCTCGCGACGAAGGCGATTACGTGTGGTCGGCCTTGTTGGCCGCCGCGCAGTATACAGCGGCGTCCATCCAGTCACATGCGTCGATGCAGGTGCTCGTGGTAGCCGGTGACGTGTACAGCGCCCACGCCTTTGCCTGGGCGGCGCGCTGCGTTGGACTGACCGGCATGCTGCATCTCGCCGTGGCGAACCTCCCCCCCTCGCGTGGCGCCGGCGATGAGACGGAAAGTGCAGAGGAGGCGCTGCGCCGCACTCCGTCCAAGTACTTCACCTCGCACAAGCGCGTGGTGATTGCGACGTCGGCGGTCGTGCGTGCGACGGCGTCGGCCGTCAGCGGTGCGGCCTCGCTGTGGCTGACCGGGAAGCCGGCGCACTCGCTGCTGCTGACGCTGCCGGATGTGGTGGAGCCGGCGGATCTGCAGGGCGTGCAGACGCGTGCCGTGTTCTTCACCGGCCCGAACGGCACGGGCGAGGCAGAAGAGGAGGCGACAACGATCGATGCATCGGCAGATTACACCTACACGAACGTGGAGGTGAAGTGCGAGGACGGTGCGCCGCTGCTGTGGCGGCCCGTGACGCTGCCGGCTCCCGGCATGTCCGCCGCGGCTGCTGCGCACAGAGACGAAGGCAGCGGCGCGCAGCACGACGATGCGGCGCCGCCACCGCCGCACAACGCCGTCGTGCACGACGCGCGTCACCTCAGCCCGAAAAACGAACCTGCTGCGCGCCTCGACGACGAGGTCAGCACCTGCTTCGCCAACGGCGACGTCACCGGCGCGTTGCACCGTCTCGTGCGCCGCTATCAGCGCCTGCCCGGCCACTTCGAGTCGACGCTGTTCTACCTGCTGTGCTGCAACTGGGGCGCCGCAGGCGTCGCGCACGCCCATCACCGTCTCGCCCACATCGCACGCTTCTTTGCCGATCAGTCGACCCGGTTCGATGCGAAGAAGACGGTGGCGCTGGTCGACGCCGCGCTGCGGGCCGTCGCGGCGGTGGTACGGCTGCTGCCCCGCCTGAAGGACGACGTCGCGGAGGCAGCCGTCGCCGCCGCCTCACGGGGGAGTGCGAGCAAGAGGAGGAAGACGCAACGGAATGAATCGGCCTCTGCTGCCACGCCGACGCTCGCGAGCACCACACGTCCGCAGCTCCCCATCGCGGATGCGAGTGCGCCGTCCGCTGGGGAGGTGGCCCGGCTGGCGAACTACTACACCAGCCTGCCCAACCTGCAGCTGCAGGCGACTGTCTGCCACCTGTTCACCGTTGCCTCCGCGGCGACGCTGGAAACGTTTGCGCGGGCGTGGGGCTTGTACCGCTACCTTCCCGGTCCGTCGAGTCTCGCCAGGGTGGAGAAGGCACGCAATGCGGCTGTGCTGCGCGTGCGGCAGCGCTACTCCACCAAGCTGGGCGCCGACAGCGCCGCGTATCTCACGACGTTGATGCAGCTGATCTACGACGCCGTCGGCCCGTATTCGCTCAGCGTGGACGAGGTCCGCCGCCGGCTGCAATGGGATGTGACGCTGGCGTACGACGTCGGCTCGCTGGAAAGCTATCTGCAGTGCTGTGCTTTGCTGCCAAATGCAGAAGGTTTGCTGCTGCCCACGACGAAGAAGCAGCAGATTCAAAAGGTCGCGTCGACACCCGCCGCTAACGCCACTGCCGCGTCAGGTGCAGCGTCGTCGTCTTCTGAGTCTGCGGCTGCGGCAGCGGCAGCGGGAGGGGGTGGCGCATACGGCGGCGGGCGCGGTGTGGTGTCGCTGTCAAGCCGGCAGCCGCTGCACCGCGCCACGCAGCGCGAGACACCGCGCTCCCGCACCGAGAAGCTGCGCGGTTTTGCGGTCAAGACGGCCACCACCGCCGCGGACAACGACTACGGCTTCCTCGAGCTTCCGTGGAGGCCGTTTCCGATTTCCGGCGAGCGTCAGCGGCGGGTGGACCGCCTCCACAAGTCTGCCGTGGAGGAGGTGCTCATGGCGATGCCGCGTGAGCCGCGCCCCCTGTACGTCGGCGACATCGGCAACTTGATCGGCAAGTGGGGCGCCTTCAACGCCCGCTTCGACGGCACGTTGGGCGCGACGCTGCAGGTCTTCCTCGAGGCCCACCCCGCCGTCTTCCGCGTGGTGGGCGAGCTCGTCACGCGGCGGGTGGCGGGCACGACGGAGCCGGTCCGCGTCCGGTACGACGCGGAGACGGAGGGCGGCCGCGGCGGCGCCGACAACGACGACGACGGCGGAAGCGGCAGCCGTGCGCAGAAGAACCGCGACCGCCAGCTGCTCACCGGCCAGACGGGTAAGCGGAAGAAAGCCTCCGTTGAGCTGCCGGCGCGGGCCCGCAAGCGGCGCGCCGTGAAGGAGTTCAACAAGAGCCGCTTCAACCGCAACTACAAGTCGGTAGACGCGTCGGCGCGCGTGCCGGGCTACATCAAACGCGGACCGCGCCGCATTAAGGGTCGTGGGAATAAGGCGAATAAGCGGGTGGTGAAGCGCGGGAGCTAACACCTCCGTCGTTGCTGATGACGCTGAGTACCGAGAAGGAGGAGGAGGAGAAGGGAGAGCTGATTTTATTGTTGACGGTGCAGAACGTCGTGGTACCTTAATCGAGTTAATACTGTACCTGTATAAATGTAAGGTGTTCGTTAAACGGAGTCGTACGTAATCGATAATATCCATATATTAGTTTTAAAAGATATATATAATAAAGAGGAGTTGTACTCGTGCGGTAGCGCTGACGGTGGAGCCGCCTGCGTGTCTGCGTGTGTGGATGAAGCGGGTTGAGCACGTGGACGTCAACACGTGAGCTGCTCGACAGGTTCTGCCACGGAGCAGAACCCACTCGCCCAGGCTCTCCTGACGGCGACGCGGTGCCTCCGCCACGGGCAGTCGCGTGAAAAGGAGAGGCTCTGAAGGACACGCAGCTAACGGGTCAACAGCGGCAAGCACAACAACACGCAAATGACGCTGCGTGCGTCGCTGTGCGTCGTCCGACGACGCACGACCGCGCCACGCCGCCGCGGACTCAGTCCAAGTAAATAACTCGCCTTTCTCCCCCTCTCTCCCTTGTTGTGTGTGGGTGTTGATCTCGTGCACAGCGCAGGGCATCGCGCGCATCACTCTGTGCGAGTATATATTTTCTCCTTCGTGAGCCTTATCGATCACAGCTCCTCTTCTCAGTGGGTGCTTGTGTGTAGAGCTGCAGATGTGGCGACGAGGTAGATTGCTGCTGTCGCCGATGCGGCGCGGCTCCATCGCCGGCGTGTCCGCTGCGTCTACCGGCAACGATCCCACCCCCACGTCGTTGCCGTCGTCATCATCACCGTCCACGTCGTCTCCCACCACCACCACTGCCGCTGCTGGTTCTGCGACTGCTGCAGCGGCGGAACGCTCGTTTCTTCGAAATCTAATCCCCATGCGGGTCTACGCCACCGGTCTCGCCTCCGCCTACCTCCGCCACGCTTTTCTGCAGCAGGATCGACTCATCCACCGCTTCCTCGGCGCGCTGGAGCAGGTGGCCCTGCCGTCGCCGCCGCGCATGCTGCTAGCCGAAGGTTTCCAACGCATGTTGGAGGGCGAGTCCCCGCAGCGGGAGCTACGGGAGCTCTTTGAAGCGGCGGAAGTGGAGAGTCGGAAGCTGCTGCTGCAGCTAGACGTGAGCGGCACCGGCGAGGCGGTCTACCGCAGTCCACAGACGGATCCCCGCGAGCGGGCGGCGTGGCGTGCGGTGGCGGTTGATCCGCTAGCGCGCGTTCTCGCGTACGAGCTGCGCGCCGCGGCGGGCTACTACGCGCGGTTGATGTCCGTCTCGAGCGACCCAAACACCCCCGCGGCGGTGCAGGTGCGGACGATCATCGCGTCTGACGTGCGGACCGACGACTTCTTGGTGAAGACGATGTTGGCCTTCGACGACTGGGCGCGCGACGTGGAGACGGGCGAGCGGGTCGGCGCGCCGATGCCGCCGGCGATCGAGGAGATGGTGAAGGAGCTGCTGCTGCTGGAGCGGGATGCGTTTGGGGTCTTCCGCTTCGACCCGCGCGGCGACAACCACCACCTCGTGCAGGCGCTGAAGCTGAAGGACGTCACCAAGACGCCGAAGTCCTTCTCGGTGCTGCTGGACCCGGTGATGCAGGCCTACGGCAACTTCTCGCTGAAGGTGGAGGAGATCTACACCGGTCGGTGGAGGCAGTACACGCTGCACTGCGCGCCGGAGGACCACCGCATCGACGCCGCGCTTCCGCTCTTCGAGACGGTCATCGCGAAGGACGCCATCACCGACGGCGAAGTCAGCCTGCTGGTGCGCTACGATGAGCCGATCTGCTTTCGCCACAAGGCGGCGTCGAAGGAGGAGAAGGGCGGCTACGGCCACACGGAGGTTTTCGAGTTGGCGATGGAGAACCCGAACCGGACGTACTGGGAGAAGTACTTTCTGGACCGCTGAGGACCGGAAGAAAGAGGAGGAAAAAGGGGGCGGCTGACGGCCGACGATCACGCACGCGAGGTGCAAAGCTGGACCCTGCCGGTGCACGCATTTGGGGAAAAAAAGTCTGACGATCTGTAAAAGCCGTTTTTGAATGCAAAGCAAGAAGAGAAAGGAAAAGAAAATAGCGGGTAAATGCATCTCCGCCTGCTTGTTTTCTGTCTGTTTGACGTCCTCGTTGAAGGTGAAAGGGCGGAGTTTGTGCCTGTGCGCCGTGGCGCGAGCGTCGGATGATGTAGGCCCCGACCTCGCCGTCTCATGCCTGTCCCACCAGATGCGTTCCGCCCTCATCTCCTCTTCACCCTCTCCCCCCTCCCCCCTCTTCTCTCTCTCCGCGCTCGCGCTATCGCGATGTATTCCGCCACCTCGCCGCAACGGTGCCGCACGCGCTTGTCTTCTTTGGCACTGCATCTGCGTGGGCAGTAACGTAAAATCGGTGTTGTCTCCTCGCGCCGTTGCTGCCGTGTCCTACTCGTTCATTAGTATTATTATTTCCCCTTCTGTGGTTTGGAAGAGTTGACTCCTTCGTGAGCCCACCACCCCTCGTGCGCACGCACGCAGATACGGCAGATTCCGCAACGCGCCGTTCCAGCAAGCGAACACACACGCACCTGCGGAGACTTTACTCTCGCCCTTCTTAACTTCTGTTGTCTTCTCGATTTAGTCATTTTTAGATTCTCTTTTGTTATACGCGCAGTGGGAAGGTTCTCTTTTTCGTTCTTTCGCCGATGCCATCCCCTGTCGCGAGAGCCGCCGACTCCTGCCACGTCAGCGACCCACGCAGCGGCTGCGGCGGCGTCGCCTCTCCCGTCAGCGCCTCGTGGCGCTCCAGCGACACCGAGAAGGAAAGCTCGCTGAGCGTGCCCTTCCTACACCTCTGGCTCCCGCCGCGGCAGCCGCAGCAGGGCGATCGGGTGGCGGCGAAGGCGTCCTCCCTCGCGGGCCGTGCACGACGGGCACCGACTCCTCCGCCTCCTCCGCGGACTACGGCTGCTGCTGCTGTCGCTGTCGCTGTCGCTGCACGTACGCCGGCACGGATCATCAGGAAACAGCATCCAAGAAGTGCGACAGGACGCGCTGACCGGTACACGAGCAGCAGCAGCAGCGGTGGCGGCGGCGGCGGTGTGGCGCAGGCGGTGCGCATCACGCGCCACGAAGCGAGGCACCATCACCACCGTACGAACGACGACGGCGCGTATCCGCGTGGGGCCCCTTCCGTGGACGCTGCTCATCGCTGTGCTGCACCCCGCACGTCGGCGCGCGCGGTGCTGGGCGAGCTCGACGCCTCGCTGTCGCTCTGCTCAGCGGACTTCTTCGTCCGCCGCACGGCGCTCCCGCCACCCGCCAGCGCCGACGACCCAAGCGCGGGAAGAGACGTGTCCGCCGCGGCGCACCGCGCATCGCTCTCCCTCTCCTCTTCCTCGCTGCCCTCCTCCGCCGACGCTGCCAGCCTTTCTCTTCGGTCCACATCCGTGCACACCTGCGGCTCGACCCCGCGGACGGCGCAGCAGGCAGCGGTAGCGGAAGGGGCGGAGGGCACGCCGTTGCCGGTCCCTCCGCATCCACACGATGCCGCCACGCCCTTCACCTCGATGCTGTGCACCGCGGCCGGAACGCCGGTGAGCAGCGATGGAAAGCCGAAGGAGACGACGAGGGCGAAGACGGAGGAAAAGCGTCGGTCACCGCTGCCACGGCGCAGGGAGGCGGTCCCAGCGTCATCGCCCACGACAACGACGGCGGTGGAGAGTACAGGAGGTGGTGCGTGCCCGCTTTCTGCATGGACGCCACCGCAGCGGTGTGACTCACCGACCGCCTTGTTCTTCCCCGCACGCCGCGGCTCGACGGGGGAGCCGCCACGCGGTCGCCGCACGTCGTGCATCTCCCTCCTCGCCAATGCTGTAGCAGCCATGAACACCACGATCACCTCCGCAGCAGCAGGAGCAGCAGCCACACCCCTGTCAGTCTCCGCCCGTAGCCGACGAAGCCGCGACACGCACAGTTCGAATGTGCTGGTGATGGCAGCGGCGCACAGCTGCGGGGTTCTCTGCCCCGCCCTGCACGACAGCGACGGCGGCAGCCGCAACGACCCCACCTCTGTCGGTGCGGTGAACCTCCCGATGCTGCCCTCCACCAGCGCCGTTCTGCCAGGGCGGAAAGGAGGAGGAGGGGCTGGAGGAAGGCCGTACGCGGAGGGTGCCCTGTGCGCCCCCCTCGCGGCGATGGCGGACATTGGCGTGCTGCTGTGCAGCTGCTCGTCGTCGCCGTCGAGGGGCTCCCTGTCCTCCATCTCCTCGCGCGGCGCTACCGGGTGCGATGACGCGCTGAGTTCGTCGCCGGAGGTGAGGGAGGAGAACGGAAACGGCGACGACGGCGAGGCGCAGACGCAGGCGCGAATCCGCCCACACGCACCGCCACCACCACCACCACCGCAGCTGCCGCCGCTCCCAAGCCCACCAGACGCGAACGTCGAGGCCCTTCGACGCCGCAGCAGTGTCCTGCACACCTGCAACCGCAGCAACCAGCTAAACGGCGAAGAAAAACGGCTCATGAAGGTGCCGCACGCGCGGTCCGCGCCGGCCACCACACACAGCGGCAACGACCGCGGCAGTGACGACGACGACGACAGCAGCAGCGAGCGGCAGGGTTCGGTGTCGGCGCGTCAGCAGCCGCCCGTAAACCTGACCACCGCGGTGAAGTCCGCTCATCGAAGTAAACGGAAGGACAACGGCGTGTCTCGCCCATACGCCCAGCCGCTCAGCACCCCGCTCACGTCGCTGCGCTACCACCACCGCCTCCGTGAAGAAGAGCTGGCGGAGCTGGCGGAGCTGCAGGCATGTCTTGCCGCTTTCGTGTTCCCCCCACGCACCGCGCGGGCGACTCTCTCGCGCACCGACGCATCGTCCACGCGTCCCACGCCGTCGGCGACTGCGGCAAACATTAAGAGCGACAGTAATCGTAGTAGTTGTCGTACGAACAACAAGCGGGGGAGCCAGTGTGGTTTGCTGTCGCCGTCTACCAGCAATTCCCCGTTGCCCAGGCCGCCGCCCTCGCGGAGCACCCCGGCGGTACGAGCAAGATACAGCCGCCGACACACCAAAAGATCGCCGGAGCGGTGAGCGTGGCGGCAGCGGCGGTGGTGGCCAGACGGCGCGCTCGACGCGCACGGCGGCGGGGGCTGCGCACCTCACCCGCTGAGCGCAGCAGCAACAACAACAAAAGTAATCCAAAGACGCGAACTGCGTCAGTCATTTCTTTTTCATTTCTTCATTGCAACGGTGTTTTGTCTTGTGGATTTCATCTTCATCTAAGCCTGTCGTTTTTCTTCTTCTCTCACGCGCTACGTCTATTTCTTCTTCCTTCTTCTTTCGTTCTGGGTGGCGCCCGTGTGATGAGACATCAAAAGTAATCAGAGGAAGCGCTGCAACGACGTGGCGAGTAGAAAGCGCGCTCGATTGAATCATTGACCTGGCAGGAGTACGAAATAATCCGGTGGAAGCCGTCGCCACACGCTCGCTGTGGTTCGTTGACGGTTGGGGGTTTTCACCGCCGCTCCTACACGTTTCTTCACTTCCTTTCCTTTCTTTTCTTTTTTTTGCTTTTGCTTTGTCATGCGACGCGTGTGCACATCCGTTTTTTGACGCGCCGCCGCCGCGTTGTTTCTTCTCTCTTCGCCTCCTCACGATCGCTCTGGTCTTGTCTTTTTTAATAGTACTTTGTTTTGTTGTTTCGAGGACATGCCTTCTCCGTCCTTCTTCGCCTTTTTCTTTCTTTATAAAACAAAGTGTTCTCTTCCGTACTGTCTCGCCTGCGTTCCTCTCTCCCTTTGCGTTGTTCACCAGCGTTGTGGGGTAGGGCTTTTTCTTCTTCTCCTTTTCTATTACTAATTTGTATCTTCATATATATTGTTGTAGAGAGCCCTCCATCGTCGCCGTCGCCGTCGCCGCTGCGCATCAACGCACGCGTGACACCCACAGCGCCCCCATGGGAGGCCGGTTCTTTTCTTTTCTGTTTTGGTTGTTGCTTGCGTCCCTCTATTCTTTTCTTTATCATTACTTTTTGCAATTATGGAACCGCTGCTCTCTCTCTCTCTCTCTCTCGCAGAAGACCGGTTGTCGCGGATGCGTTGTGCGGAGGCGTTTACTTGATGCCGCTCTCCGACGCACGAGGTGGCTGACGTGTGTGTGTGTGTGTGTGCTTTAAAAAGAGATACATACACGACAGCAAACTTGACTATGCGCCAGCTCTTCTCTTCTCTGAGGCGCGACCGTTTTCATTTGGTTCCCGTCTTCTCTTCTGTTTGCTTCTACGCATATTTATATTTATATTTATATATTTATATCTCTCCCCTTCTCTTCCTTCTCGCTCACGCCGTTGCTGTCGTTTTTGTAATGTCTTTCGTGTTTCACCTCTCTGCCCTTTTTTTGCTTCCTTCTTCTTACGCAACGTACGCCTGGCAGCGGCAGGCGGCCGAGGCGGCCCGCTCTGTGTCGTTGCCGGCGACCCGCCGCCATGCCGCTTCCTCCTCGCTCTTTCAAAAGAAAGAACTGTGATACATTAATTTTTATATTCTTCGTTTGGTATTCCCCCCACGGGTATCTAGTGTTCATATTGGAAAAAATCAAAAGCCCCTGTCTTCTCGTTTCTCTCCTCTTGCTTCGCATTGCTTCGCGTCGATTCTTCGCCGCGACCGCGCCTTTTCTCTCTCTCTCTTGTGATGTACCTTCCGACCTTCGACGCTGTGCCTACTTCTATACTGCACCTCGCGTCGGTGTCCCCCCTTCCCCCCCCCCTTTCCTTCCTTCCTCCTTCCTCCTCCGGGGCTGTCCTGCTTTCCGTGGCTATTCCCTTCGCTTGTTATATATATATATATTGCAACAGAAAAATCTGTTAAGACATACATTTTGTGTACTGCTTTCATTGCTTTCATTCATTTTGGTTTCCCTTGACGAACGGTGCCCTTCTCGAACTGCAAAAAGAGCAAGTGTATATATATATATTTCGTATACTCATGCATACCTATTCAGCTGCAACGAGAGGCACACACGCCCGCCCGCGCACCCACCCACGTCCACATGCGTATTTATGTATGTCAGTGTGCTTGCATCGTGTGTTACTCTTCATCTATGTCGATATGCAGCTCTGCGTGTGTGTGTGGTGTGTGTGTTGTTATTGCAGTTATATTTATCAAAGGAGAATTAAATATACCAAAACACGATGTTATTGCTTTCCCTTTTCCTTGTCGTTTGTGTTTGTATGTGATGGTGGCTGCTCGCTGCGTGTGACCGCAGTCTTTGGGCGCGACGGTGATGGTGGCGGTCACCGTGGGCCAACGCGCGATTCTTTCCCTTGAGCTCTCCTTTTTGTTTTTTTAGCCTTGTAGAATGGCCACGTCTCGGCATACGCTACGTGTGCGGAGGTGCCCTGTGAGAGTGACGATCCTCCGCCGGTTGAAACCCCCTCCTTCCCTCCTCTCCTCCTTCTTTCAAACGATATGCTCGTATCACCCCGATGCATTGCGGTTGATGCAACGCTTTCCTTTCCTATAAATATTTACTATTTCACGTTGGTGCCGTTCATTTGCTTTTGAGGTTGTTTTCTTCTCTGCATTTACGTGTATAAATACACACATGTGTGGTATTTCCTTGCCTTGCCTCTTCTTTCTTTCCATCTTCATTGCTTCCTCCGATCACCTGGCGTCCCCGCTGTGTACGTTTAGGGTTGGTATCGTCGAGGCCCCGTTGTGTGCACGTGTGTGTGTGCGTGTGTGCGTGTGCGCGTGCCTTTTCATTTGCTAGGCGTGTTGTGCAGTGTCGTGGTAGAAGTTCGTGTCACCGGCGCACCGCTCTATTACTGCCATCATCATCATCACCATCGCCATCATGATCGCACCGGCACGCGCGCAGCGGGAAGAGACCTTTAAAAAACTGCCAACAGCAAAAGAAAATCCGTTTGATTTATCCTTTGATATTTTTCTATTGAAATACGTCCTCTTGTCTTCTACAACTGTTACTCCTCTTCAAAGCGTGGTACTTTCGTATTCTGGCTCTCGGCTTCGCGGCAACGAATGAGAAACGGCCACTTCGGTCCTCCCGCGGTCGGTTTTGGGCTAGTCCGTGGCGTCGTAGGTGTCCGCCGAGGCAGACCTGGGAGGGGGGGAGTTGGTCCCCAACCTCGCGTGGTGAGCATCGGCGCGGGTAAACCGCGGCTCAACACTTCCAATCAGACCGCTTTCCAGCTGCAGTGTTCACGCGCCTTCACCATGTGCGCCGCTCCTCCGCGCGCGCCCATCGCATTTCCTTCCTTCACTGTATCTCTTCTCCTCCACCCCTCTCCCTCCCCCTTTCGGCCGTGCGTCTGCGAAGTGCACTGTAGCGGATGCGCCTTTGCAGCGGCACCTCAGCTCAGCACACACATACACACACACACACATACACACACCGCTGTCCACGCTTCGTACGTCTCCCTCCACCCCGTCTCTATCCGTATTGTCTCGTACCCACCCACAATCTGTTTTTCTTGTTTTCACTTTCTTTTGTTTTCTTTTTGAAGCTCTTCTTCTTTTCGCAGTCGTGGAAACTGCATCGAGCACCGTGTTGAGCGGCGTATTCAGCGTGGCACAGTCGAGGTGGCCTCCCTTCCATCGTCCAGCTTTGGTCGGCGCAGCGGGTGGAGCAACGTTATCGGCGTAGTGCACGGCAGTCGACGGAACGTCACTTCTCCCTGGCGCCATCATTTTTCCTCCGCTGGGTCTACTGCGTTTATTGTTGTTATTATCTTCGTAGCTGCCTCCCGCTGACGTGTTCACAGCCCGGGTGCAGTCGACGGCGCTGCTCATACATATCTCTCTGGATGTGTGTGTGTTTGCGTCTCCACACGAACTCAGCAGTACTGAAGAGCACACGTGGGACCTTCACCACTACCATAGCTAATACATAACAATAATCATTAGTACTATTATTTCTCCGCTCCGTTCGAACACCACAGAACAGGAAGTCGCACGTCGTTGTCGTTGTTCGGTGGTGGACGTCGTTGTCGCAGACGAGAACGTTTTCTTTCTTTTTCTTTTTCTGTTTCTTGGAGGAGGGAGTATTGTGCTTCTTTGCGATAAAGAAGTTGACGTGCTCTCTCTCTCTCCCCCCCCCCTCCTCCCCTCTCTCTCTGCTGCTGCTGCTTCCTCTCGTGTTGCTGTGCGCCTCCCTCGCCTCCTTGTTTCTCGACCGAAGCAGGCGTGTATGTATATATATCGTAGCTTAGTTCTCTTGTTTCTTTACTATTTTTGTATTCATAGCCCGTCTGCATGAACTCGTATTTGCCCGAGGATGCCAAGGAACGGTTGGCGCACTACGTCTACCGCGGCGAGGACCACAGCTACCTGTACAACCACATGTGGCGCCCGCTCTGCCGAAGCGTGGTTCGTCACTTACCGGTCTGGCTCGCGCCGAACGTGATCACCGTCACCGCCCTGGTGCTGGTCAGCATCACCCACGCCCTGCTCGCCTACTACATGCCGAAGCTCACGGTGAAGGAGACGAACTACTTGGACCGCGATGAATCACGCAGGACGGGGCTGCCCTTTGCAAAGGAGTTCCTGCCGCCGCCGCCCGCCTACGTGCTGGTCCTGGCAGCCGTCGCGCTCTTCCTCTATCAGCTGCTGGACAACCTCGACGGGCACCAGGCCCGCCGCACCGGGACCTCGAGTCCGCTCGGCCTGCTGATGGACCACGGCTGCGACGCGGTGAACTGTGTTATCGGCGGTCTGTCGGTGGCCGCCGTCGTCTCCGCCGGACCGTGCTGGAAGACGTGGACCATCACCCTCAGCACCGTCATCGTCTTCTTCCTCAACACCTGGGAGGAGTACTACCGCGGCGTGCTCGTGCTGCCCGTCATCAACGGCCCCAACGAGGGCATTGTCATCGCGATTGGCGTCTACCTGTGGACGGCGTGGGTGGGCGGGCCGCAGTGGTGGGTCGACAACACGCTGGAGGTGCCAACGCGGTGGCTGCCGCGGGTGCTGCGCCAGTCCCCGCCGCAGGCTGCCGTCGCCATCGAGAACTACGTGCTGCGCACCGTCTGCCCGTACCTGACGTCGCACAACGACGACGACGGCGGCTTCGCGGCGGTGCCCTTCTTCTTCAATCTGAACTGCTCCTCCGCGTACATCGCGCACCCGCCACGGCCGACGCGAGTGCTGTTCGCGCCCGATCCGGTGACCGCGAGGTACGAGGAGGCGGTGGCGGGGAGCGTGTGGGCCGGGCACGGGTGGGTCCAGCGCACCGTTCTCCGTCTCTACGGCGGGAGTCAGGAGGGCCTGCGCATACGTTATAACACCCTTGGCGTGGCCTTCATGACGGTGACGGCCGCCATGACCTGCGCGGGCAACGTTTATCAGGTCTACCGCGCCATCCGCCGCGCCTCGGCCGCGGAGCTGGCGCACGAGCCCGGCTACGGCCGCTTCCACGCGCGCTTTCCCTTCCTCCACGCGCTGTCGAAGCTCATTCCACTGGTGGTGATCACCCTGATGGGGAACGTGTGGTTCCTGACGTCGCAGGAGGACGTCTTTCGCCGGCACCCGCGGCTCTTCTGCTGGACCGTGGGCCTGCTGTACACGAAGCTGGCGATACACTTGATGGTGTCGCACCTCTGCGGCGCGGAGTTCTTCCCCTTCCCGCGCACCTTCGTTCCTTTCGTGCTCTTCGGCGGCCACATCTGCCTGACGTACCTCCACAACGTGGGCCAGCTCCGCCGGCAGCAGCTCCGCAGCGGCGGCGGGGGCGGGGGGGTGGCGCACGTAGGCCACGTAAACCGCAGCGGCTCGCGGGTGCCGACGAGCGCCACCGGGGCCTACTCCGACTACGCCTACGACCTCGACGAGGAGCTCATCCTCTACGAGTTCTTCGCCCTCTCGGTGGTGACCTTTGCGCACTTGGTGTGGAACGTGGTGCGGGGGACGGCGGCGGTGCTGGAGGTGCCGGTCTTCACGGTGCCGCTCCAGAAGCAGGTAGCGCTGCGGACCGCCATCGCAGCGGAGAAGGCGGAGCGGGCCAACAGCAAGCAGAAGCCGGAAACGAAGAAAGACAAGTGAGGTGCTGGCAGATGACAAGCTGGAGTGAAGGACGGTTTGAGCTTCATTCGTGGCCTCGACAGAAGAAGCGAGCGTGTGTGCGTGTGTGTGTCGACGATCCTCCGCGGCCCGCGCGGATGTTGACCGGCGGCGGTGCTGCCGGCTGATCGGAAGATTTGTGGATGGGGGTTCTTCTCTCCTGTGTCTTGAGCTGTTGGCCCCTCCTCCTCCTCTTCTCTTTTTTGGATTTGGTGGACGTCTGCGTTGGGCCGGCTCAAATGCCTTCTTCACTCGCCGACCTGACGACGACGATGACGACGATGCTGATGGTTGTTGCTGGAGATATTCCTTCTCACATCTTCGCTGTTGCGTGTTGCGTGCTCGATTGATCTGCGTGTGCGTGTTTTTTGGTTCTCCATTCCCCTCCCGCCAACCACCGCAGCGGCTATGGAGGCTCAGTATACATATATATCTATTAGAAAGAGAGAAGAGCGGAGGACAATGCTGCAAGGAAGGAAGCGGTGTCACGTCGCTGTGCCGCTGCATCACTGCCGAATGTACTCGAAGGCGTTGGTGCCCCTGTGTCGCCACTCCTATCGTTATTCTTCACATTGCTATTACTGTTGGAACTCTCTCATCGAAGGGCGTTTCCCTTTGAGAGGGGGGGTCCGCGTTACAGGTCGCCTCGCCAACGGCCCCCGACGACCACTTCGGCATGCAGGCGGCGCACGAGTTCTGCGCTACGCGCCACCTTCCTGTTTCTCGGCTGACTCTTTGTCTTACTTCTTTCTGTTGGTGTGGGGGAGTCGAGCAAGCGGCGGCGCGCGGTAGCTGGCGAACCACCGAGTACACCACCTCCGAAGAAACGCTTTCGTTCGTTAGAAACAGCGACCGAGACGGGCGGCGAGAGCGCACCTCGACAGCGGAGGTGTGCGTGCGTCATCGGCCAGCCATATTCTTCGTTTATTACTCCTTTAGGCAATTTCTTTGATTCTCATAGATACGGTTTGCTATCAACCTACAACCATCACACACACACACACACACACACACATGTCTGCGGACGCCGCACGCGCTGATGCGCCTATTAGTGGCACCACGACGCCATCGTCGCCACCGCCGCTGCAGTCCACAACGGAGGGAGAGGGCGCTTCGGCGCAGGACGTCCCCCCGCTTCCGGCGGCGCCCATGAAGCGTCGACGGAGCGCGTCCTCCGCCGCCAAGCGGCACCAACCGCCGCCGCCGTCGGCCCCCGCTGCGTCTCACAAAACCAAACGAGCAGCCGCTTCGACGACGTCTTCTCCCCCGCATTACTTGGCGCCAACAGCGGCGGCGGCGGCACGTCGTCGTCGTCCTGGCACGACCCTGCACACCGCGAGTAACGCCGAAGCCTCTCGCACGGCAACGAGTCAAGCGTCTGGCATTTCTTTAGCTGTTGGAGGTGGCGCAACGGCGCACACGTGGGCTCCACGAACATCGAAACACGAAGTCATCCCCACCACAGCAGTAGACGTGGAGGTCGGCGCCGACACGCCCTGCCCACGTGCACCGCCACCTTCCTCTCCTTCGTCGCCAGCGCCATCTGCAGCGCAGCCACCAATACCGGCGCGGGCGAGCGATGTACACGCCTCCTACGTGGAGGAGGTGTTAGAGGCACAGCTGGGGCCTCCTGCTCTTCCATTTGCATCCACCACTGCAGCAGCAGCAGCTACGCCGACGTTGATTGATGTGGTCGAGTTGAAGCCACAGGCACGAAGCAAGGTCATCGCGGGCACGTCCGGCTCTGCATCGCGAACCGCAGGACGGCTGCAGCGGCGGCAACAGCAGAAAACAGAAAGAGTCGATGCACTCTTCTTCTCTGCGCCCGCTCACGCGGCAGCGGCGCCGTCTTCATCGCCGTCTCCGGCACGCGCCGCGCTTGATATCACGAGCGAAGCAGCAGCGGCAGCAGCAGCAGACGAAAGCGATGACGACGACCCGGCCGAGCTGCATACCACGTTGCATCTCCAGCCGTTTCCCCCGACCATCGCCGCCTCTGCCAAGGTGGCCGCTGCGCTGGCGGACGTCCTCGGCAGCACCGGGGTGGACGGGGAGCTGACGGAGGCGCTGCTCGAGCCTGCCCGACCCGCCCAGACAGCCGCGCAAGCCGCCTTAGCAGTCGCACGCGCCGATCTGCTGTACGACAGTCTTGACGGAACCGGCGTGAGTGGGCACGTGTTTTCCGCCTCGTTGGGTTGTGCAGGGCAGCCACAACACCAGCGGGAGGAGGACGCGCGGGAGCGGATTTGGTCAGCGGGGCCCGGTACGTCTCCGAGTCTCGCACCAGCGTCGCCGGCGCGGCAGACGAGGCACATCATCGGTGCCACCTCCTTCACTCCTGCGGTGATTGCGGAGTTCTTGAAGATTGAGGCGGACGCCGAAGCAGCAGCGATGCAGCAGAAGGCGCAGCCGAGAGCGGTCTCGTCTGTAAAGGAGCGCAGCGGAACCCCGGCGGAGACATCGGAGGTGGAGGTGCCGCCGCCGCCGTCGTCGTCTCCTCCACCGCTGACTTCGTCTTCGCCTTCTGCGGCGCCGGCGGATAGCGCGGCGGTGCTGCGCGAACTCCAGGTGATGCAGCAGCGGCTTCACTCTCACGGCTACCGGCGTATCCCCGTGAAAGTGTCACCTCTCAAAGTACGTCGACAGCACCTGCAGCAGCAGCAACAGCAAGGTTACTCGAGCTCGCCTTGCGACATCTCCGCGTCGTCTGCCTCGGACGCCTCCTCTTCTAGCTCGGACTCAGCAAAAGCAGCAGCAGAGATGGCTATGTCAGCGCGACGCCGCGCACGGCGAGGGACGGTGGACTGGACCACCGCGTCGGTGACAGAAATTGTCGAGGCGCTCGATCGCGCGTCGTCGCCGTCCGTGCGGCTTCAGCGGCAACGGCGCAAACACCACGGCGGAGGCACAACAAGCGCAGGACGACGGCGCGGCGCGGCGGCAGACTTCGACCCGGAGATGTACGTTCACGCGTTGTTGGAAGGCCGAGCAACCGATGACGGCGACGACGACGACGACGCGCTCTCCTCGTGCCCCTCGCTGGTTTCTTCAGAGCTTCTCAGCGATGCGGCCGACGTGGACGCGTGGGCCGGTCCTGACACTGTTGCGTCATCACCACCACCTGCTGCTGCTGCTGCTGCTGAGCCTCCCCTGTCTTCGCCTACGCCGCAAGAGCTGCGCCGAGAAGCGCTGCTGCGTGCCGGTCCATCGTGGGCCGCCGCTGCCGCCGAGGTCGGACTCACGCCTGGCGAGGTGCGAGAACTGCTTCGCTACAGCCTGAGCGCACCGGAGGCCGCGGCGTGGCTGTCCGGAAGCACCGACCACACCGACCACCCTCCCTCTCGCGCCTCTCCTCCTCACAGAGGAACGGACGGTGAAGGGGGTCAGCAGCAGCGAGATGCGGAGGCCGACGACGACGAGGACGAGACCCATCATCAACGACGTCATCGCCAGCGGCAGCCGGTGTCCTACGCGCTCGACGCGGCGACGCAGACTGCCCTCGTTCACCGCCTCCTCTCCGCCCTCCCCGCGGTCCCCGCGGCGTTGAAGGACGAGATGGACCGTCAGCGCCGACTGCTCGAGCGGGTGTGTCAGGAGGTTCGCATCGCAGCGGCCCCCGTCCACGCAGCGGTGCGGGATCGACTGGCGTCGCCCACCGCGACCTCCTTCGCCCGACAGCCGGCGTTGGTGGAGCTGCACACCTACGGCGATGACAATGATGGTGGTGGTGGTGGTGATGATGATGCCCACGCAGGTGCGACGCCGCGGAACTCGACCTCCACGCGCAAGGAACAGGAGCGGGATCGCGCATACGACGCGCAACTGCTCGCATCGCTGCCGCGGCGTGACGCACAGTCGTTGTCTGCGGTGGCGGGTCTTCACCGCGCAGCCGCGGACCCGACCCGGGCACTCCCGCCGTTCCACACCGTCATCGCACCCCCGCCGTCCGCGTTGCGTGCGAGCGGCGGGCGCACCGGCTCCTTCGAAGCAACGTCCACCTCCCCTCCACCGCCGCAGCAGCAGCTGCCGTATGAAGCGGCGCTACACGAGCTCGCAGAGCGCGAGACGCGGCACTACGTCAGCGAGCTCGACCGCCTGCGCGGCGCCTACGACCGCCAGCTTGCCGAGGAGCGCCGGCAGCGCGGGCTGGAGCGGCAGCAGTACGCGGCCCTGCTTGAGGGCCAGCAGCAGAAGATGCTGCGGCACCACCGCGAGACCATTCATCTGCTCCAGCGCGATGCACGCCTTCAGCAGCAGCAGCAGGACTCGCTGGTCCAGCAGCTGGCCACGGCGCAGGCGGCCACGGCGCAGCGGCAGCAAGGCGAACACGAGCGCACGACGCGGCGCATGCTGTCGGGGGTGGTGGAGGCCATGAAGAGTCACTGCGTCACGGCCGCGGCGATGGACGCGTGCGTCGGTGCGCAACGGCGGCAATCCGAAAGTCTCAGCGCGAGGGGGCGTGCGCGGAGCAGTGCGATGTCTTTGGCAGGTGCGGCAGCGGCCAAGGTGGCGCGTGCCCGGCGCATTCACCAACGGACCGACGCTGCAGCGGCGGCAGAGGCGAAGGGAGCACCGCCACCGACATCCTCTGCGGTGTCGACCTCCAAAGAGGCGTCTACCGACGACACGACGAAGGCCATTCCTGCAGAGCTAGCGGAGCGCGTGGCGGCGGTTAGCGCTGCTCCACATGAAAATCCAAGCCAAGGTCCCAGGCCCCTGCTGCGCTTCGAGGAGCCCGAGGAGGAGACAGCCACCCTCCCCCACGAAAGTATCAGGAATTCCGAAGAGGCACCGCCGCAGCAGCAGCCATTCGATGCGGACATCCCCACCGTAGGGCACCTCACCCCGCTACGGCGGCGTGGAAGGCCGTCAGCGGCGGCGTCGTCGTCCTTCACAGATTCAGAGCCGCACTCGCCCATAAGCACACGTGCCGGATCGCCAGAGAAGGCCATCGCAGCATCCACCTCGGCCGCCACTTCGAATTCAGCAACAGCAGCAGCAACCGCCGAAGACACGCACCGCTCGCCTCCCCCTCCATCTCCCTCGTTAGCGCCTGCGCTGCAGCTGAACAACGCGGAGGTGCTTCGCGCTGTGTACGGCACGGCGCCTCCGCAGAACGTGAGTCATCATCATAGTGATACTAGTACCTCCGTGGGCGTGCATCACGACGGTCCGTCAGCGGCACCGCAGCCCCGCATGACGCTGCCGCTGCATGCGCATTTACCACCAGAGGACGAGTTCGATGCGCACGTGCGCCGTGTCGAGGCCGCCAAGGCCGCGGTGGACACTCGTGCATCGGCGGCGGCGCAGAACGCCGGCTTAGCGGCCGGCGTGAAGCTCTACGTGATCGACGGTCCCACTCCGCTACGCCGACAGCTCGCGAGGAAGCACGGTGCAGTTGGAAAGGCACCGAATGCGGTCACGCGCAGTGGCACCGCACCGGCCGGCGGCGGAAGGGTGAGGCCGTCGTCGCCTTCCCCTGCCGCCGCCTCTGGCTTTGCTGCTTCATCGCGTCAGCGTAGTCGTACGGCGCCTGGTGGAGCTCGCTCGCGTCAGAGCCAACGACAAAAGCAGCAGCGATCGAGGAAGGCCGCCGCTGCCGCCGTGGCTGCCTCGCCGTCCGGCCGTCGGTTCGATATGGAGGTGGTGGCCGCCCTCGCGAGCGAGACGGGGCCTACGTACGCGCCGTATCGGTCAACGCCGTCATCCCTCATACCGCAGGGCGGCTACGATCCTCGCTATTCGCATAATCCGTACACCTCGCCGTATCTCCCGCCGCCGCTACAGCAGCAGCCGTCATCGCTGTATCGCGGTGCGTGGGTTGAAGGGATGCCGACACACGCGGAAACGGCAGCGCGCGCCGATGCTGGCACGATCGCCGGGCGGCCGTGTGTTGGTCCGCCGGTCCTCGTGCTGGGTGAGCCGGTGGTGCGCGCCGGCACTGGGCACGTCCACACCGCAGCGGTGGCGGCCGCGACGTACACGCAGGTGTTGAATGCACGGCTGCACGCGGCGCAGCACCAACGCGAGCGCGACGTTGCCGAGCTGCGCAAAGCCACAGAGCAGCGGGAAGCAGAGCGCACGATGCCACCTGCGGTGAACGGCGGTGCCGTTGCTGGTGCGGGTCCATCATCATCGTCATCGCATTCTCCTCCTCCTACCCCTCCGCCGAAGACGCCGTCGTCATTGCCATCACCGTCGGCAGACGACGCGGCTGAACATCATGCGCGTGTGGGGGCGCTGCCGCCGTGCGACGCCAACTTCTTCGGTGCGCCAGCGGACGTGATGACCACCGCCGACGACGATGACGGTGACAGCCGCGGCAGGAAACCGAATCTTATCCCTCTTCCTTCGGCTTCTCCTTCTCCCTGTGCGGGGCCGATGAACCGCAGCGGCCGAGAAGGCCCAACGGACGCCTTGAACGATCTGCGTGGGCCGTCACGGGCAGCAGCAGCGGTGTTGATGTCGGCCTCGTCGTCCCCGTCGTGGACGACCGACTACGCACGGGCGTGGGGGCGGCTGGAGACGGCAGCACGTGAAGTCGAGTCGGCCGCAGCGGCCCTCGCGGCAGAGGATGCGGGGGTGCTGGAGGCGGTCGCGCGGGAGCACCACCGACGCGGCGGCCCACCTCCTCCCCCTCCGCCTTCCACGTCCTCCACTGCAGCTGTTCCGCACTCGTCAGCCGCGATTCAGCTGCCACGCCACGCGAGCGCCAGTGCGGCGGTTCGCTACCGAGAGCAGCAACTCGGCGACTGGGCCGGAAGGGAAAAGCAAGAAGGTGGGGAAGGTGAGAGGGGCGGCGTGTACGTGTCGGCGAAGATGGCCGACCAGGCACGCGCGTTAACGCTTGCGCGGCACCGTCTCGCACGGATTCGGGCGTGTTTCGCGGCACCGCCGTCGCTTCACGCGGGCGCTGCGGCCCTCGTCGGTGGGGCAGCGTCCACCCCACGCCTGTCAGCACGCACTGCTTCTTCTGCTGGTGGTCATGGAGATGCAGCGTGGGTGCGACGGGTGGTGGACGAGACGGTGCTGAGTCTGTTCGAGGCGGCCGGCAACGCGCAGCGCGACCCCGTTCGGCAGGTGGTGGCCGCAATGGAGCATGAGCTGCTCCGGCTCGTGCTGCAGGAACACCTTTCCGCGGAAGCGGAGGCGCAGCAGCATCCACCGACTTCGACGAGCACGGACGGCGCACCACAAGCGCACGCAGCAGCAGCATCTGCGGCACGTAACCATACGAAGAAGGCAAAATCGGCCACGTGTGCGGAGGTCGACCTGCAGCTCCTCCACGCGGTGGTGGAGGCGGCGCTCGAGGAGGCGGTGCAGGCCGCGTTGCACCGGCGGATCATCAGCGCCGAAGACTCGCCGCGCCCACCGCTGTCACACACCGCATCCGCCAGCGATCCGAGCAGGGAGGCCGTCGCGCGAGCCGTGCGGCGCTTTGCGGAGGGCAGCACCGACCGTCCTGCCTCCATCGATGTCGCCGTACCGAACGACGACGAAGCGCAGCGAGAGCGGGTGGCGTTGCCGCTGCGGCCGTCCATGGCGTGGTTGCATGACGCACCAGGAGCGGCAGCAGCAGCGGCCGACGTCGTCGTCCCTTCCCCAGCAGACGCCCATCCACCTTCACCAACTTTGAGCAGCAGCGGGAAGAAGCGAGGGGGTGAGCAGCGCGACGCCCCCCTCGCCACCGCCACGATCGTCGTCCCTCTGCAGAGCACCGCCTCGTCCGTCGCCACCGCCGCAGCAGCAGCGCTGCCACCACCGCATGAGCTCCGGCTCGTGCTCGACCTGAGTCCTGTGGCGCATCACTTGCTCTCCCCACCGGGCACAGCGGCAACGACAGCAGCGCCGCTTCAGCGGCAGTGGAGCTCACGCAGGTTACCGCCGATGCAGCAGGAGGAGCTGCCCAGCAGCCGGATGCAGCTGGAGGACCGCCGCGACGTCATTGTCGAAGCAGAGATACGAAGGACAACGAAGGAGCAGAAGGAGATCAAGGAGGGAGCGGCGAGCGCGTCCGTCGAGGGTGGCGCTGGCGAGGAGCTGCGGTTGCTGCTGCCCGCGCTGCCGCCGCCGCCGTCCATGGGCGGTGTGGGAGGAGAAAAACGGAGGAGTCATGGCGAACAGCGAGAAGGCGACGACGACGACGCGACTGCAGAGCTCCTACGACTCCCACCACCACCACCTCCTCCTTCTCTTCCTCCTCCTGCTCCTTTATCGCACGCCGTAGGGATCCCTGTGTTGACCGTGCCGCCCCCACAACCGCTGTCAGCCGCCCCCGTCGCAGCAGCCACTACCGGGCTGACAAGTACGTTTCCTGTTGCCGCAGCAGCTCCCGCTCCGCCGCCGCCAACGTTCCCCACACCCTTTGCTATCGCAGAGGCAGGAGCAAGGACCGCTGCTGCCCTACCAGCGGCACTACCGCCACCCCAACCGCACGCCGTTGAATGGACGTCAACAGCACGTGCGGCCGCCTCGACGAATGCGGTGTTTTGCGTGTTGCTGTCGAACTTTGTGGATCAGGAAGCGACGCAGCGCACGGCGATCGCGGACCGCGAGGAGGAGCAACGGCAGTCGCTGCTGCAGCTGCTTGTTGTCGTGACCCAGCAAAACCTTCGAGAAGGTCCACGTAGGGGTGCTGCTGCGAGTACCGCGGTGACGGACCAGCGGAGAGAGCACAGTGCTGCCGCAGCGGCACTCCCATCGCTCGCACACGGCGCAGCTCACCTGTCCTCTCCCGCTCCACCGTCACTGTCGCGAGTGCGGGACCCGGTCATGAGCGCCGTGCTGGAGTGGGTTTATCAGTTCGGCTCATCCCAAAAGATTCTCCGTCAGCAGCAGCGCAACGCCGGTCGTGCGGCAACAACGACAGCGTCTGCTCTCGTGAATCAACTGGAGTCTGCTGCCGTCACAGCAGCTGTCCAGAGCCCTGCAGACGCGTTGCTGAACGTTGACGACGCGCACTGGCTGGATGGATACGTAGGGCGATCGGATACGCTGGCGTACTCTCCTGAGCAGTATCGGGGACATCCGCAGCGACAGCCGCCCACCTCCGCCTCGCAGTCCTCCACGCGCAACTTCGGCTCTGACCGGCCGTCAGCCGCCATCGTCACTGCAACCTCCTCCTCCGGTGGTAGCTCGTCCCCGTCGCTGCCGTCGTCCCTCCACACGAACTCCTCCTCCTCCTCGTCCGCCAGCCTGACAGAGACGAGGTGGGGGAATCGAGTTGAACCGGTCGCGCGACACGAGCGCGTCTCCGCCGCACGGGCCCGGCCTGTCTTGGACGCGCAGCACCTGCCATACCGCCGTGCTGCGGCTGCGGAGCGGGCAGCGGCGAGGCAACAGCCGCAGGCGGCGGCAAACGCGAGGACGGGCAGCGGATCGTCCGACACCGCCACGACGCGCTACACCACCACCACAACCGCTGCTTCTTCTTCTTACAGCCGTGACAGCGAAAAGGGAAGGTCGAAACCAAAGAAGAAACGCAACGCGCCACCGCAGCAGCAGCAGCAACGGGAAGATGAGCGGTCATCGCATGCGGCGGTGATGTCGTCTGGAGTGTTGCCGCAGCGCGTCTCAGCGGAGGTGCGAGAGGCGCTGGCGGCGGCCCTGCGGGCACATCGTCGCTCCGCGACTGCGGATATCTACGGAGCAGAACCACCACCACAGCAACAATCTCGAGGAGAGCGGAATCCGATGTTGTCGTGGAACGGAATGGCGGACACCTCCGCGGCTGCGTGTGGGCCAGATAGCAGTCAGTACGCCGTCACGCTGCCTGCCCGCTCCGCGGAAAGCACGCTGCTGCGGTCTCCCCCGTCGCTGCTGCCGCACGCGTCGCACGAGCGGCGGAGTCCGACACGGGATCCGCGAAGGCAGCCCTTCTACCCACCGAAGCGGTCACCCGCCACGGAACCTGCGTCAGCCAACCGACATCACAGGAGCGGCGGTCCACCGACGCGTCCATCAGAGCAGTGGGATGCGTACAGCTTAACGAGCACGTCAACCAGCACGCAGAGCACCGACCGACGAGACAGCCGCAGCGGACGACAGCGGAGCGGAGGCGAAACCGCGAGGCAGCAGGAGGGGGTCGGACGTGCTCCTGCGTCCGCGGCGCAGACGATCGCGAGGCCGACCGCAACGTCGGCACTGCCTTTCTTATCTGGAAAGGATGGTGCCGACGTTGCCGCTGCTGCTGCTGCTTCCATCAACACAGCGACAGCGCCCTCACAGCTTCCACCTTCGTCTACTCGTCCAGCGCGCACGCAGACCTCTGAGTCACACGCCCCGCTGCGCGCTGCGCCGTTGATGTCGCCAAGCTCGCCGCCTCGCACGGCTGCATTGCAGGAGGAGGTGGTGCGAGTTCAGCAGGAACAGCGGAGAGGCTGGATGCAAGCTCCCATTGGGGAGAGTTTATTATCTTAGATCTCTTGTTTTTTTTTTTTCGGGGGAATGGAGGGCGACTCAAAGGCCGACGTTTTCGAGCTGGCGTGTGTACGCGTGTAACTCGCTCGGTGTCTGTAAGGGGGGTTTATTTTCCTTTTAGAGAGAACGGAGAGAGTTGAAACGCTGAACGAGAAGCGGAGGGCGGACTCCACTCACGCTGTGTTTTGCGTGCTGCACGGGTCACGTGGACTACTATTACTTTCTTTTCTCTATTCGGCTTTGCTGTTTTCAGCGTCGATGTACTCGATGGCAGGCACTGCCGGATCGATCCGCAGACTGCGCCTGCTGCGTTTTACTTGGCCCTCTCAGCGGCCCATCGCTCCAATCGCCTCCATTCAGCGAAGCGTCCAATGCAGCCCACCCCCACCCCCTCCTCTTCTCCTCTGTTGCGCCTATCAGAGTGCAGTCGCCATTCACACGCACACACACACACGGACTGAGATAGAGAACGCTAGGTAGACCTGACACACGGGGAGATACTCAGCGGAGGGAGCACAGATACACCTACATCAGCACAGGTCCCCTTCTCACCTCTCTCTCTCCTTCCTTCCTTCCTTCCTCGCCTTCACCCGGCTGTAACGCCGCTAGACACCGAAGGCTCCACCGCCTTCGCCTCATCGAGTCACACCCACACACACACACACACACGCTCCTACGCGTCTTTGTATTTACATACGCTTTCACCACCCACGACGCAAGAACGAGGCCGTTTTAGAAATCGATTGTCCACGTACGTTCACAACTCCGACAATGGAGTCGAGCCGCGCCGGCGCCGCGGCGGGCTACCGCGACCCGACGACGCTGTTCGAAGACAGCGACGCCGCGTCTTTCGCCTCCTCCTCCTCGTCCGCCAGCGCGGCCGAAAGCGACGAGGACTACCACGCGTTGCAGCGCCTCTTCGCTGCCGTCCCGGGCCTGCTGGCCGCCCCTCCGGTGTCCTCGTCGCTCTGGAACCACCTGCACCCCCGCAAGGCACGTGACGGCGCTGCGCTGACGGCCGAGCAGCGCCAGGCGCGGGCGGCGCGGCGTCGACGGCAGCGGGAGCGGCAGGAGCGACGCTTCTTCCGCGATCGCGGCGCGCTCGACTTCCAACGCAGCGCCGTCTTCGAGGTCGTCGCGGAGGAGCGGCCGCGGCGGGATCGGAAAGGGGGCAGAGGAAGAAGCCTCAGCGACGGCGGCGGCGTGGCGGAGGCCGAGGTGTGGACTCGCGCCAGCCCACCGTCGCCGTCCTTTCCGCAGAACGACGGCTACACCATCTTCGACGACGAGAAGGGGGAAGGGGAGGGGGAGGAAGACGCCAACGGTGATTGTGTGCCGACTGAGCTGCAGGCGTGGTACGTGGCGGGATACGCAGCCCCTTCCACCGCGGCACGCTCACCACAACCATCACCGCAGCAGACGCGCCCGGCGGACGAGGCGGGGGCGGAGGAGACGTCGGCGCAGAGCAACACAAACGCAGCCGCCGTGCCTTGTCGCGACGGCGTTCCCGTGGTGGTGGAGGAGGGAACGGAGGAGGCTTCAGCCTTCGCGGCAGTCGCCCCGGTGGTGCGCAGCAGCGGGGCGGGTACGACGTCGGTGAACCTTCTGTGGAGCCGCGTGGTGCCCGACGCGGAGGTGCGGCAGACTCTTCGTCGACCCGCCCCACCTGTGGCGGAACACAAGCGGCGGAAGGTCACGGCAGGGCCGCAAAAGAGCGACGACGCAGCGAGCAGCGCGGAGGCTGGTCAGCCAAACCCGCTGCATCCCCCTCGCGAGACGGCGCACACCGCAGAGGCGACATCGTCGAGCACGGCGTCTTTGGGTGGCGGTAGCAGCAGCAGTGGTAGTAGTAGCGGCAGCAGCAGCAGCCAAAGCGAGCTCGGGAAGCCGGCAAAGCATGACCTGTCGCGACACGGCAGCAGCACGGAGGACGCGTTGGGTCAGCGGCCTCCCGTCTTCACGGCGGACCACGCCAACGGCGGCCGACCCCCGCTGCACGCGCACCGCTACGTCGAGCAGCCGAACGGCGTCTTCCTCGATCACGCGCGACACGCCGACTTGCTGGCGCAGTACGCGCTGGAGGAGCAGCTGCGGTACGCCCAGGAGAAGGAGGACGCCCGACGGGTCCGGCGGTGGAACCGCCTCCTCCACGGCACGGACACTCCGAAACGCGGCGGTGCAGGCGGTGGCGGCACCCAGGGCGATGGCAGAGGCAGCCGGTACAACGCGCTGTACGACGCCGCGACCTACCGGAAGAAGTTCGTGTCCATCCTGTGTTGCCTGCGGCGCATCCACATCTTTCTCGTGAGCGTGGCGGCAGGGGTGTCTCTCATCACGTTGATCGCCATAACAGTGCCGTTTCCGCAGCTGCAAGCCGGCGAAGCCGAGGACGGACTTTCCAGCTCTACGGCTGCTGTCCTGTTGCTCGCGATGCTCAACACGACGAACCGCACGTCTGCCCTGCCCGCTGCGCAGGTGCTGCCGGTGCTTCAACAAGGCCGCCCCGCCCTCGCCGTCGTCCTGGCGCTTCTCCAGCCGTATCACGCCTCTCTTTTTGTTTTCCTATGCATTCTGCTCGTCATCACGGGCTTCGCGCCGGTGCCGTGGGGCGTGGCGGAGCGGTACTGGACGGCGCAGCGGCGGCGGTGGCTCGCGTACGACGAGGCGGCACAGCAGCAGCAGCAGCAAGACGGCGGTGGGGCGGGGTTGGGCAGTCGCCCTTCGCATCACCACGCCTACGGCAGCAACTCGTGTGAGGAGGAGCGCAACGACTCGAGCGGGAGTGCCGGGGCGTACTTCATGCCGCGCCATCAGTACAGCCCGCTGTCGCGCACCCTCGCGCCCGGACTCCGCAGCCCGCTGCGGGCGGGGACAACATTCCGAGGCGGCGCCGGCGGCGGCATCAGCTATGGCTACACGGACTTTGAAGCGGCGCAGATGCGAGCGGCGGCGGCGATGCCGTCACGCTCGGTGCACGGACCGCGGCTTGGCTCCCCTCTTGGAGGTGGCGGTGGCGGCGACTACGACGGGCTTGGCGGGGCGCGGTCCAGCGGCAGCTACGTCTTCGGCAACAACAACAACTACGACGCGCTGCGGAACAGCATCTCCCTCGCCATGACGCGCGGCGCCACGGGAAACCGAGACACCTACAGCCCGTCGGGCGCCTCCTTCTCCGCACCGTCGCACCGCGCCGCCCGCAGCATGTCGGTGGCAGACCTGCTCACGCGCTACCACGATGGTGGTGCTGCCTACTCCCCCGACGCTGCTGCTGCTGCGGCTTCGGCAAGCGGCTTCAACAGCAGCAGCAGCGCCGCCGAACTTCCGTCGGGCTCGCTCCTCTCGCTCTCTCGCGGCGGCGGCGGCGGCGGTGTTGGCGGTCATCTGTCCGCCACGGCGACGCTGACCGGCTCTGGTGGGTGGAGTCCGCCGGGGAGTGTGAGCGGCCGGTCGGGGCGCCACCGCGGCCGCGGGTTGGGCGGCGGCGGCGCGTCGTCCGCCTCGAGCCCCCTCGACGGCGCCGCGCGCTCGCCTCGCGGGGCGCTGACCCTCAACGGGCGTCTTCTCACCCTTCCCACGCCGCTGCTGCTGATGCCCGTCACCGCGCTAGAAGGTCGTCTCTCCGCCGACAACGTCTTCGCGCGCACCTTCGACTACATCGAGCGACGTACGATGCAGTGGCTGTGCAACGCGCTGCAGCACGTGTGGAGCTCCGTCGGTCGCCGTGGGAAGGCGGGCGAAAGCGATGAAGATCGCGGCGGCGGCTGCGGTGGTCGGTGTGACGCCGCTGCCGGTGTTGCGGGATCTGCCCTGCCAGCGCCGCCGGGCGGGCATCATCATCATCATCGCCACCGCCACGGTCATCGCCATGCCCGCGTCGCGTATCCTGCGGTTCCGGTCTCATTGTACCTGCACGTGCTGTTGGAGCCGCGACTGTGGTGCGTTGTCGTGGCCCTCGCGCTGACCTTGGTGGAGCTGGCCGTTGTGGATGAGCGCAGTGTGGAGTTGATGTGGCGTGCGCAGCCGCCTTCGTGGTGGTCGTCGTCGGCGGGGTTTATCACGTCGCCGCAAGACGGTGCTCTCCCGCACACGTGGCTGACGGCAGCCTTCTCCTACCCCTCCAGCGGCCTGGAAGGGTCTCCCCTCACCACCACCGCGGCGACCACGCTGTTGCACATTGGCAGCGGCAGCACTACGAACTACGATGAGGGCGCACACGTGGGTCGCGTGATACTGGCCGTGTACGCGACGCGAGCCGCGGTGGTGTGGGTGGCGTTCCTGCTGAACCTCTTCTTTTAACACGACACACGACACACGCACGCACGCACGCGGTTCCAATAGAGCACGTTTGTGTTTCGTATATATTTTGTTGTTCTCGAACCGAGAGATGGCGAATCATGTCAGCTGCTGGCTGGCGTTTCTCTCTTCTTTGTTTTGAGGGCAGCACTGCCGCCGCCGCGACGTGGCTGAAAGGAGGAGGGGTTCATCCTTGCGGCGGCTCTGTGCAACGCTCTTTCAGCATGTATATATATATATACAGCTGTTATTGATAGATACGTGGAGGAGTAGCAGCCGATGTCGTCGTGCGCGAAGTGACACGTCGAGGCCGAATTCGCAGATCCTCTTTTTACCCCAAAAAAAGAAAAGAAGGGAATAAGAACTGTGCTATGTTCGCTTGCCGCCGTCAGCCCCTTCATATAAGCATGTACATCAACGGTGCCCAGTGCTGCGCACCGCTTGCGGAACGTGGGGGGGGGGGGGCGGAGAGGGCGTGTCTAGCCCCAGCCCGCCACAGCAATCTCCACAACGCACTCTGCTAGTACTTTTATAATGGCGTTGATGTTTACTTCAATTATCCGCATTTCTCTTCCCTTGATTTACATCTTCGACTCACACACACACACACACACACACACACACACACACATCCGTCCGCTGTCGTTTCTACGTGACGTGCCGCTGCACCGTCAAGAGTCGTTGAGACAGGATTGATGTGCTTGCGCGCCTCGACCTACTTTCATCGTTAAACACCGCTACACACACACACACACACCTACATATATATACTTGTATACCTCTCTTACTGTTATAATACATACATATGTATATGTATGTGCGTGTGTAAGTGCCTGATTACCCTCCCAGATCTCTAGCAACACAGACACTCGTCCGTCGTAGCGGGCAGCTCCTGGCGGGGGCCGCTCCTCCCTCTCCGCTCGCTCGCTCGTTTCAGCCATCTTTACTGTAGTTTCTCTGTTTCCCTTCTGTTGTGCTGCCCTCGCGTCATCCGTTCCCTCCCCCCCCCCCCTATCTCGATCTCTGTCGCACCGTCTCTACCTCAGGAGATACGACGAAGGAGCAGCAGTCTTGTTTGGCTTTCAAAAGATTTCATTCACTTACTTATATATATATAGTGTTATGTATTTTGTATCTTAATATCTTGCTCTGATTGCGCTTCTCCCGCCTACCCTCTGCGTCGCTGCACTTCCGCTCCGTTCATTCGTCCTTCCGCTTCTGTGTGTCTCCCTCGGCTTGCGCTTCAATCCTCCGGTTGCTGTCTTCGCTGCCGTTGCCGGTCCGCACTGCCCGTCGCGACAACACGCTGAGCGACGTGCACGCACACACGCCTGCGCACGGCGAACGAAGAGGCCAAAAGCTGCAGCGGGTGCGGGTGTGTGGTTTTTTGCCGAAGCACCGCTTCCACGGGAGAACTCTTTTTCTATTCTGCGACGCACTCCGCCTTCTCTTTCGCTTCCTTGATTTATTGTTGCTATTGCTCTTTAGAGGAGGAGGAGGAGAGTGGATTGGTGGTACCGCGCAACCGTGTGGATCGTCGAAGGGCGGACACCGAACGCACCGCAGCAGTCCCTCTTCCCTCTCTGTCTTTTTCCTCTATTTCCCCAGTCGAGTTGTACTCGTTGACGTTGGCCGCTTTGTTGTTGTTCTCGTTGTTTTCTGTGATTCCGCGCATCAGGATCAGTTTTCTCTCCTCTTCGCCGCTCTCCACCCGCAACAGACAAGCGTGACGCTCGTTGAGAGAGACTTCTGCGATGAGTCAGCCGGGTGCGCCTCCACGGGGCAGCGCCGACGGCGACGCGCGCCCCGCGTCACAGCCCGCCGCGGACGCGACTGCCGTGCAGTACTACTACCGCACCCCGCGTGAGAGTAACGCGCAGCACGCCGGGACGGCGGCTGCCACTACCGCCGCAGCGGCCGACCTGCCCAGTCCGCCCAGCCCGGAAGACCTCTGTCTCGGCGACCCCCGCCGCAACTCCCACACGAGCACCGGCAACAGCTCGCGTCTAACGACGCCGACGTCGGCCAACGTGCCGCAGTTCACGACACGCGTGCGTCGACGGCACGGCAGTAGCAGCGGGCTCCCCAGCGGCTCCCGAACCTCGCCGACCGCGACGACTGGCCATGACGCCACAAACAGCAACCCCACTTCGAGTACTGGCGGAGATGGGGTGGTCGGCTCGAGTCAGGGCAGGCGCTCCGAGCCGCGCTTCGCCGGGCGTGGCACCCGCGCCGGCAGCGGCGACGCTAGTCAGCAGTACCATCGTGAGAGGGTAGGAGGCAGCCGCTCTCGCCACGGCAGCCAAGGAGCTGGTCCGTCCCCCTACTCCCAATCGGCGGCGAGCAGTGGGCGCGGCACACCGGCACCGCCCAGTCTGTACGGCAGCAACGGACTCTTCACATCGGGGGGCCGGCACGGCGCACTGTCATACGGAAATGCCGCCGCCGCTGCCGCCGGGCATCACGGGCACTTCCCGCCGAACACGCCCGTGTACGTCAGCGCAGGTGGCGGCGTCAACACCCCGACATCCGCGGCGGAGTTGGGGTCGCCGACGGGGTCGCAGCCGCGTGCGAACCGACGCCTGCGCGGCAACACGTTGGGCATTGCTGCCAGTGCGCAGGCCTGGCATTGGGGACCGACAACGACGACATCATCAGCTCAGCAGCAGCAGCCACAACAGCCCGGTCATCAGCGCAGTCGGCATGGGCACCGTCGCAGCAGTGCCGGTGGTGGGGGGAGCGGCGAGAGCAGCAGCACCGAGGATCGCCGTAGCAGCCGCGGCGCCCCCGAGTCTCTCTTTTCCGCTGTGCAGCCGTCGATGATCTCGCCGACGCAAAGCAGCATCTCGAGCCCGTCGACGGCGGTCAGCAGTCCTGCAACGGCGGGTGGTGGTAATGGACTGCCGCAGCCGACACCGACCTCCGCCTCGTCGCACGGCGACGCGCAACACGTCTTTCCGCGGCAGCACCCGCCCTCGCAGCACGGCAGCGGTGCTCCGCCGGGCAGCGGGACCTCCGCGCTGACGCCAGTCTCGGATAGGACTTCGGGCTCTGGCAACGCGACTGCCGCACCTGGCGGGGGAGTAGGCGTCGTCACCAGGGGAACAGGGGGAGTCGGCGCAGGCGGAGGCGGCAGCGGCATCATGACGGACGCGCCTCTCGCCACCTTCGCTCGTCGCCTGTCCAACAACGCCAGCACCGCCATGGACCAGGGCAGCGGTAGTCCGACGACGACGACCACCACCGTCACAACCCCACAGATCGTGACGCCGACCACCGAGTTCGAGCGCTCCTTCGCGCACGGGATGTCGCCTGGCGCCGGCATCGGTGGGGTGAATGACGAAGGTGCTATGTGGGCGCGTCGTGCCACGAGCATCGCCGCTGCGAGCGGCACCTACGGCGAGTCGCAGCACCCCAACACAACCAACAACAGCGTGAGTGACGCCCTCTTCGAGAAGTACCCTCGTGTGGAATCGCAAGGGCGCGAGGCAGCGGACGCGCCGACGGTGATGCCAAACCCTCACACGGCCACTCCCCCGCTGCCGCTCCCCAGCACCTCGTCGTCCAGATCACCGTCCAGGCAGGAGCAGCAGCAACAGCGTAGTTATTATGAGTTACCGCCATCGCACACACAAGGCGCTGGACACGTCCTCGGTGCCGCACGTAGCTTCGCGACAACCGCCGCCACGACAGCCAACAGCGACGTGAAGCCGAATCCCCTTCTGCAACCGCAACAACCACCGCCACCACCGTCCGCAGGCGCATCAGCACACTTCTCCGCCGGCTCTCACGCAGGCGCCGGCGCCGGCGGCGACTTCCTCCGTGCCAGCGGCGTCTTCTCCGGTGAGGAAAGCACCCTCTACAGCTTAAACCACTCTACGTCGAACTCCCGCTCCGACTCACCGCACGTGTGGGAGAACCCGGTCGGGGCGATGGACCGCGCCTACACGAGCACGGAGGCGCAGATGACGCTGCATCAGCAACGCCTGGACGACGCTCGCATGCAGGACGCGCTGCACTCTCTCGGTGTCGGCACAGCCGCCGCGACAGCAGGCGAGACCGTCGCCACGACCGGGTCGATGGGCGGCAATGCGGGGGTACCGACGGATAACGGCAGTGGTGGTGGCACGGCAGCTCAACCACAAGAGGCAACGGCCAGCACACAAGTCTTGACGAGCGAGCACCCGCCCTTCAGCACCCACCCCGGCCTGATCGGTGCCGAGTGCGCCTCCGCAGCGGACGCGCTGATCGACTGGGGGCGGGCGTACGCGTGCGGTCAACTAGGTAGCACCAGCGCCGCCACCGCCGCCGCGCAGAGCCGCACGCCCGGCGCAGCGGCAGAGGTTGGCAGGCGACGCCTGACGGTGCACCCCAGCTCCCCACCAGCGCCAGGCTCCAACCCCGGCACGGCCTTTTCTTTCCCCCTTGCACAACGAGCCTCCATATCTAGCTCCGCCGCCGCAGCAGCAGCAGCAGCAGCAGCAACTCAGCCGTCCCTGTGGTATCCAAATGACCTGAACGCGAGCATGAGCCGCCGTGCGACTGGCATCGGTGGGTGGCAGGGCATGAACAGCAGTGCGTTGTTTTACCTGAACAGCTCGATGAACGCGTCGGCCCTGCTGGACCCGTTCGCCGCCTCCGTCGTGATGCAGCAGAACCGCACCGCACTCGTCGCGGAGCTGAAGCGGCGGCGGCAGCGGCTGCAGAAGCAACTCGGGCAGCTGCAGAAGGAGGCGACGGCGCGCAACATCTTCGCCCTCATCCGCGCGAGCAACGCGTCGCAGGTGCAGTACCTTCTGCAGGAGGGTCTGTGCAGCGTGAACGATCGCGACTACAACGGCTGCACCCCGCTGCACGTCGCCGCCGGCGAGGGCAATCAGGCAATCGTGCGGGTGCTGCTCTCCTTCGGGGCGGACGTGCTGGCGGTGGACCACAACGGCCGCACCCCGCTGGACTGCGCCGCGGCCAACCGGCACAGCGGGGTGGGGCGGTACTTGCTGACCGTCATTCGAAATCAGCATCTGGCGCAGGAAGCGAATGGTGGTGGTGGGGCGGCGGACGAGGATACTGCTGGCGGTGCCGGCACGAGAGCGGGCTGGACGCCCGACCAGGGCCTGCCAGGGGTGCTGCCGCACACCCCGACGTCGTCCAGGGCAAGCCCACGCGCGGGCGGCGGCGAAGCATCCCCGACAACGACGACGACCACCACCACTGCGAACAACAACACCACCACCACGGCGGGAGGGCTGCGCCACCGCGGCAGTGGGTGGTACGGCACGCCTAAGTTAATGGGTGGCTCATTTGCGGCGTGGCCTCCGACGCCACCGGCGCCACGTCGTCAGCACGAGCAACGACAGACGACGTCTACGCCCTCGCCGCCGTCGCTGCCGCTTGCCCCCTCCCCGCCCGATACAGCCACCCCTCCTTTTCCGGGAACGGCAGCGGGGGCCTCGCCTTTGAGCGCCCAGCAGGATCACGAAGCCGACCCTCATCAGCGTCTCCAGCAGCAGCAGCAGCAGCAGCAGCAGCAGGTGAGCGCGTCGTACGTGGCGGACGCCAGCGCCAACAACAATATCAACGCCTCCACATCTTCGCTGGTCTTTCCCTCTCTCCCCAACGCAGCAGCAGCAGCACAAACGCCGACGTCCACGTCGCTGGCGCCGCCGCCGCCGCAGCAGCAGCAGCAAGGTACACCGAGCGATGCCGGCATCGCCGCGTCGTCAGCGCAGTGGCGCCGCAACTCAACACCGCACGGCAGCTCCCCGATGCGGCCGGTCGTGCTCTCCGCCCTCCACACCTCCGCCGCGGAGCGGTCGCGGGAGATACTCGCGGCCGCGTCCTCTCTCTCTGGCGCAACGGTGTCGCCGTCGTCCGTTGCGACGTCGCCCCACATGACCGCCTCGTCCTGCTCCGCGTACGACGACGTCAGCGCGGGGTCGCCCAGCATGCGCCCGATGCTGCCGCCCTCCGCAGCGGCCGCCCGCGCCACCGCCGCAGGAGCCGCGGTAGGAGGCTTCACCACGGCGACGATGTCGATCGGATGCAGCGATGGAAGCGGCCTGACCTCCCCTGCCGTCGGCAGCGTGCAGAGCAACTCGCAGCCGACGCCGCAGCTCGGCTTGAAAAGCGGCAGCAGCGATGGCGGCGGTGTGGGCGGAGGAGGCGCACCGCCCGCCTCTTCCATGATGATGGCGATGATGCAGCCGTCGTCGTCTGCTGCCGCGGCCGGCATGAGGGCGAGGAGCAGCGACGCACCTTGCAGTGGCAGCACCCCGCCGACGTTGCACGACAGACCCATCGTCTCCGCCCCGCCGTACCTCGCCGTCGGGATGGACACATCACCGTCGTCGGAGGCGGCGCACGATCTGAGCGACGGCCCGCCCAGCGCCTCCATAACGTCCCCGCACAACCACAACCACCACCAGAAGGTGGGTGGTGAGCAGGGCGGTCGTGCCGGGCCGATGCGGCCGCCGTCATCGGCCCCACCGGGCCCCTTTGATGGCGCCGGGCACGCCACGTCGCCCCCCACTGCCCCCCTGCCGGAATCGTCGCTGGAGGGCGAGGCGACGGGCGGCAGCAGCGCCTTCGGCCCGACGCCGTCGCACGCGCACTTCGCGGAGCCGCTGAACGAGGACGAGCTGCAGCACCTTCTGCTTGGCCGCGGTGGGGTGCTCGCGCGGCAGAAGCTCGCCGGTGCTGGTGGAACGGACCACCGTCACCCGCCACGGAGCGAGACGCCTTCGACAGAGACTAGCGAGGGTTCGTCGATGCCGGCAGCGTACAGGACGCTGACGGGGACGGCCGGCCTGCCGCACAACGCGGACGATCACTTCCACTACCACGACGACGGCGGGGATACCAGGGCTGTTCACCTGCGACGGCAGCAGCAGCAGGCACGCGCAGGTCTGATGTACACAACGTCAGCGTTTACAGCAGCGTCAGCAGGTGATGGTGGTGGAGATGCTACTTCGGGGTCCGCCAAGGACGAGGCACCGTTGAACTTCTCACCCGGGACGCGCATGCTCCGCCCCTTCAACACGCTGCCGCTGGACTCACAAGAGGAGCTGGAGCGGGCTGATCGGGATGGCGCGCGTGCGGCCACCACCGCCACCGCATCCACCACGGCGACGGCCGCGTCCGCACCGCATCTCGAGTTCCGGTGCCCCGACGACGACGCCAACACCACACCGGCACAATCCACCTTGACGTCCGACCTCGGCTCGCTGCGCGGGGTCGCCGCGTACCAGCCCTTTAAGTCCTCCCAGCGGGAGAGCTTAAGCGCCTGCGACGTGGGCCAGCAGTCCCTCGAGGAGCACCACCAGCACTTCCGCCTCACCGCGACGACGGGCATGAAGCTGCTCCGCAGCGGCGGCGCCGTCGCGCGCCCGTTCGCGGCGACGACGACGACGACTGCTGCGACTACTGCGGCTGCGCGTGGTGGGTGCCCGATAACTAACACCATCAACGACGGCGGTGCTGGGGAAGGAGGCGGCCTCGCCGGGGCAGCGGAGCACGCGCCGGACAGCGCTGCCTTCGCTGCGGCAACTCAGCCCGCACACGCACCTGCGGAGACGCTGGACAACAGGATGGAAGAAACAGGCAAGCGGGCAGCCGGCGCTCCGGCGAACGAGGCAGCAGCAGCGATAGCAGCGACTGCGGGTCATCCAACGCCGAAAGAGAACGTCACGGTGCTGCCCTCATCGGAAGGCATCAGCGCTGCGGCAGGACCAATAGCGATCAGCGATGCGATGCACGTCCCGCCGCCACTGCCGCAGCAGCAGCAGCAACAGCACAACGAGGCTACGTCGACACTGACAGCCAACGCCCCACCGGCACCGCAGCCGCAACGCAGCAACCGCCACGCCGAAGAGGAGCAGAACTTCATGGAACAGCTCCTGCAGGAGCCGTTGGATCTGGCCACGCTGCACCACTCCAGCTACACGACTGTGTGCGACACCGTCTCCATCATCGTGTGCATGGTGGGCCTGCCCGGGCGGGGCAAGAGCTTCATCGGCAAGCGGCTGGTGCGGTACATGAATTGGAAAGGCGTGCCGTGCCGCGTCTTCAACGCCGGCGATTACCGGCGGCAGCTGCTCGGGGTGGAGGGGACCGCCAACGCCGCCTTCTTCGACCCCAACAACCCGATCGGGGCGCAGCTGCGCGAGAAGATGGCCGAGCTGGCGTGCGAGGCGCTGGTCGGCTTCATCTCCACCCACCCCCTCGCCGTCGGCATCCTCGACGCGACGAACACGACCCGCAAGCGACGGGCCTGGCTGAACGAGTACTTCCAGCAGGAGGCCGGCAAGCGAGGGGTACCCTTCCGCCTCCTCTTCATCGAGTCCGTCTGCACCGACGACACCATCATCACCGAGAACATCCTCCGCAGCAAGTGCGACAACGACGACTTCAAGAACGTGAAGGACGTGGGGGCGATCATCGCCGACTTCCGCAACCGCATCCTCCAGTACGAGAAGGTGTACGAGACCTGCGAGCCGGCGGAGCGGATGTCGTACATTAAGATCATCAACGTGAAGCACCACGTGATACTGCACCACGTGCCGAACGGCCTCGGCAGCCGCATCGCCTTCTTCTTGCTGAACCTGCACCCCGTCGCCTTCCCGATTTACATCGCCCTGCCTGGCGAGACCGTCGGCGACAAGAAGCACGCCTACGGCGGGGAGGAGCGGCTGACGAGTCGGGGTGAGGCGTACGCCGTCGCGCTCAAGAACTTCATTCAAGACCGCTACGTCCCCCACATGGTGGTGCTGCACGCGACGAACTACTCCGTGCTGAGCACGCTGGCCCCGCTGATGGATGGCGCGACGGAGGATGACGCGGCGCTGATCCTCCAGGTCGCGCCGGGTGCGAACAACACTACTAATATCCCCATCACCACCACCAGCAACGGCGCGGTCCCCACAAACCACAACGGCAGCGCGGCGTGCAGTGCGGGGGCTGCGGCGCCGTATCACCCATCCAAAACGGGTACACCCTCCCCGCAGCAGCTGCAGCAGACAGCGGTCAAGCGCGCCCCACCGCCGCCCTCTGTCTTCCGTCCCGCCGCAGCGCAGACGCAGACGCAGAGCTCCGCCAGCGCCTCCGCTGTCGTCGTCGTCACCCCCACAGGCGCCGTCGCTGGTGGGGGTGACGGAGTCCATCGCACGTCGTCCGCCGGTGCAGGGACGGACCCGCTCTCCCCGGCACTGCAGGACGCACCGGCGTCGCTGCCGGTGTCGACGGCGTCCTCGCCGCACACCTCGACCGCCACCACCACCACCACCGCCGCCTCCCCGACGAGTAACGCGGTGTACACGTCGAACCAAAGCGAAGGTGAGGTGACGGCCTCCAGCGGGCCCAACGCACGCGCAGACCAGCAGCAGCTTCAGCAGCAGCAGCATCGACGCCGACACAATACGGTGTTTCCCACGAAGCACCACCAGCACCGGCGTCGCCACCACCACGGCCACGTCGACAGCTGCAATGAGTCGGACTTCACCCTGGACAGTAAAGGCAGTGAGGAAAGCAGCAGCGGCAGCAGCGGCAATGATGGCAGCCGCAGTAACAGCAGCAGCAGCAGCAGCAGCATTAATGGCAGCCGCCCACCAAATCACATGCGTCGGCGTTCGTCCTCATCGCGGTCGCACCGCAGCCGCTCCCGCGGAAGCAGCTACCGCGCCACGTTGCCGAACACGGAGGTGTCGGTGTCGAAGCTGCACCCCTACTCCCCTACCACCACCGTCGAGGAGCTGCGCGCGATGGCCGGCGGCGACCTGTCCGCCGTGCCGCTGCCGAGCCATCGCTCGTCGTCTAAAGGCTCAAGCCGCAAAACGCCGAAGTCCGCCGCCGGGAGCTCTACCACCTCGCGCACGCACCGCGACGACGACGAACTGGCGAGCGCAGAGGACGGAGGTGCTGCTGCTGCTGCTGCGGCGGCGGCGGCGGTGCGCGCTGAGGCGCACGACGAGGCGGAGGCGGGGGATGAGAACTCCTCGAACGGCGACGGCAGCGAAAGTGAGGAGATGTGCGACGAGGTGCTGTGCCCGGTGCCGGGCCTCGACAACATCAACTACGGTCGCTTCAGCGGTCACACGGCGTCGTGGATCAAGGAGAAGTACCCGCGGCTCTCCGCGATGCTGTACGACATCGCAGACGACAATGATGGCGATACCAACCGGCGACCACCGCCACCGCCACTACCAGCAGCGGGTGGTGCCGCCGGCGCAGCAGTGCCGACGCATCCCGTGCGGGAGACAACAAAGGCAGAAAGGGAAGCAGCGAATCCGCCGCAGCAGCAGCAGCAGCCTTCCAGCGGGCTCCGCAGCGGCAACGGCGCCTACAACAACCTCAACGACTGGCTGTCCGCCACCCTGCCGCCCCCGGTGCACTACGCCACACACGAGGAGGCCATCGCGCACCTGCAGCATGCACCGACCGGGGCCGATCCGCGCCTCAGCTACTGCATCCAGTTCCCGAACGGCGAGAGCTGCCGGCAGGTAAACGTGCGACTTGAGCCGGCGTTGATGGCGGTGATGCGTACGCAGTCCCCCGTCTTCGTCGTGGCACCCGCCGTGCCCGCGCAGGGGGTCTTGGCCTTCTTCATGGACGTCATTCCCGAGCTGTCGCCGACGCTGCGCATTCCAGGCGGGTGCGTCGTGGAGATCGGCGTGAAGAACGGGATCACGGTGCACCCGCTGCTGCCGGACGCGCTGCCGGACAGCATGAAAGGCTCCCCCGTCACGGAGCTGCCGGAGCTGCCGGAGCTGCCGGAGCTGCCTGGGGAGGCGGCCGCGCCGGAGGGGGCGGGGGGAAAAGGCGGCGGTGCGTCGGACGTGGCAACGACAACGCCTCCGCCACCGCCCTTCGCGCCATCTCCTCCGCAAGGGCCAGAAGATCAGCCGCAGGCGGACGAAACGGGAGCGCGAGACGCTGTGGGCACGGCCGCAAAAGAGAGCAAGACGGGTGAGGAGGCGGTGGCGGCAACAGTCGCATCCCCCGCGGCGACTCCCCCAACGCCGGCCGCGTAGCCGTCTCCCCGAATGAAGTGGTTTGTCTGTTTGTTTGTTTGGTCGATGTGAACCTGTACGCGTTGATGGAAGCCCCATCAGCGATATCTCTCTCTCTCTCTATATATATATATATATACTCCGTCGGAGCTGCCTGTGCAGACGCATGTATATATGTATTTGTTTAATGACGATGTCTCGTCGCTGTTGTTGATGCTGCTGCTCTCTTTTGCGCCCTCCTTTCTCTTTCGCTCCCTTCATTCACGTCGTCCGCGACTTCGATCGTTCGTCAAAATCTGCCTTTAAGCGGATTTAACTTAACACCGCTGCCACCACTAACGACGACAACAGCAGTAAAATATATATATATAACTGTTGAATGTGCTGCTCGACGCCGTCGTGACCGTGAAGGCGGCATCTCCTATTCCCATCAGGAATACCATCATGATGTACTCCCCTTTTAAATCTTCACGCACGCGGTGGGTGCCTGCTTTTTCCTTTTATCACTATTGCTGTTATTTGTGGTTTATCTCTCTTTATCTCGGTAACGATCTTCGTGTTTGGCTGCCGTGATGTGCAGCGTGTGTGAGGCGTCGACGCGTTGGAACGGGTGTTGTTGTTCTCTCTCTCTCTCTCTCTCTCTATATATATATATATATACTCCGTGTCTGTGGCTTCCTCCTCTCTTTTCTTCTCTCTCCTTTCCGCGGAGTGGAGCGGCGACTCGCCATTCGCCATGTCGTGTCGTGTCGTGTCGTGTCGGGGTTGTTAATCTTTCTCTTCTGTTTGTTATCATTAACGCTCTCTTCTCTCTCTTCGTGCTTCAAAAGAAATCTTCAGATACCGACTCGAATGACACCAAATCAACCCCGAATATGGAAGCAAGAAGTATGTCTGTGTCTGTGTCTGTCTGTCTGTCTGTGTCTGTAAGAATGCGGAGCGTCCATATACGCTATTAATGAAGGCGCCGCACACTCACTCACACTCACACACACACACACACACACACACACCACCTGCGTCGGATGCTCCGCCAACGGACACGCGCAGTGACTCTTATCTGGCACCTAACTAATCCAACAAGCGTTGAGGAAGGAAAGACCGAGACGGGTGGGTACGACGGTGTTGACGCACCCGTCGAACTCCCCCCACGGCGCTCCATTGGTTTTTCGCCTGTTGTCGTCATTCTCCTCCTTCGCAATTGTTGTCGAGCCGCATCGGCGATGGCCGTCCCTCTCTCCCTCTCTCCCTCCTTTGCACAGATCTTTCTTCACCACTGCGCGTAGCGACGCCACCGACAATTACGTAAGCAAATCAAACACTCCACAAGCAATAAGAGAAGTTAAAGAAGCCGCTTAACACCGTCTTCTTCGCCTCGCGCGGCTCGCCTCAAATACGAACGAGCTCTCGCAATAAACTAAGTTTTTTTTTTTTAAGAGGAGCAATGCAGGTGTTATCGGAGGCCGTGCCCATGACGAACGGCGAGGTTTACGCCCTCGTGCGCCGCCGCCGCGATGAGCGCAACGCCGCCCGACACCCACCCTTCGGCCTGCAACCCGTCCCCTCCGACAGCCACGCAGCGCAGTTGAAAGCAGCACCGCAACGCGTGGAGGCGGCGTCGGCGTCGGCCGTAGCGAGCGGAGCTGCCTCCGTCGTGCTCGGACTGACCGCCGGAGGAAGCAGCAGCGGCAACAATAACCACCACAACCATAATAGCTATAGCAGGAGTGTAACTGGACGGGCGATGCCGGCAGACGCGCTCGATGCCGCCGTTGCAGCGGACGCCGCGTCGGCCGCCAATCAGCTCGCCGCCCCTCTCTCAGGCAATTTGGTAGTGCTGCTGACGGAGGTAACGGTGCTGAACTACCTCGCCAATCACGCGTCCTTGACGCACGACACGTCGGCGGCAGCGATGGAGCACGCGACACCGCCGGAAAAATCGGAAGAAGAAGAAGAGGAAGCAGCAGCATCGACCACGGCGATGTACGCGGACACGCTACGCTGCGTGTACGGACCCACCTCCGTCTACGACGACGGCGTGGCAGCAGCAGCAGCAGCAGCAGCCTCCTCCTTTTCGACGCTAAGATCCGCATCCGCTGAGGCGGCGGCGGCTTCAAATGAAGCGCTGATCGACACGGCGCACGTCGCTGCGTGCTACGCGGCACTGACGACGCACTGCCCTGGCACGAAGGGCCACGTGCGGGCCGCCATGGAATTGCTGGAGCAGTACGAGGAGTTGGGGCGAGGGAAGGAGCGGACGTACGCTGCTGGGATCCGTCGTGTGGTGCGGCAGCTGTGGCGGCAGCAGCTGTGGGCGCCGCCGAGTGCCGTCCCGCGCGAGACGCTAACCGCGTCGGCTGCCGCCGCCGTCAAGTTAGAGAAAACAGGCGAAGACGGCGAGGAGGTGGACGAAGTAGATGGAGGGCGAAGGGCAGCTGTGCCATCACCGTCGAATCGGCAGCGTCGACGCGGCGGGGCGGGCAGTGAGGAAGGCGAAAAGGGCGTGGCGGAAAGCGGCTGCCTCGACCCTGCGTCGCGGCTTCAAGCGAAGAAGCTGCAGAACGATGTCGCGGCTGCCGTGGCGGATGCAGCGATGCGCCCGTCGGCGCCGCTGCTGCTGGAGCCGACGCCGCTGTGGGGTCCGGGGAGTGTGCGTGGCGCACCTCGAGAGCGCGGAACTGCCGCCGCTGTCGCCGCGGCGCAGGTGGCAGCCTCGTCTTATCAGCCGCAACAGCAGCGGGCGAGTCGTTCCCTCTTGTCAGAAGCCGAGGTGATGCAACTGGTTGTGGGCCGCCCCGCGAGACCGCTGGACGTGTATCGCCTGCTGGACGGGCTGGATGGCCGCCTGCAGTACAACGAAGAGGCGATTGCGGCGTTCGTGGAGGGCGTCACGGCCGTTTGCTCTGTTCCCGCCAACGAACCGTCCTCCACGTGAGTTGTGTGTGTGTGTGTGTGTTTTGCGTTCTTGCTGCTGCTGTCGCCCTGTGAAGAAATCTACCTCCTCGCTCGTCGGGTGATGTCTTGCGTGACGGCCGCATGGGGCCTCTCTCCCTCTCTCATACCTCGCCTTCATTTGTACTCCGTTTCCTTGCGAATTCCGCGCGTGTTCGTCCTCGGCGGAACAGAAGAACAGGCGATGCTTCTCCCGTCCCTCACTACAATTATTGTGAATACTTGCGGATGTTCAGTTGGTCTCCATCGTGGGTGTTTTGGAGAGGGGAGAGGAGGGGGAGAGCTGCCTGCTCGGCGCGTAAAGCCGCCACGCCCGTCTTCGTCTCCCCAAGTGCATTCACCCGTCTACCCATCTACCCACCCATCCATCCGTCCATCCCCCTCTCGCCCTCCCGTCGGTTTTCTCTCACCGGCTGGTACAATTCTGCGGCTTTCTTCTTCCTGCTTGCTTGCTTTCCTTGACGCCTCTTTGCATTCACACCGGCTCTGACAGGGAGCTCTTCCACAAACACTCTTCCTATTACTATTATTATTATTATTATTGGCGTCCTGCATCGTGCCTGCGCTGCTCTCTCTCGCCGCTTTTCTGTTTCTTTTAGCTTCTACGAACAGTTCCCGCGGTCACGCAGACACGCGCCCACGCGCCATCACACAGGCCCGCACGTCGTCTGCGCAACGACACACGACTCCGAAGCTGCGTCGCAGCTACACGAGTGAACCAAGAAATTAGTCGGAGCGGGGTATCGACGGCTGATCGCCGCCGCTGTTGCTCCGCCTACGAATCCTCTCATTTGCCATTGTTGTGCGGTGGGTGTTTTGGGGAGGGCCTTTCCTCTCCGGAGTTGTCGCTTCTCTCCTGTTGACTTCTCCTCCTCTCTTTCTCTTTCTCTTTCTCCCTCTCTCCCCGTTTCATCACGACGACCATTACCAGCATTAGTTATTACTCTTCTTATTTCGCATATATATAGTTAGTTAGTTAGTTAGTGTAAACACATACGTGTGTGTGTGTGCGTGCAGCTTCCTTGCCTTTCTCATTGCTCCCTCTATTACTCCATTTTCCTCTTCCTCGTCTTCTTCTGTGACATCTACACATCGCATTTTTTTCATCCTCCTTCTCCACGCTTGCTCGGCGGTTTGGCTGCTGTTCTGTGTCTCGCCTCCTATACCCGCTGCGCATATATATATATATATATATATATATATATATATCTGCAAACCTGCAAGCCTGCACACACACGCACACGCGCTCGCACACGCAGACTTCTCCTCCTTTTTTCTTCATTTTCACTTGAAATATATCTATTGCTTCCCACTGCGTCGTTTGCTGTTGTTGCTCCCCTCTCGTTCGCTCGGGTCTCTTCGTTCCTTGTGCCCGTACGCGTACGTCGTGGTGAGTGCGGCTTTCTCTTTCATTAGAGAGAGAGGGGCGGCGGGCTCTTGCTTAGCGTGGCTACATCAACTCCCACTGTACTCTTCCCTGATCCCCTTCGCCCATCTCACCACACCCGTCCCTGTTCTGCTCGTCGCTCGCGTGCGCCGTCGTCTGACGTCACGAGACGCGCGCACCCTTCGCCGCTCCTTCCGCCTGCTCTCCCCTTGACGGCGCAAACCACGGACTACTGTGTAAAACGCACTGTACTACATATATATTTATTATTATATGAGTAGCTGAAGCGGTGACGCACGCTTCTATATTCCCGTCAGCTAGCGAGAGAGGAGAAGAATACCGGCGATCCGCACGGCCACCCGCACCGGCCTGCATCTCGCGCGCACCGCACGTCAGCAAACCATCTTCCCTTGATTCTTTGTTGTTGTTGCTGCTGCTGTTGCTGTTGCAGACATCCCTCAGGTTTTTGCTTCTTTGCTTAAAAGCTGTTTATATAGTGCAACTCTTGCTAGAAAGAAACCAAGACGTCTCTCTCTCTTCTCTCTTTGCTCTGATTTGCTGCGAGCCGCTGCTGTCGCGGCTCCTCTCATTCGTCGCTCTCTCTCTCGCTCTGCTCCTGCTGCTGTGGCGGCTGCTGGTCGGTACTGTGACGAAGCAGTGAAGGGTTTTTCTTTTAACTGATCGGTGTGCGTGTGCGTGTGCGTGGTCCTGAGTGGTTCCTCTTTCTCTCATATACATATTCAAAGCAAACAAGAGCAATAAGCACGTCCTCATGCGCGGCTTTTTGCGCCGCATTTTGGGTCGTAGGGTGTCGCGTGATGACGCCGCGGCGGACGCGGCGGTGCCGCCGCTGAAGTCGCTGCACGTGCACGTCGCCACGTCCAACACCCACGTCCACCGCAGCAGCGACATGGATGACGACGACGACAACGGTGACAGCGGCTACGAGTCTCCCGGCCTGCTCGACGTGGCGGCCATCTCCGGCCTCTCCTCCCCCACGTTCTCCTTCAGCAGTCGAAACGCGACCGCCTCCGAGGTGAACAGCCCGACCGCGTCGAGGCCGCCGCTCAGCAACGCGGCCGGCCCCGGGGCGTCCGATAAGGCGGTGGCTGCGGGCGATGCTGCTGCAGTAGCTCGAGTGGGCACCCCCAACGAGCCGGACGGTCACCCCACACACGGCGGGGGCGGGAGCGATGCGGCGGTGGACGACTTTCTAAACAACGTCATCGCCGGCAACACGGACGTCCTGCGCAAGCAGCTCGCGCAGCAGAAACTCGAGGCGGCGGCGGAGGCGGCGGCGGCTCTCGCGGCGCAGAAGCCGCACGGCAACAACAGCACCGCCACCACCGCCGCCGCGCGGAGTCGACAGGGATCGACGCAAAATTCCTTCGCGGGCGGCAGCGGTCCCCGCGGCAGCACCGCGAACACGCCGACGTGTCCCGCCGAGGGCAAGGCGTTGCCTTCGCAGCAGCCATCGCAACCATCCGCACCCGCAGTCCCAGCAGCGACGAATAATGCTGGTAGTTCGCAGGCCGCACCGCCGCCACCGCACGCGCCGTCGCACCGCCACAAGTATGTCAGCAGTGCTGCCCGCTCCCTGCAGGACTACGAGCTCATCGCCTTTCTCGGCAGCGGCACCTTCGCGGAGGTCACGCTGGCGCGGAACAAGATCACGAAGGAGTACTTCGCGGTGAAGAAGATCTCGAAGCAGCGAGTGAAGGAGGAGGGGTGTGTGGAGCGCACCTTCACGGAGCGCCAGCTGCTGGCGAACCTGCACCACCCCTTTCTCGTCCGCCTCTGCCAGGCCTTCCAGAGTCAGACGCACCTCTACCTCGTCCTCGACTTCGCGCAGGGCGGGGACTTGTTCTACCTGCACAAGCAGCAGATTTGGCTGCGGAGTATGCGGCGGGTGCTGGTGAAGATGCAGTACCCCTACTACCAAAGCACATCGAGCACGTTTGCGGTGGTCCAGACCGGGTCGAACCGAGCGTCGCCGGCGCCGCCGCTGCTGCCGTCTAGCACCTCGTGCGAACACGAGCCTTTGCACCACCACCTCCAAAGCAGCAGCAGCAGCAGCGCGAGCCCGCAGCCGCACCCCGATCACGGCCGCGTTTCTTCACCACCTAATGCAGCAGCGGCGGCGCCGTCATTGAAAAGCAGCGCCGATGACGCCCCGCGAGGCGGTCCCCAATCTCTGTTAGCCACACCACCCCTGCGGTCACCACCGGCGGGCGCGACGGACGCTGCAGCGCGACGCGGCGACGCCGACCCGATGACCACCATCGCTGCAGCAGCTTCGCACGATCCCGCACACGCGCATGCCGTTCGCGGGTGCGGCGGCGGCGGCTTCACCACGACCCGCACCATGACAGGCGCGACTGTTACGAGCAGCGCCGCGCAGACGTCGCGCTCCCCTACCACTCAGCCCGCCTTCGCATCGTCGCATCAGCACCTGCACAGCGGCAGCGGCAGCGGCGGCGGTGCTGCCCACAACGCGCGGCTAGACGGGAGTGCGGCAGACGACGACGAGGAAGCGGAGACGGAGGTGTCGGAGTTTGACCTGACAGACATCAACAACAGCATCGTCGGGCCTGACGAGGGCGGGTGGCCGAACACCTCCTTCGGGCAGCGACCGCAAAAGCAGCTGCAGCAGCAGCGACGTCGGCCCCCGCCGGACTTCCGCTACTACACAACCGATGCGGTGGATGAGTTCGACGGGTCCGCGTCGACGGTCGCGCCACACCACGGCGACGGCGCGGTGGTGGTGGCGTCGCCATCGTCGACGTTATCCGGCACCACTCCACCAACTACAACCGCTGCAGGTGTCACCGCCGCTGCTGATCGTCACGCAGAACATGAAACCTCCGGCGTCCACGCCGCGGGGCCGCAACGCGTCAGCAGTAACGGCGGCGAAGACGCCTCATCTGTGTCGCTCAACGCCCCCTCCGCCACAGCAACCACCACCGCAGCGGCAGCCTTCCTACTCCGCTCCGGCGCATCTTCCTCTTCCTCCTCAACGCACGCCTCTAAAGGCCGCTATCGCCGTCACCGGACAGGTCGCACCTCCGGCGATGCGCCGGCGTCAAACGACGATGACGAGGATGCGGAGGCGAGAAAGAATGTGAAGGGCGCCGTGCACCCCGGCGAGGCAATGCCGTCTTCTGCGTCCTCTTCCACAGCGCTGACATCGAACGCACCACCGACATCATCTGGGCGCCTGCCACCGCTGCGGATGCCTGCGGCAGCGACCCGCAGGCGGCTCACCGACGGGGGCAGCGCCACGCCGAGTAGCACGAGTCTGAGCGGTGAGACCGCCGCCACAGCAGCAGCAGGAGCAGCAGCGAGGGCGTTGGAGGGGAGTCGTCATTCGCTTTCATCGACCAGCGCCACGCCTGTGGGAGTTGGGCTGACAGACGAGGACAACAGCACAGGCCGCGATGGCGAGACCGCCTCAGCGCCCTTTACCGCAGCGAAACCACCACCAACATCACTGCGGCAACAGCAGCAGCAGCCGTCGTTGTCGCAGCGCGCCAGGAAGCTCTCACTGGACCGTGCCGCGCTGGCGGAGGCCACCGCCGCTGGCGCATCGGCCGTGGAAGGGAGTCGCGCCTCCGCCGGGAAGCACGGCCACCATCATCACCACGACCGTCGTCATCAGCACCGCAGTTCTGAGGCGAAGAGAGAAAAGAAAAAGGCCAAGGACAAGACGAGCGCGAGCGCGCAGGCGGGCAGCGGCGCGACGGCGGAGGACGCGGACGGCGACGCCGCCAGCGCTGCGAGCCCAAGCGACACCACCAAGAAGAGCAAGGCGAAGAAGAAGAAGGCCAACACGGTGAGCTCGACGAGCAACAGCGCCGCTGAAGCTCCGAGTGTGTCGGGCACGTCGGTGCGCGGTCCCTCGCTGACGACGAACGCTATCGACACAGCACCCGGGGAATCCGCTGCGCAGGGGAGCGCTGTGAGCGACAACAACGCTAGAGGAGGTGGAGGTGGAGGCGATGAAGCCGCCACCACAGCCAGAAGTCCCGCCACACCGGCGGTGCATCCGATGGAAGCCTCGCCGGCCCGGCAGGCAGCCGCGAAAGCTGCCGCCGCCCACGTCGACCTTGCCGCTCCCTTCCACCAAGTCGGCATGGAGTCCAGCGAGACGGTCCTGCGCGAGCCGCCGCCCTCGGCGAGGTTTGCGCCGGACGACAGCCATCGCCTGCCGCTGCGCCTCGTCGCCTTCTACGCGGTGGAGGTCGCGTTGGTGCTGCAGTACCTGCACAGCGAGGGCTTTCTCTATCGCGACCTCAAGCCGGAGAACATCCTGATGCGCGGCGACGGGCACGTGATGCTGACCGACTTCGGCGTGGCGAAGTACCGCAAAGGCGCCGTCATCGCGTCCGCGACGGGGGCGGCGGCCGGCGGCGGCGCACCCGCCAAAGCCGACAACCCCGCCGCGACGACGGACGGCAAGGCGAACAGCTTCACAGGCACGACGCAGTACATGAGTCCGGAGATGCTGCGCGGGCTCCCGCACGACTCCCGCACCGACTGGTGGAGCTACGGGTGCGTGCTGTTCGAGTGGGCGAATGGACGGAAGGCCTTCGACGGCGCGAACCAGTTCTCGCTCTTCCGCGCCATCGTGGAGGACGATGTGAAGGTCGCGGCGGACGACTACCGCCTCACCGTGCTGGAGGTGCACTCCCGCGTGGCGCAGTTGCACTACCGATCGGAGGAGCTGCGCATGGAGTACGAGGAGCGCGCGGCACGGCGGCTGCGCAACAGCCGACACTCCGCCGTGTCCGCCGCCGTCGTCTACAACCGCGAGAGCCACAGCTTCGATGTGAGTCTGCTGTCGCCGCCGTCTGTCCCAGCTGCGAGCCCAACGGTCGACCTAACCGCGGAGGGCGAAAGCAGCAATGAGAAAGACGGCAAGGAGGAGCGTGCGGCATCCCCTGCGCAGCAGCGGCGGCAGCAGCCGACAGCGACGGCAGCGTCATCGCCCTCGACGCAGAGCGTCACGCACGGCAGCGGCGGCGGAAGCGGCAAAGGTGACGGTCCCCCTCGCCGCACGGAGCAATCCTCCCTGGCTGACCCCCGTAGCGACGACGTCCACGCCGAGCGGAGTGGTGATGATAAGAATAGAAATTTGAACAGCGGAAATACAGCATCGACGACAAACGCGAATGAAAGCAGCGGCAGCGTCACCGGCGCCGAGGCCGTCGCGGCGCTGCTCAACGACTCCTTTGCGGGTCAGCGCGGCGGCGGCGATGAAGGGAGCCCGCCGCACGCCCGTCTGGGGGACTCCTTCAACACGAACACCCTCAACAACACCAACAACTCCTTCGCGAGCGTCGCGCGCAACTCGGTGTTTAGTCTCGGCGGGACGCCTACAAACCTGTCGCTGCGGCTGACGACGACGGAGGACGGCAGCATCGCGGCGCTCGTCTCGTTGGCGGCGCCGTCGGCGCTGCGCGAGCGGCAGCGACGGGAGCGGCAGCTACAGAGCCGGCGTCGCCGCGCCCGCCTGTCGTGCCTCGCCATCGATCCGCTCACACGCGACCGCTACATCGAGGACGCGCTGCACCAAATGGAAGAGGCACAGGCGCTGCTGCGCGACTTGACGCTGAAGCTGTTAGACCGCGCGATGGAGAGCCGCCTTGCCGGGGCGGACGTGCTGGAGCACCCCTTCTTCACCTGCCCATACGTCGTGTCGCAGCTGTACTACCGCGTGTACCAGCAGCGGTCCCTGGCGCGGGAGATGCGCAAGTCGGGGCCGATCGCAGCGGGCAGCGGAACGCATGCTTCGTTCACGGACCTGACGGGGTCGATGCGCGTGGACGGGTTATCGGGTGGGTCCGCCGCGCATGCTGCTGCTGCGCCGGCGCCTGTTAGCAGCGGCGGCGGCATCCTTCATCCGTCCATCGGCGGCAGCAGCCCGGCGCAGAAGAGTGCCGCGCTGCGCTGTGCCGACAGCCGCTACGGCTCTTTCGCGGCGCCGTCCTCGCTGCGGCGGCCCGACGACTGGCGACGGCTCTTCCTCGAGCGCCGCATTCGTGCCCTCTACATCCCACGGCTGCGCACGCGCGATGACTTGCGCTACTTCCCGGCAGCGGTGACGGCGACGGGGCTCTCCGCCGCGGTTGAGCAGCACCGCCTCCTGAAAGAGGCGAAGGAGCAGCAGAAAGAGCGACTGCGGGCGAGCAAGGCGACGCCGATGCACAGCAGCGGCGGGACGGCCGCCGCTATACCGAGCAGCATTACCGGTACGCTGTCGGCCGCACACGGCCCGCTCGGGGCGGCGGCGCTGCAGGCCGCCGGGGAGCCGGTGGTGGTCGTGCCGATGGATGCCGAGGCGGCTCATCAAATACAGCAGTTGGTGGAGAGCAGCTCGCCGAGTCACGCGACGTCAAGAGAAGAGAACGATCGCACCGCCTCGTCGTCGGCCGCTGCCGCCGCTGCCGTGACGGACTCAGTGAAGTCGAACGCGGAGGCGAATGCGGTGACGGTTCAGATCGGCGGCGACCTGCGGGTGCCGGCGGTGGAGCACAGCGCGTCCCCCCATGAAGTGGCGGCAACCACAGTAGAGAACTTCCGCAGCAACAACTCCAACGTGGGTGGCGCGATGCCCACATCAACATCAGCGGACGGTGAGGCTGCGGCGACGGCGACACGGCTGGATGCCGCGCACCCCTCCACGGAACCAATGCCCGCGCCACGACGCGATGACGCTGCGGCGGATGCGACGGGCCATCAGCGCAACACCAACAGCGGCAATCACCCCGCGACCTCGACGCCTTCCGCGGCTACGACGCTGACGCCGGCGACGGAGGCGCAAACGACGCAGCGCGCAGCACCCGCCGCAACGGCCAGCACACGGTCGCCGCTGTCGCCGTCGCTGCCAGACGAGGACGAGGGCGAAGAGGATAAGCCAGCACGAGGCGACGTTGTGCAACTGATGAGCACCGCACACCGCGCTGCAGCGGCAGCGGCAACGAACACGCATACAAATGCGGATGATGATGATACAAGCAAGGATACCACCGCCGTCTCTCGTCCGCTCGTGTCGTCGAACGTGGCGGCACACGCGCCAGACAGGGGGTCTGGCCCTGTGTCCCGACCAGCCGTCATCGTTGCAGCCGCAGCAGCCGAACCGTCCACGTCGACAACCACGGCCACCGTCGAAGGAATGTCCACCGCGGGCACCGTCTACGGTGCAGACAACACCTCGCTTTTGGATTCCGCCCCCACGGCCACGTGTGAGCACAGTATCACCAGCTTCATCAGCAACCCAAAGCACGCCGCCACGACCACGACCACGGCGGAGTCGCCGGCGGCCAACAGCGGCGGCGCGGCGCTCGCCTCGCCCTCGCACCTGCTCGATCGCGCCGCGACCCTTCCGCAGAGCTTCGTGGATGCGGCGTTGGCTGCCGCCGCCGCTGCGCAGCGTAAACTGCAGCAGCAGCAGCCGGCTCTGGCTTCGGTTCACTCCTCCTCCATGGTGCTGCAGCGCAGGGATGCCGGCGCGTCGCACGACTCCCTCACCGCCACGTCCGCGTCGCCGAGTCTTCGTCGGGCGGCGACGGCGCCGTTGGAGGGGTACGGGTCATTCAATGGCGCCCCAAGTGCTGTCGGAGCCGGGCCGGCCGCGGTGGTCGCAGCGGCAGACGGGGCCGGTGGCGCCGCCCCGCCAGGAGGCGACCCCATCTTTCTCATCGCCGCAGAAGACGGGTCAGCAGCGGCGGCAAATGCCGGTCCCGCAGCCACCACGACCGTCGAGGGCGACGATGCTGGGGCAGCCGCGGGAGCACCCGATCGCAACAGCCACAACAGCACAGAAGAAGGCACCGCGACGGCCGCGGAGGTGAACGACGGCGGCGAAACCGCGCCGCACAGTGCAGCTGTGGCTCTTGCCGGCGGCACACACGACGCTGTCAACAGCGACGAGGTGGGCGACGGTGACGGTGGCGGTGGTGGCGGTTACTACGAGCAGGATGCGCTGGCAGAGGAGCCGCACGCAGAGGAGGACGAGGATGGACAGGGGAACGTCTCCGAGGGCGTGAGTGAGGCAGCGCGGACGCGCAGTCCCCCTCCACGCACCGTCGACAACGCCACGTCGAGCACGGACACGAGTTTGGAGGGGCAGCGGCAGCAGCACCACCGCCGTCTCGCCTCGAACCCGCTCTCGCCGGACAACGGTGCGTTCGATGCGTCCGCCGCGCCGCAGGAAGGTCGCCGACGGGCCTCTCTCGTGACCTTCCTGGATGATCAGCGGAACGTTAAGGAGGCAGCGGAAACCGCCGGCGACCACGAGCTGCCGCGCGTTGTGCCGGTGACGCGGCCGTCCGCAGCCAGCCTCGACGTCTCGGCCATCCCCTCGAGCCACGATTCGGGGCTGATGGAGAGCACGAGTACGGACGCTGTCGGCGGAGGAGACAGCGGAGAAGGAGGAGGAGGCGGCGTCATTGTGCCGCACGACCCGGGCAACGACACGGCGGCTGCACCGAACACGGACACGAATACGAACAGCAGCGGCCGTGGTGGTGGCATTGGGGAGCCTTCCGTGTCCTCCGCACGCCCGTTGCTGACGCAGGATGCGCACGGCCACTACAATAACTCCGCCGCCGCAGCAGCAGCAGCAGAGTCACGGATGCACGCGCCGTTGGACGACAGCACCAGCAGCGGCGGCAGCGGCGGATTTGGCGACGAAAGCCTCACAAACCCGCTTTCCTCACTCTCGTCCTCGCAGACACCGCAAGATCGCCTTCTCGCGGCCCCGCAGCCACAACACCAGCTGCCGACCTCCGTTGTGTCCGCTGCGGAATGGCCCTCCTTCACCACCACCACCGCCGACGTCACCGCGGCATCGTTGTCCACCGCGTCCCCGAACGCGTCCCCCACACCTGCGGCGGCGGCGGCGACGACGACGGCGACAGCAACGGCAGCAACGACCGCCGTTATCGGCACCGCCACGACGGACCCGGCGCGGTCTGCGCTGGGCGACGTCGATGAGCGGCCTGCGGATGCAGCCACAGCGATCAACGTGGTGGACACGTCGCCCACGTCGGAGGACGCGCTGGCGGCGACGTGCGCCGGCCACGACGGCTTCCCGGTCGACACGAACGGCCGAAGTGACGACACCGTTGTTGGTGAGCAACGGAACGCCGACGTCGCTGATCGTGGGGCGCGTGCGGGTGCACCCACGCCGCTACCACCGCGTCCACGGCCAGCGGAGGCGGAAGAGGAGAGGAGCGCGGGTGTGGCGGCGGCTGCGGTGGTGGACGATGCGAACGATGAGAGCGATGGGGACGAAGGTGAAGTTGATGAAGGCGGCTACGAGACGAGCGGCGGTGATGAGGCAAGCGACGGCAGCAGCGATGACGGCACGGGCAGCACCACTTCCTCCTCTTCTTCTACTTCTGGAAGCTCCAGCTCTACCTCGAGCGACAGTGACGAGGCAGTCAGCGAGGGAGAGCGGTCCGATACGGAGGAGGGCGCAGTCACGGCAGCAGCGAAAGGAGGGGCGAAGGGCAAGAAGAAGGACGTCAGCAGCCACAGCAGCAGCAAGGCACCTTTTGCTGTCGCGATTCCGCCGTCGAAGCCGTCAACGTCTGTGACGCAGCGGCAGGGGGAGAACTCCTCGCACGACGGCCTCGAGGAGGTGGCGACCCATCGTGACGACGACAGCGATGACGCGACATCTGCCTCGATGAGCTCTTCCCTCACAGACTCCGCCAACTCGACTATTTCGGCCGCCTCTTCCTCCTCCTCCATCCCCTCCTCGCACTCGCTGTCGCAGCGATCGGCGTCGTCCTCAGCCGGGAAACAGCGGGGCGGCGGCGGCTACGACGCGCGTCGCTCCCTCAGTCACGACCGCACGCGCAGCGTCAGCGGCGCTCGTCTGCTCTCCTCACCGGATGAGCGAAGCACCGCCACCGCAGCGACGTCGTTTACGGGAGGTAGCGAGAGTGGGCAGCTGGAAGGTGTTCCCGTCGACGGTGACGCAGCAGGCGGGCCGCGGTCACCGGTGGCGATGGTGCCTCTACGTGTCGCCGCCGGAGGCGTCAACGCTTCCGCTGCTCCCGCCGACTCCCCTGGGCGTTTCTCCGGCGACCGACTGCCACGGCGCTTCGGTACGACGACGACGACGACGACGACGGTGGCGACGGTCAACTCCGCCAGCGGCAGCCCGATCTCCGGCGTGCCGTGGATGTCGCGTGAGAGCCTTAGCGAGACCGGCTACTTCGGCGACGCGCTGAATCCCGATTCGGCCAATCGAACCGACTTCTTCGGCCCCCTGACAACGCTCCCCGGCATCGCGTACCACCTCGATGACGAGACGAGCGGTGCCAGCGTCGCCGGCACACCGTTGGCGTCCTCCGCAAACCTGTCCGTCGCGCCGGAGCAGCAGCAGCAGCAACCGCAACCGCAACCGCCGTCGACGACGGCCTCCGCTGTGCGGGTCTCGCCGGGTGTCGGTCCCGGCAGCAGCAGCAGTGGTGGCGGCGGCGGTGGTGGTGGTCCAGTCGCGAATGCCGGCCGCTACGCCAAGACACTCTGGACCCAGCAGCAACGCAAGCGCATTAACCGCGAACTGCAGCTGCAACGTCAGGAGCAGACCTCTCAGCCGCCACAGCAGCAGCAGCAGCAGCAGCAGCCGCTTCCTTCTGGTAGCACCGATCGGAACTACACGGACTCGGCGCGCTCCTCCCCCTTGCAGACAGGCGGCGCTTCTCAGCCGCAGCAGCGGCCGTACTCCGCGATGAACCGCGCGCAGCCGTCTGTGCCGACCACGCCGGTCCCGGGCAGCCGCAGCGCCTTCGGTACCCGCGGCGACCACGACGAGTTCGTTGGCTTCACCTTCATGGACCGCGGCACGAACGTTATGATGCAGCACGCTGGCCGCACGCGGAACAACGACAGCTTCGACCCGTTCAACTCCGCGAACGACGTGAATGCGGGCAGCGGCGGCAACGACAATGACGGCGTGCACCGCGATCTGCACGGGCGACGTGTCGGGCGTGGAAGCGAGTCCTCCGCCTTCGCCTCACCGCACTACCCACCTGCACCGCGCTACCAACCCGCACCGAACGCATCGTCGTCTGCGAACACCGCGCTCCCCGGCGGCGGCGGCGGCGATCACTTCCATAACTTCTCGTTCACGTCGCCGCAGATCATGCAGCAGTACCTCGCCTCGGCGGGCGGTGCAGCAGGAGGCAGGGGAGGCGGTGGGGCGGGGGATGGAAGACCCTCGTACGGACAGCAGCCGCGTCGCTAGTGTGTGAGTGTGTTGGGAAGGGGGAGGAGGGCGGAAGCGCGAGCAGCAGCGCCACCGCCATTCGCCCCTCTCGGCCAACCCAACAGGCGTGAACTCGATGTACTTTTCTGATGTTACCCGCTCTACGGGTCCGCTGCGTTCCTTCTCATTTTGATTTTGCTTCCCTTCCCCCAACGCGTTCGCCGTGAACTCCGCCGTGAACCCCGCGGAGCGCACTTGCCGTGTCTTTCAATTTTTGTTGTTATTGCTACTGTATTTTTTCTTGTTTTGGCGGTGACATATGTATGCATGTGTGTGTGTGTGTGTGCGTGTGTGTTGATGCGGGGAAGCAAGCTCTCCCTGTGCTGCGCGGTGCAAACGGGGGCGTTCGAACGACGTCGTGTCTCGCGAGCGCCTGGCCCTCTTCTTTCTGTGGATTTCTCTGTGGTGTCTCCCATCGCCGCGCACGGCGCAACTACAGTGCGTTGTTTTTGATTCCTGCCTTTGTTAGACGTGAAGATACACGAGGAGAGGTGCCGTGTGTGGAGAGGCGTGGTGCTGTCCTCTCTCCTCCTCCTAATGGATCGCTTCTCGTGCGTTCTTTGTTATCCCTGGCACGGCAACATCGCGGTGCTGATCTGCGCACTCCGCCGCCGCCAAAGCACGCACTTGCATACCAACAGCAAAATTGAAAGCAATAAAAAGAATAGAGGTGCTGCACAGCCTTTTAAAGACGTCTGCCAGCGAGCTGTTCTCCCTCTCATAAACAGCGCGAGGGAAAGAGGGGAAGTCGCGGATCTGTAGCGCACCGCTTCAGAGCACATGTGCGTTGCCACAACTGATGTTATTAATACTGTTCTTGGTGTTGTTGACTGCGTGTGTGTGTGTGTGTTCGCTCGTTCTCCCACCGCCCTCCCTCTCCCACGCCTTTCTTGCTTGCGGTGTCGATGCTCTTCCTATGCGCACCCTCGCACGAGGAGCAACCCGTCGACTGCCATCGCTGTTCTACACGGATATACATAAGCAGTGTCTTCGGCTGTTTTACCCACCTCGTGATTCAGCACTTCCACCAACACACATACATATATACATACACCTTATACACATGTCCTCCGCGGCGGCTTCGGCAGACACGGCCGCGCCCGTCAGCTTCCTGGACGCGCTGCGGCAGCGCTACGGTGCGACCGCCGACGACCACAACAGCGTGCTCGTGCAGGACAAAAAGTGGCAGTTTGTGGGGTCCGAAAAGGCGGCGAAGCGGCAGAGCCAGTACGACCGCCTGACCCTCGTCGTGCTGCGCAACTGCGGCATCACGTGCGCGATGACGACGGACGAGACGCGCGACGGCAACCACGACAACGCACTGAAGGACGCGAACATGGCCCGCCTGGAGGAGCTGGACCTCTCGGAGAACCCGCGGCTGACGCTGTGGGAGGTGGGGAATCTGCTGCCGTACCTGCCGCGATTGGCGACGCTGCAGTTGTGCGACATACCGGCCTTGCTGTCGCCCGCGCTGACAAGCCCGCCCGTCTTGGCACTCCCGACGGGCGCGTCGTCTGCAGCCGCAATCACCGCTGCACCGCCGCTGCTCATATCAACACACTTGCTGAAGCTGGTGCTTAACAACACCGGCTTCACGTCCCTCGCGCAGCTGCGTGCGCTGATTGCCGTGCCGGCGCTGAGGGAGTTGCACTTGGACTCGAACAAGCTGACCTCGCTGGACCTGGTCACGGCAACGGAGGCGGCGAGTGGGGCGGCTGCCGGTGCTGCGGCGGCTGCGATCTGCTTCCCGCGCGTCACCACGCTCAGTCTGGCGCACAACGAGCTGTCCGACTGGCGCGCGATCAGCGCGGCGATCTCGCAGGCGTTCCCCGCGCTCACCGAGCTCTTCCTCGCCGACAACAGACTGCAGGATTTGATTTTGTCGGATGACCTCGTCGCCCATGCCGCCGCGGGCGTTGCGTGGACGGCGGCGGAGGAGCGGGAGATGCAGCCATACGCCTATCTGAGGCCGCTGACGCTGTTGGGCGTGAACGACAACCCCACGCTGGCGCATCCCGCGACGGTGGACGCCGTTCGTGTGCTCTGCCCGCGGCTGACCACCTTCCGCATTACCTACCGCACGCTGCTGCCGGCGTGGAATGAGACTAACAGCCGAATGTACGTGGTGGCCGCGCTGCCGACGATATCGCTGCTGAACCGCGGCACGGTGCGGGCAAAGGAGCGGCTAGACTCGGAGCTGCTGTACGTCCAGCGAGGGCTGCAGCAGCGTATGCGCGACGCGGAGACAGCGGAGACAGCAGCGGCAGCAACTCAACAAGGCGACACACCTCAGCCGCACACCGCCGCCGTCCCGCATGTCCCGTATCCGCTGGTGGACGTGCTGCGGGAGAGGCACAAGGACGTCGTGCTGAGCATGCAGCGGGAGGGCGACACCGCGACCACCACCGGGGCCGGCCACGTGATGCTGAACGTGACGCTGCACTTTGTGAACGGCTACGCGGCAGCCACAGCGACGGCAACCGACAGTCCGTTGTCCACGCAGACGCAGAAGCTGCCGAGCTCGCTGACGGTGGCGAAGCTAAAGGCGCTGATGCAGAAGGTGTTTCAGGTGAGACCCGTGAATCAGCGGCTGAGCTACCGCAGCGGCGACCACGGTGTGCTGGAGACGCAAACCCCCCTCGATAACGAGCAGGAGACGCTGGGCTACTACGGCGTGCCAGATGGGGCGATCATCTACGTCGAGGACGCGTCCCTGCGCGACTAGCACGGCGCATAACTGTGCTTTGTTAGGTTAATGTTCTTTTAAAATAAGAATAGAAAAACACGGTGCGAAGCTCACTGAAGTGGTTGCTGATGTGCACGTCGGTGTGTGTGTGTGGGTGTGTGTGTCACGCTCGCGCACTCATCGTGGCATCGCGGTGCGGCGTAGGCGCCGATTCGAATCGGGCTGTTGTTGTTGAGTGGTACTTCCGCCTTCTTTGTGGATCTTTTTTAAAGGATGTCTTCGTGTCGCGCATGCCGCACTTCCTCTCACCCATTCTCTTCGTTCTCTCACTCGACGTGAACTTCGCGTTGTCTCTCGTCTGCCCTGTCGATTCCCATCAACAAATGTTGCTCACCACGGCAATAGTGACGCCCCGCCGTCAACGACCGCACGCGCCACGCTGCCCCCTCCTCTTTTAGAACTGAAAATATATACACACGTTCCCCTCTCTGTCGCTCTTCTTTTGCCTGAGTTTGAAGCGTAGAAGCAATTCTGTTGTTTGCCTCTCTCCTGTTTCCACCTGCTGACTTCCTCACGTGTGTGCGTGTGCGTGTGCGTGTGTGTTTAGCTGCTTCGTGGCAGCCTTTCCCATTGCGTGGATCCTTCTCGTTCTGGGATTTTCTGTCGTCGTTGCTCCCAGGCTGATGCGTCGCTCCACCTTCGCCACAGGCACGGCAGCGGCAGCGGCAGCCCGTCGCCTCTCACCTCTCTCATCGCTGCAGTGCACCGCCACGACCCCTCTCCTCGCGTCACGTCGCTGGCGCAGCAGCCGCCCACCGCGGCACACCACCACCGCCGCCGCTTCGAAATCCGCAGCCGGTGCCAGCTTCCTCTCCCACCCCTCTCCTGAATCCACCTCCCCCTACCAGACGGGCCCGACGTCACGTCAGAGTCGCACAGCGGCGAACCACACGAGCGGCCTCGGACGGGGCCCCGTGAAGGACCGCATACCGCCCGTGCCGACCGACCTCGTTGATCCACGACGGCGTCTGGCAGTGCTGGTGGACGGCTCCAACCTGAACGTCATTTCTGATGGGTGCACCTCGATGGAGCAGCTCTACCGCACGAGCGCGCTGTTCTCGACCGTGCTGCCGGCGGTGTTGATGGTCGGCGTGCCGGTGCTGCTGCGCGTCTTTGCGCATCAGCTGCCGTCCGCGTGGGAGCCGCTGATCGCCGGGAACAGCAGCCGTTTCGGCGGCCACCACCACAACTCTAGCAGTAGTGAGGATGCTTCGCTGGCGGAGCGGGATATGGATGGAGTCGAGGGGAGTGCGGGAGAGGAGGCAGCGAATGGCGGCAGCGGTGGCAACGGTGGTGGTGGTGAGGGATTTGGAATGGAAGGCGGTGCCGCTGCCGGCTCGCCGTCGAGCACGCGTCCGCTGTCGCTCATCCCGCTGCCCGCGCCTTCAGCGACGCCATCTGCGTTGTCAGCGCAGCCGCGTGTTCAAGTCGAGTACTTCCGAGTAGAGCGCTTTATCCCCATCGCGATGCAGCTCGAGGCCGACGCGCGCCACCTGTATGAGCTGCGCAGCCTCAACAAAATCGAAGGCGTGTGCTACGTGTGCCACGAGGTGGACCGGGCGATGTACGTGTCGCTGATGGAGGAGCAGCGTAACGGCTCAGCTGCGTTAGCGGGCCTTCTGCGGCACAACAGCGGCGAAGCGAGCACGGCGGCGGCTACTCCTGCTGCGTTCTTCAACCAGTACGTCTTCGATGAGCTTGGCATGGTCGGTGAGCTGCTGGCGGATGGTCGATCGAAAGACGGGTCGTAGCACACGTGTGCAAGAGCAGCTGAGAACGCCTCGTTACATTGATTTTTGGAAAGTGCGAAGTAAGTAGGCCCTCAACGGAAATCATTGGGACTCGGTTTCCAAATGGAATAATAAGAAGAGCCTTCGTGGCGCGCGTGGGTGTCGTCTTCTCTCCCCCTTCTCCCTCTGCAGTGTGCCGCCCTCTGTGTTGCTGGGAGGTGGGAGGGGGGAGCACCCTCAATGGAATTATGCGGACCGAACACTGGTCGTCGTTTGTCGAGCAGAGGAGATGGGTGGAGAGGGCGTTGACGGTGATTTAAGTCGCTTGCCGTCCTGCCGGTGTGCGTTGTTCGGTGCTTTGGTAGATGCGTGTGCGTGTGCGTGTGCGTGTGCGTGTGTGTGTGTGTTTGTTTGTTTCGAGTTTCCCCCCCCCCCCTCCTTTGTTCGTCAGAGAGTCACCCCGCAAGACGGACAGGCATGGGAGGTCGCCTCCGTCGTGTCTGCCACGACTCGGCGCCTTCCTGACGTCCAACGCGTGCGGCGATGATATTATGGCCGCTGCTGATTTCGGTTTCCATATTGTTCTTGGCGGACGAACAGCGGTTCTCTGTTCTTCCGTCTTTCTCATGCAGGGGCGTGTTATCTCTCGGCCTCGTTTGGAAAGACTGCGTCAACTTGGCGATGTGCACGTCTCCGGTGTCGTGCGCTCTTCTACGCCGTATTACCTCTCCCTCTCTTCTCTTCCTTTTTGTTGCTGCTGCTGCCCTCTCCTCATCATTCAGGAAACACCAACGGGGAACAGGATCAGAAATCGCTCTCCCTCTCCCTCCCTCCCCACACACACACGCATCGTCTTCTCCTGCATCAGCCATGGGCTTTGTAGATCGTGGCGGCGGCCGGGAGGCGAAAGGCACGAGTCTGCGCCGCTCCAAGAAGAACCCCGGTGCGGCCGCGACAAGGAACAAAGGCGCGCACAAGAAGTACGTCACCCCGACCACACGAGCCACCCCGGCCCCGCCAGCGGCGTGCGGCCCTTTCATTCAGCGCCTCGCGGACGCCACCGACGCCGCAACGGCAGCAAATGCGTGTGTGGATGTGTGGAAGGCAGCGTGCGACGCCGTGGCGAGCGGCACCGCCCTCCACGTTGACACCGCCGTCGCACTGCTCTCCCGCAAGCTCGAGGACGACCAGGAGGGCGTCTTCCGCCGCGCCGTCGAGGAAGGCAAACTCGCCGGTGCGCTGTGCTGGTCGGTGGAGGTGGAGAAGCAGGCGACGCTGCTCGACACGTGCGTGCAGCACAACAAGCTCCTCCGCGGGGCAGCGGCGGCAACCGACGCGGCAGCCTCAACCTCCTCCTCCTCGTCTCCCTCCGCGGCGGCCGCTGCGCGCCACGTTCGGTTTCAAGACGACGTGACCGCCACCACGCCGTCTCCTGTCGCGGTCACCGGCGGGGCGACGGCACCGTTGCCGAAGCGCGGCGTCGTCCTCTACGCCATCCTCGGCATCCACGTAAACAGCGTCGACCGCGTCCACATGCGGCAGCACGAGCAGTGGGTCAACGAGCTCGAGGAAAGCGTGAAGCACGGGGAGGTGGTGGGGGTGCTGAGCGGGCTGAACTGGAGCCGCGACCACGGCACGCACTACGCGCAGGAGCGCCTCATGCGAGAGTGCTGGCGGGTGGCGGCGGCGGCGCGGCTGCCGCTGGTTCTGCATCTGTACGCTGCGGACACTGCCGCGTTGACCGAGACGGTGAATCGGGCGGCGGAGCTGATCCACGAGCTCCTCGGCAACGACAGCCAAAGCCAAGGCAGCGCCACAGCGACAACCACGACGGCGACGGCTGCCGCTGCCGCCGCTCCGCCTCATCTTCCCTTCCCCTCTGCGATTGTGCTGTACAACGGCTTGCAGGCCCTGCACGCCTCGCCGGCGATGCAGCAGCTCGTGCGGGCGCACCGGCCGGGCGCATCATCGTCCACCACTGCCACCTCCACGACGGAAGGGGCGTCTGCGCCACATCATCAGCAGCAGCACAGCAGCTCCGTGGTCCCCTTCTACGTTCTGGTGACGGCGGATGGTCTTGGCGAGCAGCCTCCAGCAGCGACGACTCAGGAGGCGGAGGAAGGAAAGGAGGGGGCGGCAGCGTCGGTCGAGCACATCGCATCGCTGCTGCCGTGTCGCGTGGTGGACGACGCCGCCCACGGCCATGACAAGCTCGACGATGTTGCGGCGGATGACGATTTAAGTGGTGTCCTTCACCTCTCGCAGCTGCTCATCGGCACTGGTGCGCCGTGGGGCACGCCGCAGAACCTCCCCGATCCGCACCTCTGCACCCTGCCCAACGAGCCGGGCAACTACCACTACGTGGTGAAGACGGTCTTTGACGCGATGAAGGCGCCGCGGTCTTCGTCCTGCCGTGACGGAGGCGCGGCGCCGGCCGCCGTGTCCTCGGCGGATCAGCTCGCCGCGTACGTCTTCCTCAATCAACTCCGCGTCTTCTTCCACGAGTGCATCGCAGCGGCAGCGAACGACGACGACGACGATGACGACGATGACGAAGTTGCTGCTGCTGCTGATGATGTTGCTGTCGATGGTGGTGCTGTGGTGGATGCGGACGCGCGTCAGCAGCGGCAGTGGCTCGCGTCGCAGCAGCCGGCCGCCGCGACTGCCGTCGCCGGACTGTCCGACGGAGACGCAAAGCGCGATTTGGAGGCGCTGCTCGCCGAAGCCGCGCAGGAGCGGGAGCGCGTTGAGCGAGAACGGCTGCGCGAGGAGGCGGCCCGCGCGCAGGCCCGCAGCGAGGAGCTCCACGAGCGGCGGAATCGGCGCGAGAAGAAGAAGAACGTGAAGGCGAACAACCGGTCCAACTTCACGCACTTCCGCAACAAGGACTTCGCGCCGCGGCAGAGCAAGCAGGAGCGGCTGGCGCACCCGCAGGGGCCGGAGGGGGATGGCAACGACGGCAGCGACGACGACAGCAGCACCGGGAACGACCACGACGAGGGCGGTGCGGTGGGGCGAGCGGCGGGGAAGACGAGCACCGCCCACCCCCACCACCACGCCAGCAGCAACGATGGGGACAGCAGCGCAGACGACGAGGAGGAGGAGGAGAATGCGCAGGACACCCACGCCACAGGTGGTCTGGCAGCGGAAGTGGAGCAGCTGTTGAAGGAAGCGGAGTCGAAGAAGAATCCGGCGGGCAGCTGCAACCGCACGAAGGCGGGCAAGAACACCGCTTCGGCGGCAGCCACCACCACTCCCCCGCCTGCAGCGACTGCGACTGGCCAAGGGAAGAGGCAGAAGAAGAACAGCAGTAAGATCAAGGCGCAGCCGGCGCGGGGAGAGCAGGCGCCGGACGGCGGCGACGACAGCGGCCACAGCGACGACGACGTCGAGGACGCGCGTGCGGCGGGCAGTCAAGCGCAGCAGCCCTCGCGGCGGCAGCGGAAGCGCCAGCAGAAGCGCCAGAAGCAGATGAAGGGGGACGACAGTGACGACGACGGAACAGCATAACAGAAGAGGATGGTATTGATACACGCAACAACGCTTTTTTTTGGCGGAGGTTTATTCTTGCTTTTGAAATTGAACTTTCTGTTGCTGTTTGGGATTGATGGAGCGCTGTCTGTGTGCGCGTGTGTGAAGGAAAGGGGGCTGTCTCTGTCTGTTAGGGTTTCCCTTTCGCGTTTCCCCTCCGCTTTCAGTGAGGGGCGGACGTTCAAGCGGAGCAGGCGCTCCTTTAGTATACTTATAATAATAGTAACGACGGTGCTTGTCTGTCCTCAGTGAAAAAAAAAACTCAGATGACTTAAGGGGCAGAAGGTGACTTAACGTGATGGCATTGATGAACCGGCGTTGTGCCGTCGCTGCGTGGCGTCCTGCAAGATGGACGAAGACGACCAACCGCAACCAATCAGAGAGGAGGAGGAGGAGGAGGAGGAGGAGGAGGGCAGGGGCTGAGGTCTCATTTTGGAGAGCCGAACCGGCGGTGATGATCGCATGCGAGCGCGTCTGTCGGGCCCTCGCATTAAGTTTGTCGTCTTTTGAGGATAATACGAGTATACCCGAGAATAGCGGAAGAAGAGAAGAGCATCGGCGAGTTCGCTTCAGTCGGTGGCGTGTGCGTGTCACCGCCGTATGCATCCCAGTACGAGGTGAACGAAGAAAAGAAAGCGTTCATGCACGCTGAATCACTGTGCCTGTGCATCGCTGATCACGAGCACTTCCACGCATGCAGATACGCTCCCACACACACACACACGCACACGCACTCTCCTTCGCCTGCTCCTCCTTCTTTTACAATTTTCTTAATCATCGCTGCTAATCTGGCCGTTTCTTTATGCGGCGTGTGTATCTCGAAAGGTTTTATTCAACCCCCCGCAGCACCCCATCAACTCACTAAGGCAGGAAACGGAGTCAGAGCACACAACACACGCCGTTTACGTTCTACGTTGGCCCCACCTCCTCCTTCATTTGGCTGCGTCATCATGGGTAACAGCAACTCCGCCAGCACCGCCGAGCCGCCGAAGGCGCCGACGTGCAAGATCTGCTGCGCCTGTCCGCAGGAGCGCCGTGCGAGGGATGAGTGCACCCTCCTGAAGAGCATGGACGAGTGTTCGCAGGAGATCGACGCATTCTATGCGTGTTTGCTGAAGGAGGGCTTTAGCGCCGCAGAGGTTGATGCGCTGAAGCGGAACACCAAGAAAATGTAGGTGAGGCGAAGCGCCTCTCTTGCACTCGACCTTGATCTATCTATCTATCTCTCTCTCTATCTATATATATCACCCATGTCGTTTCTCTCGTCCTTCACAGAATATATATTGTTGTTTACTTGAATCTTCTTTGTCCGCCTGTGACTGTCCGTTGAAAGGATTCTTGTTGGCGGCGCGGCTGTCGTCGTCGTCGTCATCGTGGTCTTCACGTTGATTACTGTTATTACTATTACGTCTAGTAGTTTTTGATATATATATAGATAGATATACTTGCTGTTGCAGTAGTAGCACCTGACTCCTCAAAGAGGGGTGTCGTGTTGTGGCGCTCATTGCCGCTGCGCTGGTGGGTCCGCACGCACCACCCCCACCACAATCGCACCAGCAGCGGCGCATGCTCCGCTTGTTTCTTTCTGCGATTTGTATGGGAGTCTTCTCTGTGCCAGTCATGGGAGCAGCGCGTACCGGCCTCTGTGTGTCTGTGTGTTTGTGTGTTTGAAGTCCTTTGACGCCGCCTCAGCAAACAGCAGCAGCAGCAGGAAAAGCATGCACGGCGCTCCGTTTTCCATGCCTCTCTTCCTCCTCCTCCTCCTCCTCCTCCTCTCTCTCTCTCTCTTACTCCGTCGCCGCTTATCCTGCTGCTGTCGACTTGAACACCGCCGCCGCACAGCTGCGTCTCTGCGAAGCGTATTACTTAATCCTTTCTGTTTTCGCTCTTTGTTTCTGCCGCACTGCGCTGTTGAGACCCGACGTCGTGCCGCACACGTCGGTGTACAGTGGTAAGAGGAAGTAAGAAGGAGGGGGAACACGAATCTCTGCGGGGCCCGTGACAGCACACACACACACACACACGCACGCGCGCGCAAAAACATATGTATCTTTCTTTCTTATTTTCAATAACTTCATCTCCACGTCGCACCTTCACATATATCTTTTACCCCGCCAAACTGGTGCTTACGTTCTCCGTTGTGAGTGTGAGTGAGTGAGTTAGTTCTGCGTGAGCTCCGCACCGTCGTCTTTATATTATCCATTAATATCTGTTTTGTGTTTCCCCCGTTTAATAACACCCACGTAAACGGCGTTGCCGCGTCGCCAAGGCTTTGCGGCCGCCGCTGTTATATCAAAAATAATTAGAAACGAACGGTCAAGAGCTCCGCTGCACCCACGAAGGACATACACACGCGTCGCTCACCGCAGATAGCAACAGCTTAAAACAGCAATGATGAAGTTCGCGCCTTCCTCTGCATCCGTGCGGGGTCCCACCGCTACCAAGCTTCCTGCCCTCGTGGCACGTCCGCCTTCGTCGCGGCCCGCCACCGCCCGTGCTCGCCTCGCCGCCGCCGCCGCCTCCACGGCCGCGACCTCCTCGAACGCCGCCTCCGCCTTCGTTGTCTTTCCAGAACTGCCGGATCAGCTCCTCTGCGCACCGGACAACACGATTTGGGTGTATGGGCAGTACGCCCTCACGTTCTTCGCGACGGAGGCGGCGGCGCAGGCGAAGCTGGAACGGAAGCTGCAGGCGATGCTCCGCGAGGCGCAGCGGCACTACGAAGTAAGTCGCGCCTTTTTCCATTCGCTGAGTCCGGAGGAGCAACAGGCCGAGCTTCTGCGCAGCAGCAGCAACAGCAATGTGGCACCGCTTTACAGGCCCACCGCGACTGCCGCGACGGCGACCATTCTCTCTCCGGGTGAGGCGGCGGCGGCGGCGGCGGTGATGATGGAGGAAAACGTGTATTGGCCCTCGAGGGAGAGCGAATACCTCCGTCGCCACCGTCCGCGGAGTCAGGGGGATGACGCCCACCACAGGAGTAGCGACGGCGGTGTTCGCTACAACGTGACGGGTCACCGCAGAAGCGGCAGCATCGGCAGTGCCAGGAACGCCTGGGATGCCGCAGGGGACGTCATCGCCGGCGCGGAGGACAGCGAAGACAGCGGCGCGCCGTACCCGCCCGGCCTGCGCGTGAACCTGGTGTTGGACATCGTCGCGTCCCGCAAAACGCTCGGGGCAGCTCCGCTACGCAGTCGTGCCTACCGCATTGCGGAGCGGCTGTACCGACGTGTGATGCGGCGGCCGCAGCAGCAGCAGCAGGAGCAGCAGCGAAAATCGCACGGGGAGATGGCGGCCGATGCAGCAGCAGCAGCGAGGACGATCCGGCCGGGTGATCGACCAACTGCTCCCATGAACGGCGCCGGCGAGACGACGACGCGTGCGCCGGATGAGCGCGTTGACGCGCTGCATGATATGGCCCCGTACATCCGCGCGCTTGTCATCGGCATCAGCGACGCGAACATCACCCTCGTGGGGCGTGACGTGGTGTGTCCGTACCGGCACTTACCCGCGCCGACGCCGACGCAGTGGCGGGTGCGGAGCGCGCTGGAGGCCTTAGCAGACGCATCACGACAGCAGCAGCAGCAGCCACGGCTGCACTCCGCTTCCAGCTCCACTGGCGCTGCCGGTGCTGCGGCATGTGCGACCGGGGGGAAGATGGCTGCACCCGCCACGCCGACGTCGGTGGCTGCGTCGATGATGTTGGCGGCCCTCGTGGCGAAGCACGTCCTGCAGCGCCGCTCCGTGGAGTCGTTAGTGCCGGCCCCCTACACGCGTGTCGCGCCGACGCGACTCGGTCAGCTGGACCAGACGCGCCTCATTCTGTGTACGCCCCCGGTGGAGTGGTCGACGGCGGGGGAGGAGGAGGCGTGATGGCGCTGTCGGTGAGCACAGCAGCCACGTCTCGGTGTGAGTGTGAAGGACGACGAAACGCCAAGGCCCCTCTTCACCGGTTCCTTGTAGATCGCGATGCAGGCCGATGCGTTGGACGAGTGACGCGTGTGACGTGTGTGCGTGGCCCGTGCTTCCGCCTGTCATGTCTCGGCCGCTTTGTGGTGGTGCCAACGGCGTCCCCCAGACAGAGACACACGTCACCTACTTCTTTTTATTCAGCTGCACCCATGTATTCATAGCAGCTATTATATATAGGTAATTGGAGGCGCGCTCCGCTGCCCCGTGTTGTGTAGCTCGATGCACACACACCGATGTACACCAGCGTGTTTTTCGTTGAGGAGGTGATGCGCAGCCGCAGAAGAGGAAAAGGAGAAAGGGACGGAACCGCATGCAGAGCACCGCACACGCGGGTCGGGCTGGCCTTCCGCCGTGCATACCCCCATATTTTTTGCTTCTCTGAAGGTGGCGGCGGTGGCGGCAGCACTGTAGATGTGAAAGGACTTCTTTGCTGTTGCTGCTGCTGCTCAGCCGTTCCGTGTGCGGTGGTGTCGCGGCACCGCCTACACACCTCTCTCTCTTTCTCTCTCTCTCTCGTACCGCTCGCAGACTGCATAGCATGTTTTCTCTTTTGGGGGATTCAAACTGCACGTGTGCGGGTGCGCTCGTCGTGATGAACGGCACCAAACCCCTTCATTCACACACGCGCTACACCTCCATGTTGCTCCCGTGTATTACTGTTATTATTACCGTTGTCTTTTGAATGGAAGAAAGGAAGAGCAGTGAAAACCCCGAGGCGGCACCTCGACAAGCGCGGACGCTCTCCACGGCTGTGTCTGCTCCTCCGCGTATATATATATATGATGTTGATCTAGGTAGAGAAGGCAAAGGAAAGTGGAACCCGCACTATGCCGTTCGATGCCCAGTCGCTCTTGTTCCTCCCGCGCCTCCCCTCCGTAGCGTCTCTTTGCGGAGTCTCTCCTCGCTCGCTGCCCCTCCATCTACATAGGTCTGCTTTATATATATATATATATCATTTCCCTCCTCGCGTGGAGCCTTCGTACCGTCGGCACTCGCAGGCGCATGTCAGGCGTGTGCGTGAACACAGCTGCGGACAAGCTCTTGCACACACACACACACACGCATATATATTTTTGCACTTCCTCTTTCACGGCATCATCATGCGACCGCGCTGCGCAGGGCTCTGCTCGAGATGCCTCTATCACTGCCAGCGTCCGCGCACCTCCGCGTGCGTGTTCGTCGTTGCTGCTGCTTCAGCCTCACTGAGGCCTTATGCAACGCACAGCCGAAGCAGCAGCGGCGGCAGCAATGGGGGGCCCTCACTAAGCGACCTGGCGAAAGCTTTTCAGCGTATGGGTGGTGCTGCGGCGCACGACAGCGGTGGCGGCAGCAGCGATGGTGGAAACGGTGGCGGTCGTCACACTAGTGGTCATCGAGCACGGAGACATCAACCGCAGGACGCACACACACCGCGCACAGATGAGCTGACGGTGCCGTTTGAGCCGTCACCGCATTCTTCATCCACACAGAGAAGTGGCAGCGACGGTGGGGACGACGCTGCGCGAGCTCCTCCGGCGGGATCTGACGCGCCGCACAACTCCCCTTCCTCCTCCACCTCAACGAGCACTGCGAAGAGCCGCCTCTTGACGCTCTCGCCGACCTACGCGGCGTACCTCTCCTCGCTTGGGGCATCGCAGCTGTGCAGCGAGCTTGAGTCCCAGCTGGGCCGACGACGCATGGGGTGCATGCTGCAGTGCCTGTACGAGGTCGGCGTGCATCGCCTGCCGGAGCCGTGTGAAGCGCAGCTGCCCAGCACCGCCGCAGCAGGAAAGGCCAAAGAATACCCTCCACTCAACCAGCAAAGACGAGGCGTGGCCATTCAGCGCAACCACCGGCTGCTGACGGCTGTCTTGCGCATGATGACGCTGGTGGACGTCTACGCGATGGAGCCGGATGCAGAGGCCTGGCTGCGTGTCAGCGCGCCCAACGTCGACAACAATGATGATGGCAGCCGCAGCAGCCGCAGCCGTCCTGAAAACACGGCAGCAGCAAAAGCAGTGGTAGGGCGTGCAGGCCAGTGTGCACACCCCCTCTCCTATCGGTTGGCGCAGACGATGCTGCGATGGCTGTCCTGCGAGGTGTCCCGCCTCGATGCGCACACCTCCCTGCAGGTACTGCACCTCCTAGCGCAGCAAAGTATAACGTGGAGTGAGGCGGTGCTCGCGACGCTGGTGGACACGCTAGACGTCCACATCGCTCGCGCAGCACAACACGCCGATCACCCCTTCACCCTGCAGCACTACAGCCTTCTGTTGGACACGATGGCGCGCTTTCAAGCGCAGCAGATGAACGTGACGCGGCTGCAGTCGCAGCTGCCCGCCGCCGCGCACGCCTCACAGACGTCTCGAGCCCAATGGAGCGTGCCTTCCGCTGAATCGACTTCGGAGGCGCTGAGCGCGGCAGGCGAGAACGAGCCAGCCGCGGTCGCCGCATCCGCGGCACGTCGCGCTGCGATCGACAGCGAGCACCCTGTCTCCAACGCCCACGTCTTTCGCTGCGTCGCGGAGGCCCTCACGCGCGAGCTGGTCGCCGCCGCCGATCGGACGCGCCGTTCCTCGCCCGCCTCGGCGGGGGCCGGCATGCAGCACGCGGACACCGCCACGATACTGTTCCTCACCCGCGCCCTCAGCAGGCTGCACTGGTGGAGTGACGAGCTCATGTCCGCCCTCACCGCACCGCTCACGCGGTACGTGCAGCGGCACCCCGCGTCGTACGCCGGGGTGGTGATGCTCGTCGGCCGGCACGAGAACGGCGTCGGCGACGCGGCGCTGTTGTGGGTGTTGCAAGAAAGCCTGTTGGGGCTGCTGCGGCGGCGCGGACGCGGACGACGTCGCGAAAGCGGCGCCATCGCGGACGAAGACGACGAGGGCGGACACGCGCCGGTGCACGACGCACGCTCGATGACGACGGGCCTCGTCGCGGTGCGTGAAAAGGCCGATCTTCTGGGGAACTCCTCGAGAAGCGCGGACGATGATCTGGGGGAGGAGGAGGAGGAAGAGGGCGATGAGTGGATGCGCTTTTCCAGTCGCGATTCAAGCGAGCTGGCGGCTGTCGAGAAGGTGCGCTGTGACGCAGCAGCAGCAGCAGCAGCAGCCGATGAGTGTACAGCCCTCGCAACATCGCATAACACGTCCGATACAAACGGAGAACGGGAAGGAGAGAGGCAGCAGGTGCAACGGCAGCAGCAGCAACAGCAGCGCTCGCAGAAGCCGATGAGTCGATCTCTTTCGCTCATCGACCTTCACAGCTTTCCCTCCTTCCTGGAGAGTCTCGTGCGCTTCTACCGCTGCACGATGCAGGCTACCTCGTCGAACGCCGTCGTCCTCCCCGCACCGGACGGCGCTGCGAATGGGGAGCACGGCAAAGGCAACGGCACCCGCATCACGCGCGCCGCGCTGCAGACACGCATGATAGAGCTCTTTGCTCTTTTGCAAGACGACCTGCAGCGCAGCATCCCGTCGCTCGAGGCCTTCGCCGCCACGATGACCGCCCCGTTGCTGGCGCGGCTTCTTTGTGCGTTGATCACAACCACCGAGCAGCTCCAGCTGGCGCAGCAGTGCGACTCGCTACCCGCGGATGAGCAGGGCGGCACGCCGCGTGCGTCTTGTCTCGCCCCGCTGGTGGTGGAGTTGGCGTACGTGTGGACGCTGCAGGTGGCCCGGCTGCGGCCGCCACCGCTGCCGCCGCGTGACGGTCGCGCCTCGCACACCGCGGCGGACGTGGCGCTCTTCCATCGAGTCGCGGCGATGCACCACTGGCGGCGTGCACTGCGTGTGCATCACGTGCTCGTGCGCACCGGCGCACTGCGGCGCACCCGCAGCAGCTACGACGCCTCTCTCCCTACGCAAGAGCTGGGTGCGGGCACGCGGGTCCCACGCGCAGAGGAGGCGTGCCAGCCCGGCCGGTATTTCATGCCGGACGATGTCGTACGCCGTGCCCCGCGGGTGCAGGCGGCGATGGAACAGGCAAAGCACCATCTGCAAGCGGAACGACAGCGTGTGCTGCGACAGCTACGGAAGGAACAGGCGGCGATGGAGAAGGAGGGAGCAGACGACGACGACGACGATCGGGATGATTGGGGCGGACACAAGACGGAGTACGCTTCTGCGTTCGGGTACTCGCAGGAGCAGCAACGGAACGCGCGCGCCGCTCCGCCTCCGCGGTCGGCCGTAGCGAGGATGCGAAACACGTCATCGCACCCACGTAATCAGGCCACTGCGCAGCGCCGGCGTACGGCAGCCCTTGTCGCCTCCTTGCAGTTGCCCGTACGCTCCTCCGACGTCTTCGCCAAGTACTCCAAGGCGCTGTCGCGGCTTTTGTAGAGGAGGGTCTTCGCATGTGTGTGTGTGTGTGTGTTGGGCCGCCTTTTTTCGTGGCCAATAATACTTGCTTCACAGAAGATCAGCCGATCGACCGCCACTCACGAAAACAGAGTCGTCCTTCAACAGAGCCGCAGCACCGATGTCAGCTTCCTCAATCTGCCGTAACGGGCGAGGGGGAGGAGGTTTCCCTTTAGAAACTGCGGCTGTGGGATGAGATGTGTTTTAAAGAAAGCAAAACTGTTCGAGCCACACATACACACACTTGCACGCACGCACGCACGCATGCAACAGCAAAAGGCAAGGGGAGTGTCTCGTTCGACAGCTCCCACAGCGCTGCCGTTGCGTGTGTGCCTCGCGATAGGGAGCACTCTGTCTCCGTTGCTGTGGGTTCGAAGGCCGTCGTGCGCCGTATCAGTGCTGCCGCCTCCAGCCCTAAGCGTTGCTGAAGAGCAGCAGCACATGAGTGGGTGTGTGTGTGGCTCGAACAGCCGACCAAAGAAGCCAGACTTCTTCACGTCCCTCTCTTTCCCTTTCTTGACACTTCTATTTTCTTTCTATGCACGCACACACCGCTCTTCTGCAGTCCACGACCACCTCACCATCAGCAATACTGTTGTTTTCGTTGGTGTTTGCTAACTCTATCGACCCATTCTCCTCACCATTGCTGCTGCGGCTGTGACGTCTACCTCCTCTTCTCTCCTCCCCCGCTCTCTCTCTCTCTACGCGATGGAGCGCTGCAAGTCGTACTTCACTTCGCGGAACGCGCAGTTCCTCATTGACCGCATTCGCGAGTTCGCCGACAGCAGCGCGACGGTCGAGCTGGCCGCTGCTCGTCTGGGCTGCTCGCCGGCCGAGATTGCAAAGTCGCTTTCCTTCTTGCAGCGCAAGGCCATGACAAAGGCGGAGGCGAAGGCCCACCAGAAGGCGGTGTTAGAACTGCGTAAGCAGCAGCAGCAGCAGCCGTCGGAGGAGGGCAGCGACAGCGCCGGCAGCACGCCCGCCGGCTCCCCCACCAGCGCGCTACTCGACTCCACCGTGGTCGTGATCGTCGCGGCGGGGGATGCCAAAGTGAACGCGAAGAAGTACAAGGAGAAGTTTCTCGGTCAGCCGAAGATGCTGAAGCGGGAGGAGGTGGAGGCGCTGACGGGGTTTCCACCCGGCGGCGTCTGCCCCTTCGGCGTCAACGACAACGTCCGGGTCTACCTCGATGTCTCGCTGCGGCGGTTTGCGACGGTGTACCCGGCGGTCGGCACGGCGAACAGCGGCATCCCGCTCTCGACGGAGGAGTTGGAGCAGTACGCATCCAATGTGGTGGAGTGGGTGGACTTGTGTGACGGGTGGCAGTCGGGCGGCGAGGGCGATGGCGAGGAAGCCGCCGCTGCCACCACAGCAGACGCGGAAACCAAGAAGGCCGCGAATGAGTCGGCGAAGGTCGCAGAGGAGATCCGTGCCTAAGCGCGTGGGACGGCAGAAGAATGGGCGCACAGGAACACTAGGATCGAAGTAGGGCGATGCGTGGTCATTGTCTGTCTGTCTGTGTGTGTGTGCGGTGGGTATTAGTGCCAGACACGAACGACGTACTCTGTGGGAGGTCGAACACGTATTACTACTATTACTATTGCTGTTGCTGTTGTTGTTGTTTTCATTTAAGGTGGTGATGCCTCTTCGCTTGTTGGTATTACTGTCCGTAATTGTCTCTCAGTTCTCTCTCTCTCTTTCTCCATTTCGCTGTTGTACACGCGCCATAACGTCGCTTTATTACTCATTATCTTTTTGCCTTTCGAGTGATTCTCGGTTAGCGGTGCTTTATATATATGTACTTTCTTGAACGATTTGTTGCCGTGACTCGGGAAAGCAGTGGACCAGGTGTGTCCTCACGCTGCCGCGGCAACGCCGTCATGAGTGCAACGCACTACTGCATATATGTCTATATCGTTAGCGCAACAGAGGGGAAAGGAGAAGAGCAGGCGCAACACCAAAGGCGACGGCGCGAGGTGCAGCTGCCCTCCGCGTTTGGGCAGTCTTATCGCATGATCATCTCTTCCTTTTCGAAAAGTAACAAACTGCGGCTGGAGAAGCGCACCGAGGCCAACGCGCGCGAGAAGGACGTGTGGGCATCCTTCTGCGGCACGACACCTCCGCGGCGGCTTCCCTGCTGTCTGCTGAGGGAGTTTTTGATTCCGCCTCTCCCTCTCTCCCCCGCCCCCTTTCTCCATACACACACACTCTCTCTCTCTGCGTCCCTTCTCCTCCTCGTCCCGCCTCTGATGAAGCCCGCTTCGCAGCAAGAGAAACGTGCAGGCTGTGGGTCGCGACGTGCCTTCGCAGCGAGCACACGAACACACACGCACACTCATACAGATATATTCTCTGTTCTACGTAGACCACTACTTCATTGCATCTCCCCTCAGTAGTCATTTATATATAACTTCATATTATTTCCACTGCTCTTCCGCTGTGTCTCATTGTCGATCTTGTTTGCCTTCTCTCTTCTTCTTCTCTCCTTGGTTTCATTGTGTCTACTACGATTAGGTTTTATTGTTCTCGCGCTTATCACGGTGGACCAGCGTAGGCGGTGCACATCACCTGCGAGGTTCGCTCCGAGATAACGCGGTCGTCATCGACGTGGCAAAAAATCCCTACCTCCAGGTGTGTCAACTCTCCCTCTCTCCGTGTGTGTGGGTGGGTGTGCTGACTGTTGTTGCTGCGGCAGCTGGCTTTATTTGCTAGTTGTTTATTGGGGTTTCTTGTGTTGTTGCTGTTGGTGGTGGTGGTGTTCCGCCACGGAAGTACGCGGGAGCCGGTGTCGACCTTTCTGGCAACAGGCCGTGTCCCTCGCCTTCTTCTCCTCTTCGGGGATTCTTATATATCTATATATATATCTGTATCCTGCGGCGTCCGCGGGCGCAACGACCAGGGGGGTGCGTGCGTGCATGCGTGAGTGCGCGGACTCGTAGCTTCACACGACGTGTCCGCCCTCTCTCGCACCCACCAATTCTCTCTACCTATTTTATTTATTACTTGAAAGGAAGGCCGAGCCTCACACACACACACAAGCGGCGTTGCGGACATGCCGTCCAAAGACCACATTCAGCAGCTGCAGCGGCTCTTCGCGCACTTCAAGCGGCACGGTGGCCGTAACACTCCGAGCGGGGTGTCGCAGATTGAACTGGTCGACGATGACGATTTAACGCGCTGGTTTGTGCAGCTGCTGTATCAAGATGAAAACGCCACCGACTTCTACGTCTCGCTGGAACTCGTGTTCAGCGAGGAGGGCGTGGGTGACGACCCTGAGAACGCGTTCTTTCTGGATAAGCGGACCTCGTCACGGGGCCCACACATCCCCACGGCCAGCACCGCAGCGGCGGCGCTCTCCGTGGCCCAGCAGCACGACACAGACACCCCCACCGCAAGTTCTCCTTCAGCCGCCCCCTCGCCGCCCTCTCCTCGTACGCGGGATGCGCCGGTCGACGCTGCCGACGGCAACGGCCGCGCTGTCGAGCAGGGCGATCTTGGGGAGAGCACGCCGGTGCAACAGCCGCAACGCGAGGAGGAGGAGGGTCTGCCACCGCCGCAGAGTCTGTCGCTGCATCACACGGATCACGCCACCTTGGCCACACCCCAGCCGCACATTGAGGGATGTAAGCGCTACGCCTCCCTGGGCGAGACGACGACCCTCCCGTCCAGCCCGCCTGGCAGCACGCCCGCAGACGGCAACGCGATGACGCGTGTTAGTGGCAGTCATCGCAGCCATGCAGGCGGCCCCTCCACAGCGGCGGTTGCCGGGCGCCGCAGAGCACGCATGCCCCTCGTGTTCATCGTCGCGCCGCGCCTCATCGCCTCCTTTATTCATCACGGCGCCCTCTGCTCCTTAGAGCTCATGTCGCAGTACTGGGAGCCGACGCCGGACAACATGACGTTGCTGCTCATCGCGCTGCACGAGACGTTAAACCCCTTCAGCGGCGACGGCCGCGTGTCGGTCGATGACGCGGAGCGGGCGGAGAGCCGGCGGGCGGCGGCGGTTGCGGCGGGTGCTGCCGGCGGTGGTGTCTCCGCGCCGGGGGCGTACTCGGCCGAGGAGCACCAGCTAGGAATGGATTACATCCGCCGAGCGCACCCGCACCTGTTTCGACGGCACGTGAGCCCCTCGCTTCTTGACTCCGCCGTCGATGTCGCTGCAGCCGCGGCAACACCAACGGCGCCAGCGCAGTCGATAAACCCCGTTGATGTTGCGGCGACGGCGGCGGGAGGAGGAGAGCGAGCGGCGGAGACGGTTGAAGGCTCGGATCGTGGCCCGGTCGCGCTCGGCGCCGCCCAGCAGACCGAATCCACCTGCAGTGTCTCGCCGAGTGTGGGTGCGGCAGCGGCGGCGGTCGTCGGCCCGCAGCCGTCGTACTCCTCCTCCACTTCTCCGCCATCGACGGCGGCACACGCCATACGCGACGTCTCGCACCTCAACACCGCGATCTACGACGCATTGGTGTACGTCTACAGCACCCCCGCCGCCGATACCGCCGTCGATCCACCACTACCACGGCAACAGCACGTTCCGTCTTTCGCGCAGCCCGTGGGGCGTCGCCCACCGGTGCAGATGCGGCTCGACACGGCAGCCCTGCTGGCGGACGCACGCAGCCTCGACAGGTTGGGCGCCCCAGCGGCCGCAAAGGCGGAGGGGGACGAGCAGGGCGGGGCGGGCGACGACGCAGGGCCGACCTCCCCATCACTCTCGCCTAACGCCGCACAAGCCGCCCCCACCGCCACGAAAACAACCGCAGCAGCGGCGGCATCCACTGCGGCGGTGTGCACGCCGGCGCTGCACGCGGAGCGGGTGTTGCGGGCGCGGCCGCCAGCGGCGCTGCACCTCGCCTACGCTCCCACGCACACAAGCGGCCATCGCAGCGACGGCGACGCGCGGAGTCGTGCGGGAGACCGGCAGCGAGTAGCCGAGTTGTGGGTTCCCCGGGCGCTTCCTCAAGTCCCCCTTCCTGCCGCAACGAGTCCTACTACTCCTTCGACAGCGGCGGCGGCGGCGGCGGCGGGGCGTCCTGCGAGCGACAACGACGGGGACGCGGGCGGGTTGACGACGCAAGTTGTGCGGCTGACCGAGAAGCCTCCGGCCCGCGCGGCCGCGCAGCCCTGCACGCTGGACGTGTGTCTTAGCGGTGCGTACGACCGAGCGAGCAGCGGCACGTGTGAGGATGTGGAGCAGGCACCGATCGCGTGTGTGCTGCGCAGCATGCGCGTCTCCGCCAGTTCAACGCGCACCCTGTCCGCCACCGCTGCCGCCGCCTCCACGCTGACGGCAAGCAGAGCCGCTCGCAGTAACCCCACGACGCCAACGAACGCGGGTGCGGCGACGGCGTCACCCACGACAGCAGCGGCAGCAGCAGCAGCGGGATCTGCACCGTCATTTCGTTTCTCTCTTCAGCCCTCTACCGCCCCGTCACCGGGCGGCGAGGTGCACGTGTGTGAGATCCCCGCCGGGTTGTCGCTGCGCTGCGAGCACATGTACCTGTACGGTCACCTGCGGGTGTTGGGGTCGCTGACGCTGCACCGCTGCGTGCTCGTCGGCTCGATCACGGCGGAGGAGCTGGCGAGCGTGCAGATCACGCAGAGTCAGCTGGCATTGATGCCGGACGACCGTCTGCTGCGGCGAGCGCTGCCGTCACCGCCAGCACGTCTGTTATTTCCACCGTCGGCGTCTCCCTCCTCTCGTCCGGGGTGCACGGGCGGGCATCGAAGTTCGCATGGCTCGCACGCACCGGCCGAGAAGGGCCGTCAAGGAAGCGAGGACGACGGCGCAGGCGGTGAAGCGGGCATCGAGGAGGAGGAGGAGGAGGAGGAGGAGGGGAGCGAAGACGCGGCGCGGCGACCACCACCGCCGCCGCCGGCGCTCTTCTACGCGCAGCGAAAGGAATGTCTCCTCGTGTTGGACTCGTCGAAGGTCGAAGTCACAGATGCGTCGCGGATCTACCGGCTTATGCCGGAGATGCAAGCAGCACAGCCGTGGCGCAGCCGTCGCCATCGTCAGCGTCATCCGTCAAGGAGCACGCAAGGTGCTGGGTCAGGGGAGCCGGCAGAGCAGGAAGGGCACAAGGACGTGTCAGCGCCAGACTCCGACGCAGAAGAAGTCAGCGAAGATGAAGACGAAGAAGCGGATGCGGTCAGTTACTCTCGTGCTAATGCAGCAGCACAGCCGCCGCTTGCGGCCATGATGACGGTGCTGCGCTCTCTTATACTAGTCTCCAATCAGGGCCGGCTGCGCCTCGTGCGCTGCAGCGTCCACCCCGGCCGCAACACGGAGCGGACGATCTTCGCCGAGCAGGACGCGATCGTGGACATGGCGTACTGCACGGTGGTGGCCGCCATCTCGAGTGCCGTCATCATCCAGGGCTGTCGCGCCTTCTTGGAGCACTGCGCCTTCGAGGGGAGCGCAGTGGAGACACCAACGGCGACGACGTCGACAGTGGTGGGGGCGGCAGCGGCAGCGGAACGAAATATGGGGCCGGACGAGCGAGACGGTGCGCGGCAAGGAGGGGAAAACGACGGACCACTGCCACCACCACCACCTCCACCGTTGCAGCTCGGGGACGCCGCACGCAGCACTGGCCTCATCGTCGAGCTCGGCGGCACCCTCACGGCTCGCTGGTGCACCGCGCGGCACGTCTACTTCGCCTTCTGCGTTATCGCGCACTCCGTCGCCCACCTCTACCGCTGCCACGCGGACAACGTCGTGAACGGCTACACGATTGACGCCTCCGCCGCGACGCTCGACGGGTGCTCCGCCCACACAAATCACGTGGGGGTGTTTGTGCTACGCAAAGCGAAGTGCATAATGACGGACGACAACTGCGGGAGCTTTGCGCGGCGGTGCACGCTGCTGGCGGCGGCGTACGAGGCTGCTCGCCGAACTGCGCAGCAACAACTGCGCGCGGTGCCGCGACGACAACAAGCAGAAGACGCAGACGCAGCAGCAGCAGCACAAGTACACGTGCCAGACACAGACGTGTCACAGAGGAGGACCTCGTCTTCGGCTGCGGCTGTTGCGGCGGCAGCGGCGGCAGCGGCGGCAGCGGCGGCGGCGCGAACGGCGCGTGTAGCTGAACTGGCGCGTCAGTACTACGTCGAGTACGTCTTGCATCCAGCGGCCGCCGCAGCGGCGGGCACCGACGGCGACGCCACGACAATGGAAGCAGCGTCGTTGAAGCTGCTGATCAGCAACGGCACACGCGGTGACGATGAAGTCCACGAGCCCTCCTCCAGCCGCAGTGTCAGCACATCACCGCCACCGCAGCAGCAACAGCAGCAGCCGCACCTCGGCATCTACGGCGGCTCCTTCAGTCTTGAAGTACGCGATGCGGCGCTCAAGGCGACGGGCGTGACGGTGTTAGACGCGCGCGACACCGCCGTGTACGCCGTCGACGACAGCACTGTGGAGTTGGAGGAGTGCGTGTTGTGGTCGACCGCAGAGACGGAAGACGCCGCCGCCGCTGCCGCTGCCGCAGCCGCAGCCGTCGCACAGGCAGAAGCGGAGACAGAAGCGGAAGGCACCGTCCATGCAACGGCTGTCGGGGGTTCTGCCGTGTCGCTCCCGCTAAAGCAGCCACCGTCGCCGGCGCCGTTCGGCCGGGGGGCGAGCGCCAGGACACCGGTCAGGAGGGCTTGTTCCCTTTCGGCGGAGTGGAAGAGTTCGCCCGGGCCGTCCTCCCTCGCATCGCGGCAGAGCTCCTGCGGGATCAAGACGGTCCACTCGTCGCTCAAGGCGCGGCGCTGCCTCATCACCGGCTTCAGCTTCGGTGTCGGCGTTATTCAGTCCTCCACGGCGGAGGTGGTCGAGTGTGTGGCGGCGCACTGCATGAACGGCTTCACAGTCGACCACTCCACAAGCCGCTTCGCCGACTGCGGGGCAGACACCCGGCACGTCGGTCTCTTTGCACTGAACAACGCGGTGGTCGAGGCCACAGGCGTGCCGCACATCGTGGGCGTCGACTCGCTGCATCGCACCCCGCCACGGCTGATCTGCGGCGGGGTTCCTGCCGTGTTCGGCGGCGACACGTACGGGGTGGAGTGCAAGGGGAGCGAACTGCGCTGCGACGGCATCGCGGTGCTGCGGGGCCGGGACAGCGGGTTTAACGTGTACAACAAGAGCCGGGTCACGTTGCGGCGGTGCCTAATCGACGTGTCTCCAACCGACGCGGCAAACTTCGTTTTCGGAGGTGCGACGCGCGACTGCAGCAGGAAGAGACCGCAGACGCCCATCACGACGACGACGACGACGGTGCCGGCGCTGCGGCGTAGAAGTAGCGGAAGTAGCAGCAGCAGCGGTAGCAGCCGCTCTGGCAGCGCCACCGCCCCGCCTCATCTCCCTGACACGCGTGCAGCGGACCCTCACGCGGGAAGGATACCCACGGAGCGACGTGGAAATGAGATGGACGCGATGTCATCGGACGCGGCGGCAGCGGAGGACCAACGCACCTCCGCATCATCAGCCCTCGTCACCGGCAGCTGGCTCCGCGGCTTGACGCTCGACATCGGCGCGGACGACGTGGACGACCGGCTGAACTCGGTCCCCGACAACAAGGACAAGGTGAAGGGCGAGAGCCCGCACCGCAGCGGCGGCGGTGGCGCTCGTTGTGACGCCGCAGCCGATACGGCGCAAACGTCATCGTCCTCTTCGTCTCCCTCCGCCGCCGCCGTCATCGCTGGCAACAGTCTTCCGGCTCCGGCCGTGGCAGCAGCAGCGGCAGCAACAACAACAACAACCGCGGCTGCGGCGGTACTCACCTCTGGGGTGAAGGTGTGGTCGGGCAGTCGCTGCTACGCGCAGGACAGCGAAGTCCGCTGCGTCACCTTCGGTTTCGCCGCCCTCGGCCCCGAGACGACCTTCGAAGCACACCACTGCACGGCGAAGCACGTCGTCAATGGCTTCACCGCGGACGGCAGTGCGATGCAGCTGACGAAGTGCAGCGCGAGCAGCAGCCACGTCGGCGTCTATGTATTGTCGAACGGGCGCTGCATGGTGCGCCGCGGCAGCTACACCGGCAAGAAGTACGGTATCGAGTGCCGCAGCGGGGTGCTGTCCTTTCAGGGCCACGTGAAGATCTACGGCTTCTCACGCATTGGCCTGTACCTGTACGCCGGAGCGCATTGCGAGGCGGACGTCGACAGCGTGCTGGACATCCACGTGCACAAGCAGCAACCAAAGCAGCAGAATGGCTGTGCATCGCTGCCCACGTCTGCTCTTCGCGAAGTTGGCGGAGGAGGGTCGCAGGATGAAGATCAGCATCCGCATCAACGTAGCAGCTCGGTGACCAACCGCGTGTCACCGCCGTCTGCTTCCAACTCTCCCGCACCTCCGCCGCTCTCCTCGCTACCGTGCGGTGTCGCAGAGGCCGCAAACGTGTCCGACTTACTGCCCGCCTGCATCGCGCTGGATGAGGCGACGGCACACCTGCCGCAGTCCATTATCGGCGGTGGCGCCCGCTGCGGCATCACGTGCGCCGACGGTGCTACCGGTTTTATCGGGAAGTGCCTCGTCCACGACTGCGCGCTCGTCGGCGTAAACGTCTTCGCCGGGGCGCACGTGACGCTCGCGAACTGTCAGGTGCAGTGTGCCGGGCAGCACGCCCTCGTCGTACACGTTGGCGGCGTCTGTCGCATAGCGCGTCCACAGACGGCGGGGGAGGGCGCCACGTGGGACGTCAGCAAGAGCAACATCAGTGAAGAGGCGGTGGAGGCGGTGGGACAAGGAAGAGGGGCAGCATCAGCAGACGGCGAGGAGCGGGGGAGCGTAGAGGACCGGTGGACGACGGTGATGTCGGGCAACGACGAAGCACAGGAGGACACGCACAGCAACAGCAGCAGTGACAGCGGCGGCAACGGCTACGGCTACGCCGGCGCAGCTTTGGCGAGAGTCCGGCAGCGGGTGTGGGGTGCTCTGCGGGGTATCGCCTCCGCCGTTGCCTCCGCCGCACTTCTGCGCCGGGATCTGGCAAGTGACCGGCCGCCGGCGGCTGCGTCGGTGTTCCGTCGGAAGAAGAGGGACGACCCGCACACGAAGGGGACGGCGCTCGCCAACGTCGAGGGTGGCGCGACGACGCTGTCGCTACTGGACACCGCCATGGCGGCGTACACCGCAGTCACCACCCGCGAGTGCTTCATTGAGAACGCGGATGCGCACGACGCCTCATCCGCACCGGCGCTCGCGGGCGGACGTCGCCACCAGCCGCCGACCCGCGCCGCACGTCGGCACCTGCATTGGATGGCGTACGAGCCCCACCGCGTCAGCCTTCCCTTCCGGCTCAACGAGCTGGTCGATGCCGGTGCGGAGAAGACCGCGCGTCCGCCACCGTCCTCTTCGCCGCTGATGCCGCCGACGCACGCCGCGGATGCGGCTGCGGCTGCCGCGGCCTTACCGTCTGTGCAGCCCGCCATCGTCGGCGGGGTGGTGGTCCGTGGTACCTGCACCGTTGAGCGCATGCTGCTGCAGCCAACACCCGTCGCTCCGGCGCGATCAGCGGGGGACGACACGGAGTCGACTCGTCAAGGGGACAACGACGAGGAAGGCGGTGGCGCAGCAGCAGCAGCGGCGGAGAGCACGACACCCGCGCCGGCCCTTCTGCAGGCGCCGCCGGCGATACATGTGTGTCAGCACGGGGTGTTGAACCTGTTTGACTGTCTCATCGACGCTTCACTGGCCGCCCTACCAGACACCGCGCACCATGAGGAAGGCACAGCGCCTGCTGAGCGTGGAGAGCGGTCCAGCAATGGAGAAGCGCCTGTAGTGGTAGTGGTGGTTTGCGATGGTCCCTACGCGCGCCTGCACGGCGACTACGTTCGTGTGCTGCGCAGCGATCGGACATGCAGTCATCGCAGCAGCCTGAACAGCAGCAGCAGCGGCGGCGTCTTTCTCTCACCGTTAGTGACCAGCGGTAGTTGCTGTACGGAGGAGGAAGAGGAGGAGGAGGAGGGGGAGGGTGTTGTCCAGTCAGCGCGCGGCTCCCCAGCACGAGCACCAGCGACCACGACGGCGGTCACGGCGCCACCACAGGAAGAGAGGTGTCACGGCGACAACGCACCAACGCCGCCGGCGGCGGACACTCCACTTCTGATCTTGTCGCTACGCAACGGGGCGCAGTGCACGCTGCACATGGCCGGGCCCTCGCGCGGTGCGTGGCCCTTCAGCCCCCTCGCATCCGCCTCTTCCGCCACTGGCGCAACCGCCGCAGACGCCGTGGCATCGCCTTCTTCGCCCAGCGCCGCTGCTGCGGTGGACACGGCGGACGGGGAGGCGAACGCGAAGGGTGACGATCAGGAGCGGGCGGCACCGCCGTCCCCTTCGCCCACGCGCCTCGCGGACGCAGCGGCGCGCGCACGCGCACCGGCAAACGACGGGATGATGCTGTGCCTCTCGAAGGACAGCCTGGCCGAGGCCTCCTTCGCAATGTTCACCAACGTAGACGTCCGCACGCAGTCCATTGCGCGATTGGTGCACTGCGGCATTGAGGGTGGGGGACCGCCGCTTCTGCGCCTGCGCAGCGGCAGCCGCGCCACCGTGCTATTCAGCCGTGTTGCCGTCATCGGCGGTGGCGGTGGTGTTGACGCCGCCGCCGTCTCCGTTGATGCAACGAGCTACTTCATTCTTTTTCGGTCGGAGGTGCAGACGGCGGGCGCGCGGGGAGCCGCGGTGATGTGTGATGACGGTGGCCGAGTCCGGCAGCTCCAGAGTGCGGTGACGTCTCGCGATGGCGAGGCCTCGCCCGGTCCCGCCGTGGCGGCCGGTGCACCGGAAGACGGAGAAGCGGAGCACGCGAAGTGATCGAATGGGCGGTTGCCGCCGCTGGTGGCGCTCGCGGCATTTTTCTTACTTTTACTTGCTAAACCCGCTTCGGCTTATTGAATGCGTGTGCCATTCTTTATACTTTACATTTACACCTCCACACCTGTATTACGCACACATCTGCTGTTACAGCATGCGGTTGCTGCCTTATGCTGTGTGTGTGAGAGAGAGAGAGAAGTGAAAGTGGAAGTGAAGAAGAGCCCTCTCTTTGCTGACTGCCACGCACTGATGTCCGCACGCAGCCGCCTCGCACCACCTTCTGCACTGCGCTGACGGAACCCCGGCCCCCCCCCCCCAACGAGAAATGCCGGATGGAGCAACGAACGTTTACAGCCATCTTTCTTTCTTCTTTTGGGGGGGATGGAGGGGCTCGATGGAGCTCCGCTTCACTCACTCCCGCACCACCCTCCTCCTGCTTTCCCTTCCCCTTACCACCCCCACCACCGCCACCCTCCTGCGGGTCTTCACCTCGCCAGATATCATCAGCAGGTGACCACGACAGCCACTGAGTTGTAGCGTCACTTAGTTGTCCGCCATCGCAGTGCAGCCACTTCTCTCTTTTTCTTTTGTCATATTTCTTTCGGGACCTCGCCCCTCGTTGTTTCCCTTTCGCTTCCTTTCATTCCTCTGTGCCTCTGCGGCGTCGCTGTCGTCGTCTCCACGTGCGCCGCTTTCGTCAGGCGCAGCACACAAGGACATCGCAGCGTTGGGATAAAGTATAACAGGTTAACGCGCCAACACATTACACGCAAACTCAAAGGTAAACCAGTAGTACTACTACTACATATATAACGCTGTTTAAACGTGACTTTTTAAACCCCTCCAAAAAGACTTGGTAACCGTTACTTTCTTGTTTGGCCGTCCTTGGTTGATCTTGCTGGGGTGCATTTGCCCTCTCCTCTCTGTCTCCCTTTGTCTTCGTCACTTTTCTTTTCTTTTCTGGCTTTCGTACACGGGCGATGTCTTCGCACTACCGCGAGCTCCATCAGCTTTTCGTGGACGCCAATGGCCAGCCAGACTTCAACACCGCCGTGGAGAGCCTGGCGACGCAGCCGGTGCGTCAGCTCTTCCTCCTCCACTCCCTCCTCTGCCTGAACGAGCCCGACGCGGCGACGAGCCCGACGACGATAAAGCCGGTGCACGAGACCCTCGCGTTGCTGCGCACCTGCAACGCGCTGCTGCGCTGGGCTGCCGAGCAGAAGCACGTGGCGCAGGGCATCCACGACAGCAACGTTGATGATGGTGTTGCGGCTGCCCCCCTCCCGCAGGCCGACTCGCTGCAGGGCGTCGATGAATGCCGCATGGCGTGGAAGTTCCTGGCGACCTTCATGGACCAGCCGGCGGCTGTCACCTGCATGGAGAAGGCGCTGACGGAGGTGGCGGTGGAGTACCACTACGCCACCGCGCGCCCGCGTCAGTTCGACATGTTCGTCCACCTCAGCGCCATGGAGAAGTTTTTCGTGGACGGCGACTCGCTGCTCATGGCGGCGCTGTCGTCCCCGCACGTGGACTGGGACTTAATGCAGCCGCTGCACGTCCTGTACAACGCCCAGGCGTTGCTGCGTCGCCTGCAGACGCGCGGTGGACGCTTCCACGTCGTCTTCTTTCGCAACACCGCTTGGTTTTGGTCGACGGCACCGCAGAAGCTGTTCCTCCGAGAGGCGCTGCGGGCGACGCTGACGGCGGTGGCGACGACGAACCCGGAGAGCCAGCTCGTCGTGGACACCTTCGACAGCTTTCATTGCGCGGAGTTCGCCGCGTACGTCGCGAAGTACGAGCCGGAGTTTTTGCTCATGTCGGACGGGGAGCAGCTGGGGCAGGCGACGCCGCTGCAGCAGCTCTTTCACAACCACACGGAGGAGGAGCTGTTGGCGTTCGAGGGGGTGGAGAGCGGAAACGGCGGGGCCGGAGACGCGACGGACTCCACCGCGGCGCCGACGTCCACCCTCCTCACGCCGGAGGAGGCGACGGAGGTGAAGCTGCGGGCGACGGAGGACCGCGTCATGGAACTGAAGAGCACCTACCGCAGCCTCGTCGAGGATGAAGCGCACGGGGCTCGTGTGTCCTTCTACTTTCACTGCTTCCTCACCTGGGCGACGGCGCGGCGGATTAAGGTCGCGTACTCCTCCCGCATCATCACGCGTGAGAACGCGGTGGTTGTGTTTGCCGTGACGGTGGAGAGCGCCAACTTTGCGCGCGCGCTCGTGCTGGAGCCGCAGTCGACGCAGCTGGCCGCCGCGCTCGAGCGCGACGTCGAGCTGCCCCCGCTGTCCGACGCCGCCCTCGCCTTGGCAAAGGACGGTCAGCTGTCGCGCCGCGAGCAGGTTGTCTCGGCCGCGGTGCACGCCTACCTCCACGCGGGTCCGCAGCGCACCCCGCAGCAGCTGCAGCTGTGTCAGGCAATGATGATGACGGCGTACTGCACTGCCCTCATCGATGCGGAGCTGCGCGCGCAGCGCGCCGTCGCGTCCCCTGCGATCGCCGCCTTCCTGAACGACCTCGCGCCGTACGTGCTGCAGGCCTTCGAGCAGTGCGACTGCGCGACGGGTCGTGGGGCGGAGTTCGATGTCTACGACGGGCACCTGCTGGCGATGATGGCGCACCTGCTGCGCACCACGCCCGCCGCGCAGCTGCTAGACGAGGACGGCGTGGCGGACGTCAACTTCAGCTGGCAGGAGGTCTTCGGCGATGAGTCGGCGGACATGACGACCGCCGCGCTGTCCGACTTGCCAGAGATCACCATCGCGGAGCCAAAGAAAGCGATGAAGTACCCGCACCTGACGCATGAGCTGGTCGACCAGCTCGCGCGCAGCTTTCAGGTGGAGGGGCACGTGTCGAACCGCCCCTACCCGTCTACGCTCGGCAACGCGAACGAGCTCAGCGGGTGGATTGTATCGCAGCCGTTTGATGAGCTGAACGACGTGGTGGATGTGCTGGTGGAGCGGGAGTCGCAGCGTAACCTGACCGACCGCGAGCGTCGCCGGCAGCTGGCGATGGAGGCCGCCTTCGTGAAGGACGCGGCGCAGCAGGCGGAGTCGATGGGCATTCGCGGCTTCACGAGCGGCACCCTGGCGGTGGTCTGCTCCGACAGCGACGACGACGAGGACACCGGCGAGGCTGCCGGCGCTGCGGGGGGCAACAACAGTAACGCGAAGAACGCGAAGAAGACGAAGCAGCAGCACCAGGGGCAGCGCAACAAGAAAGTGCGAAGCCGCGAGGACGTCATTCGCGAGGAGGCGAACGTGCGGGAGGCGAACAAGACGGTGCAGGACTGGGCACAGCAGGTGGCGGACCTGTGCAAGATGACGGAGCCGACGTCGATGCGGGCGACGGATGTGCCGGACAACATCGCGAAGCTGACGGCCGTGCTGTCACGCCTGACGAGCGCCTCATTCGGCCGCAACTTTGACCCAGGCGAGCAACTGAAGGATGAGGAGGCGGTGCCGCTGCCGCTGGCGATGTGGCGCCTGCTGGTCGAGACGAGCGGCATGCGCGAGGCCGAGTTCGCCTTCACCATCACGGCGGAGGACGACGACGGCAACAACAACAACAACAAACGCAAGAAGCCAACTAAAGACAAGCGCTCCACCAACCTCTTCGCCTTCGGCCTCATCGCGGATCTCGTCGCGGCGTGCATCGCTGACAGCAAGGACAGCCACAGCGACTGGGGGAGACTGGACCGTCTGCGCAAGATCAAGAAGAACTTCACCGTGTACGACGCGACCTCCTATTTGAACTGGGTGTACCTCACCTACGTGCAGCTGCACTTCCAGTGCAAGCTGATGGCGCGCGTGGTGCGGCTGCAGCTGGAGCAGTGGAAGGCGGAGCGGGAGCGGGCGCGGCAGGTGCAGGAGGCGCCGAACATCGCCATCGGCGTACCGCTCTTCCTGTACTGTCATCACAAGGTGCTGTCCTGCATCCGCGACAACGGTGTCGCGGTCTCGACGGACGACCTCGACGTCGTGCGCTCCGCCCTCGCCCACTTCGACTTCCCGGCGTCGTACTACGAGAAGGTGGACGCGGCGGTGGCGCGGTGGCAGAACGCACCGGTCACGGTGCTGCCGCCCAGCCACCGCCCGCGGCAGAAGGTCTGCTTCGAGACGCCGGAGATGATGCAGCTGATGAGCATGGGACACCTGCTGGAGCGCCCCGTCATCCCCACGAAGGACTACCGCGTCGTCTTCAATCCGGATGCGTGGCAGCGCGAGCTGCTCGACATCGTCGACGCCCGCGGCAGCGCGGTGGTCTGCGCCCCGACCTCCGCTGGCAAGACGTTCATCTCCTACTACTGCATGTACAGCGCGCTCAAGACGTCGAACACGAAGGTCGTCGTCTACGTCGCGCCGAACCGCGCGCTGATCAACCAGGCCGTGGCCGATGTGTGCGCGCGTTACGGGTCGAAGAAGTACTCCTTCCCGGGCCGCAACGTGTACGGCGTGCACGGCGGGGCGGACTACCACCGCTACGTGGACAGCTGCCAGGTGCTCGTGACGCTGCCCGAGGTGCTGGAGACGCTGCTGCTGTCTCCCAAGTACAAGGACTGGGCGAAGCGCCTTGACTACGTCATCCTGGACGAGATCCACACGATGGAGAGCAGCGGCAACGGCGACGTGTGGGAGCGCGTGCTGGCGCTGCTGCCGTGCCCCTTCGTCGCCCTTTCCGCAACCCTCGGCGAGACGCAGGAGCTGTGCGGGTGGCTGAACCGCGTGCAGCAGCGCCTGGCCGTGCAGCAGCCCGAGGCACGGCGCGACTTCGTTGTCCACGACATCCCCTCCTCGGGCAGCATCCAGCGGTGGAACGACATTAAGAAGTACATCTACCTGCCCCCGCCGGGCTACCACCCGCAGCTGAAGAAGCTCACGGCGAAGTACCCGCACCGGTACATCCACGACCTGCACCCGCTATCCATCTTGACGCTCGAGCAGCTGCAGAGCGGCTTCCCGCCAGACATCACACTCGTCCCGAGCGAGGTGGTACAGCTGCTGCAGAAGATGTCGGCCTTCTTCGCCGAGGTGGTGGCGCCGACGTGGTCGCACGTGGCGGTGGTGCAGGCGATGGAGGCCCAGCTGGCAGCCCTGCTGCCCGAGACGTACTTCCAGGCCGAGAACTACATCACGCAGCAGCGCGCACGGCAGTACGAGGCGGACGTGAAGAACGCCTTCGCCTACTGGGTTTACCTCAGCCACGGCCGCGACGCCGATGGGGTGGCGGAGATGAGCGAGGAGGACGCGGCGGCCTTCAACGGCGACATGCTGCGCCTGTGCGAGTCGATTCTTCAGGCCTTCTCACAGCGGCTGCGCGACGACGAGGCGCAGCTGGACAAGTACGCGACGGACGCCGCGCTGCTGCTGCAGCAAGGGCAGGAGGTGAGCGCGGCAGACTCCCCTGCCGGCACGACGCCCGCGCCGGAAGGCGAAGACAACGACGGCGAGTCTACGGAGGCGTCGACGCCGCAGCCGGCGAGCCCCACCTCGGACACGACGTCGCGCACCGCTGCTACGGCGGCGGCAGCATCAGCAGCTGTGGGGACCACAAAGAGGGCCTTCTTCCCCGAATCCAAGGAGTTCATCGCAGACAACATCATCAGCGTGCTGCGCGAGCTGAACAGCCGCGACATGGGGCCGACCATCGTCTTCACCTTCGAGGGCGAGGACTGCGATGACCTGACCAAGGCGATTGTCACCCGACTGGAGGATGCCGAGGCGGCGTACCGGCAGACGGAGGAGTTCGCGCAGTACAAAGCGGCGATGGAGCGCAAGGCGGCTGCGGTTGAGGCCGCCCGCAAGCAGCGGGAATCGACGCTGAAGCAGAAGAAGCTGACGACCGACGACGGCGGCGACGTCGAGCGGGCCGACCGCGATGTGGACGATGCGGTGAACAACGACGAGGACTTCATTGTGCCGGAGGTGCTGCCGGAGTTCACCTTCGTTGGGCAGTACTGCACCGTTGACCCGACAGTGGTGAAGGAGGCGGTGGAGGAGTGCGTGAAGCGGGGCGACAGCCTCAGCGCGCGTGCGATCCAGCGCGGCGTCGGCATCCACCACGCGGGCGTGAAAGGAAAGCTGCGTCGCATGATGGAGATTCTCTTCCGCGGTCGGCACTGCGGGGTGATTTGCGCGACCGAGACGCTGGCCCTCGGCGTGCACAGCCCATGCCGCTCCGTCGTCCTCGCCGGCGACCACGTGCTGCTCAACACGACACAGTTCCGCCAGATGATGGGCCGCGCCGGGCGCCGTGGTCTGGACTTTTTGGGCCACCTCGTCTTCCTCAGCGTCAGCATCAAGAAGATCACGCGCCTCATGACGAGCAGCATGACGGTCATCAAAGGCAACGTGCAGGTCGACCCCGTCACGCAGCTGCGCATGATGCAGCTGTATGACTACGCGCGGCATCGCGACTTGAAGGGGGCAGAGGAGTGGAGCAGGCGGGCGCTGAACATGGCGGAGCGGCTGTACGTCAACCCGCTCTTCTTCGCCGGCCGGGCCGCGGTGGAAGGCGGCAACATGGAGGCCTTCACGATTGAGTTTGCGCAGATGCTGCTCGGCTTCCTGCACCGCGAGGGCCTGCACTTCAGCGACCGCCCCTCCTCGCTCGGCTCGCTGCTCGTGGACGCGATGTATGTGTTCCGCAACGCGCAGGTCGGGGCGGAGGGCTTCGCGTTTATTTCGATGATTACGCGGAAGGTGTTTGCCCGGGCACGGCTGGCCCGTCGCTTTGCCCATCTCGCCCCGACGGACGAGGCGGCGGCGCAGGAGGCGAAGGGGGAGCTGCTCGCCTACCTCTTCTCGGTAAACAAGATCTGCGGCACCCCCTTCGAGATCCACCGCTCCGCGTTGAGCGATCCGGCGGTGGTGGAGCTGTGGGCCGGCCGGCGGGTGGCGAAGCAGCACCGCGTCGTGCTCGCCCCTCTCGACGTCTGCTCCCCGCTCGTGAAGCCGTTCAGCTACGCGTCCGTCTTCCGCATGATCTCCGCGTTTTACACCCACCTCGCCGGGACGCTGCGCGAGCCGGCGGAGCAGCGGCTGCCGTACATGTGTGCCAAGACGAAGAAGAAGAACCCGATCTTCGGCAGCAAGTCTAACATGCCGCTCATGGAGAGGCTGCGGGCCACGACGGAGCCCTACGCGGCGCGCGACCCCTTCGTCGCCATCTGCGGCTGCGGCGACCACTTCGTGCACAGCGAGGACCTCGTGACGACGCTGCGCCGCGGCCTCTTCTGCGATCGCCGCATGCTGCCCGTCGTCGACCTCATCGACGGCTGCCGCCACGACGGGGCGCAGGTGCTGATGAATGCGTGTCTGACCGATTTTGTGCGCTGCAAGGCGCAGATCGACTCCGTGCGGTCGAACTTCCGCTTCACCCTGCTGGAGGAGCTGAACGGGCTGAGCCAGTCGGAGAGCTACGCGGTGCTGAACCAGACGGAGCGGCTGCTGTCGAACGTGGCGGGGCTGACGCGGGATAGCAAGTACACCCCGCTGCAGGTGCTGAGTGCCCTCTACCCGGAGCGTCCGCGCGGGGATAACGTGGCCGAGGAGGACGCGAAGTACTACGCCGGCACCCTCGGCGTGCTGAACTTCGCGGCACAGCTGCACGAGCTGCGTCCGCACATCGACAAGGAGCTGGCGCAGGTGCAGTGGATGGCACGCCTGGCGGAGCTGAAGCGCAACGCCAAGAAGTAGGGGCCTTAGTGTTTGTATATATAATCCGTTGGTTGTTCGTTGGTCTTGTTTTGGTTTTTAGCATAAGTATGTAGCACGGGTGTGTACGCGGCTTGTTAGCTCGCCTGTTTTCCTCCTCTTAATATTATTATTTCTTCTCATTTCCTTCTTGTAACTACCCTTTTAAAGCTGTGAAGGTCCTTTTGTGGTGGTGATAGTGGTGGTGGTGGTTCTCTCTAGCAGGATCCACGTTGTCTGTTTGGGGGGGTTTCTATGGAATCACCGTACTGGGGCGTAAAGTGCAGAAACGTGTAGACAGCACTCCTACACCGCGGCGCCTGCGGGTGCGGAAGGCGGCGCAGATGCCACCGGCGACAACGCGTCGCCGTAGCCGGTCGCGTGCACGACCGCAAGTGAGGCGGAGAACGGACAATGAGAATGAAATACGAAGAACAGCGCGGTGGATGACGGCGACGTCGTCACGTCTCTCTCAAAGCAAGCGCCGACGGAGGACAACACACCAGCGCGATGACACACCACCCCAATGTGCGCCGACCACCTTTTCTCTCCTTCTTTCGCTCCCTCACCTCCTTGGTGAGCCCCACACCGAAAACCGCACGCACAGGCATTCCTAGCTCAGTCGGTAGAGCGCACGGCTCTTAACCGTGTGGTCGTGGGTTCGATCCCCACGGAGTGCGCTTTTCTTTTCAAGCAAAAGAGATGCGTGAAGGCACATCAGCCAAGTTTTCTTTTGGAAGGAACGTACTCTACTGAGAAGGAGCAATTGTGATTCTCTTGCGGCACCTCTTCTATGCGAAGTGCGATGCCATTGAGCGCCTTGGTCGATACGGCTCTCTCTTGATAGCGGCTAAGGCCGTCATGTTGTCGATCTGTATACGAAGGTTCAACCCTGCGGAAATCCATCGCCGCAAGTGTATTACCGCGAGAACCACGGTGTTCCCCTCCAGCGCGGTTATGTCGCGCTGCTCTGCTGCGGACCATGCTTCTCCAACGTTCATGATTTCTTGGGGCTCGTCCCGCATCAACACCGCTCCACAACCGGCTCCAGAGGCATCGGTGTAGAGGGTCATTGTCGGCATTCTCGTTGCCATGGCCGGCGCTATCGCTCCTGGGCGGTTCTTCTGAGCCAGGTCGTACCACTATTTAAGTTGTGCATGCCCCGTTGGGCGTGTGCAGGCCGGCTCCTTCACCAGGAGAGGTGTCCGGATGAGCTGAGACGGCCTTCGTCTAATGAGCTTCAACACCCAATAGAACTCTGCGGTGCGGATATGTAGGAATGACGAGCTGCGGAGGATTTGTGCGTACCGTCGCTCCAAGTCACCGCCCGTCATGCTTGGCGTCGGACCATCAATCTTCTGGATCGTGTGATCTGCCACGCAAACTTTGTGAGCTGCAGGGTTGAAATATACCCCCTATGAAGTCGGGGACTTCTCTTGCGTATCTCTCGTCGGTGTGAAGAGAGAGTGGGAACTCTTGCGCGGTGGTCCACATCCTCCTGAATGCTATTTGGACTGCTTGACGCGTGCCTGCGTACCGTATGTTGTCGATCCAAACGTCGATTGAGGTCAGGGCTGGGTCGTTCACGGTGAACTCGTTGCCCGCACACGTCGGACGGCCTGCCACGGTGGACGTGAGGATTTGCACGATTTCCGGTGAGACCGTGTGTCCGATCGGAGGCCGCGTCACGCACCGTTGTGTGCCGCTATTCGGATCTGCGAAGACGAAGCGTTGTTGCATTCTATCTGGGAGCTCGACCTGGAAGAAATTGAATGTCAGGTCGTGTACGCTGCCCATGTCGGCGTTTACTGCGTCGAGGTGTATCGAAAGGTGTTGGAGTGGCGCATCTGGTTGGTAGCCTTGTGCGTCTGAATGGTCGTTGCTCTCTCTCTCTCTATCTCGGCAACGTGCTAAGACGCCTTTGGACAGCGTTGTGCTTGGTCCCCGTGACCGTAAACGGTGTATTACTGTCGGCAGTATGCTGTCTCGTGCCTCGACCCGCTGCTGTGTCGGAGTGCGTGCTGTGAACTCGTCGAATGATGTTGGTCATTTGTAGTTTTTTCATGTCGT